ATGCCCATTCGCCTTAACAATAGCCAAAGCGCTTGCACAGACAAATGCAGCACTGCTCGATATACCACCCCCGGGTGGTACGCTACCATCGACCAAAGCTTCGATATTTGCCGGGACAAATGCCGAGTTCTTCTCCCGCAGATACTTAATAGCCACCCGAAGGCCAGCTTTGAAATAATTAACCCAATCTGGCCTGGATGCATCGATGTCCACCTCTCGATCCGACGAGACAACAAATTCACTAGCCGCAAACCTGGGGTCCGTGTTGTCCACTTTAATGGTTGCCTCTGGGCCTGATGCTGGCATAGTCTTCACAGCGACAAGCACATCTACGCTCAAGGCAGTAGGGAGCACATCGTAAAGCGAATAGTCGATATGTTCTCCTATGATGTTGACTCTTCCAGGGCTTCGGGCAACAAACCCGGGCGCGCCACCATAACGCCTCTTGAATTGTTTAATCAGGCTGTTCCACCGGGTCTGTTGCTCGGGTTCTAGAGACTGTTGTGTGTCTGGCTCTGCTACATACACGTCCCTGAGGGATTGTGTTTCTGGCACGAGTTCTGCGTCCATGGTGGGGTTGTGTTTTTTTGTGATTCTGATAATGACGTTGAGTTAGGTTATATGGTTAGCCGATCCCAGACGTCGGATAGCTTAAACTCTGTTTTTTGTTATCAAAGTCTGTTTTTTGTTGACATCGAGAAGTGATAAATTTATAGTGCCATTGATAGATGGATAAAATTGTACATATTGTTCGACCCTGTGCCGTCATGGGCTCGTAGCTAATCGTTCCCCACGTTTAATGATATTTGCTAAGCAAGGCCGGACAAGGGTGTCCCGCCAAAAAGCAAAGAAACTCGGCCGATTCCAAGCGCTCCCTCTCGAGCTGGGTTGGATGGACATATAAATGAACGCTCGTCCCCCACACGGCAGCCAACAGTATGAGAAGCCCAAAACATAGAAAGACAGTTGTATGTGCTGCCATCTCAGAAAGGGGAGGTGCCCTATCTCTTCGTCCTCAGGGCCATACCTCAAGGACGGTTCAACCGTGCCTCAAGAATGAACCAACACCATGCCGAGGGCTTCCCACACTCAGAGCGAACACGCTCACCTACTAACCGCTAACCTCTCAGCCATTTTTCCCCCTAGATTGCTGCCTGCCATCGAGGACATCAAGTACGTCGGTCTTCTCTTCCGCCGTCAACCCGAACGTCGCGCAGTGAAGCCGACGCCTCGATCGGATCGAAGGAAGCTCGCTCTTTCTTGCTCCGAAGCCCATTTTTGGACGCGCTTACCTCATCCCTTACTCAGCAAACAACATCATGTGAACATCACATGTAACTATCACGTGATTTTTATGTGACTAACACGTGACTTTGACAGTCGACCAATAAGACAGCGTGCAGCCTCCGATGACCGGCCTTCTACTGGCCGAGGTCGCCCCGCTGTCTCTTTAGCTCCGAAAAAGGAAAAGCTGGAAAAAAAAGGTGAGTGACTGTGCGAACGCAGGCAAAAGAAAGGCCGAACTAGAAGATGATCGCGAAAAGAGTCATAACCTGCCCACGCCCCGTACATCGCTCTTCCGCCCCTTCTTAAAGAGAGCGCTTCCTCCGCCTCTCCCCGTTCGACCTCGATTCGATTTGCCCATCACTGCACCCCTACTCTACCACCGGCATTGTACCCTCCCAGCTATCATCAAAAGCTCCCATGATGATGCTGTCTGCCAGCAGGGCGTCAAGGAGTGCGCTCCGCACTGCCAATTGTCTCTCACATACATCACAGGCCAGCAGGAGGCAGTTCTCGGCCACTGCCGTAGCCTCTGCTCTCTCACCGCACCGACGACCGTCGCAGAGGGCCAGTACTCTAGATACGTCGAAGCGCGGGCAGAGCACAGCTACTGCTTCTTCACCGTATGACTCGCTGCACCGCAGATCCTCAAGATGTCGTTATAACTGACGGGATTGAAACAGACAAGCAAGACCAGTTCCCAGCCCGGCCTTCAACCAGGATGCTGACAGACATGACATTTCTCCTCTTCACCGGAGACATGCTCCGGCCCTAGATGACTCGTATGTCTAATAAAATAAGTAATCCAAGTGTTTACTGGGTCATCTAACCAATGGAAAATCTCATAGGTTTGTTGGACTGAGTGGTGGTCAGATATTTCATGAAATGATGCTGCGTCTCGGAGTCAAGCATATATGTGAGTCAGAAATCACCAAGGGGACAGGCAGTGAGGAAAACTTAGTTGCTGACTTCTTATATCATCGTAGTTGGATACCCTGGTGGTGCTATCTTGCCCGTTTTTGATGCCATCTACAATTCAACACATTTCGACTTCGTCCTTCCCCGACATGAACAAGGTGCCGGCCACATGGCTGAGGGATACGCCAGGGCCACAGGCAAACCTGGCGTCGTCCTTGTCACCTCCGGTCCCGGAGCCACCAATGTCATCACCCCGATGCAAGATGCCCTTTCAGATGGCACTCCTATGGTTGTCTTCTGCGGACAGGTCCCCACCACCTCCATTGGTACAGATGCTTTCCAGGAGGCTGACGTTATCGGCATCTCGAGAGCTTGTACAAAGTGGAATGTCATGGTAAAAAACGTTGCAGAGCTCCCTAGGCGCATCAAGGAAGCATTTGAGATTGCTACTAGCGGACGACCAGGACCGGTCTTGGTTGATTTACCCAAGGATGTCACTGGTGGTATCCTTCGAAAAGCCATCCCAATGACTTCAAGCATACCAGCACACCCCAGTGCCGCTTCTATTGCAGCTCGTGAACTTAGTCGGCAACAGCTAGAGGCTTCCATACAACGTGTAGCTAAGCTGGTAAATGTCTCTAAGAAACCGGTCCTTTATGTCGGTCAGGGTCTCAGTGCTCGCCCTGAGGGACCAGCTCTGCTGAAGGAGCTAGCTGATAAGGCTAATATCCCTGTCACCACAACCCTGCAAGGATTAGGCGGATTTGATGAGCTAGATCCAAAGTCCCTGCACATGCTCGGAATGCACGGCTCCGCCTATGCTAACATGGCCATGCAAGAGGCTGATCTTATCATTGCCTTGGGTGCCCGCTTCGATGACCGTGTTACCGGAAACATCGCCAAGTTCGCCCCACAGGCTAAGGCAGCTGCTCTCGAAGGCCGTGGTGGTATCGTACATTTCGAAGTGATACCCAAGAACATCAACAAAGTTGTTGAAGCCACTGAAGCCGTCGAAGGTGACTGTGCCGATAACCTTGCCATTCTCCTCCCTCACGTCAACCCAGTCGCTGAACGACCAGAGTGGTTCGCACAGATCAATGACTGGAAAGCTCGCTTCCCGCTCTCAGCCTATGATCGACAAACAGCTAATGGTCTTATCAAACCACAGGCGGTCATTGAGACACTCAGTGAGCTGACCGCCCACCGGAAGGACAAGACCGTCATCACCACTGGTGTCGGTCAACATCAAATGTGGGCTGCTCAGCACTTCCGCTGGCGCCATCCACGCTCAATGATCACCTCTGGGGGATTGGGAACCATGGGTTACGGCCTGCCATCTGCCATTGGCGCCAAGGTTGCGCGACCCGATGCGCTTGTTATTGACATTGATGGAGATGCCTCTTTTAACATGACTCTCACGGAACTTTCGACTGCTGCCCAGTTCAACATTGATGTCAAAGTCATTGTTCTCAACAACGAAGAGCAGGGCATGGTCACACAATGGCAGAGCTTGTTCTATGAGGACAGGTTTGCGCATACACACCAGAAGAATCCGGATTTCGTCAAGGTTTCCGAGGCTATGGGTGTCCAGGCTAGGAGATGTCTAACTCCTGACCAGGTAGAGTCGAGTCTGCAATGGCTGATAAATAGTGAAGGCCCTGCACTGTTGGAAATAGCAACTGACAAGAAGGTGCCTGTCCTACCAATGGTACCTGCTGGAAAGGCGCTACATGAGTTCTTGGTATATGATGAAGGTATGCTCCAATTATCAATGTTTTAAATAATACCTACACATGATGGAAAACTAACTTCTTTCTCAATATAGCCAAAGAAAAGGAACGAAGAGCCTTGATGAAGAAGCGATCTGGACACTAAAACCTTCCGTCCCTCTCTATCCTTGCTGCCAGCTTTATACTTCCTTCCTTGATAGCGTCCTGGGCATCAAAGCCACCGCTCTTTTGATTTGCTTCTTCATTAGTCCTTCAACTCCCTGCCATCCTTGAAGCCACCCACTGTCCATATTGCATCTTTCATATGTTCCCTGCGTTTGATTTTGATATCCACGGTGTTTGTCTCCTCCAACGTGATATTCCAGTTTGAACTTTCCCCCCCCCTCCCTTTTCGGGTCGGCCTGGCGAACTAAAAAAAAAATTTCTTACTAAAATCCTCGTCTTATTTATTTAATCTTGTTGAGTTGGGGGAAATACGACTTGCATACCCATGACTTACTTATGGGAGGTAATTGAATGGATTATCTCTTCCATTACCCAGATGTTTGAAGCGGAACTACTATCGTCATATTTCGGGTGTCGAGTATCTCCCACCATCTGTACTGTGCTATATTGTTCTTCGTTGATATTTCCGTGTGTCCGTATGCACAACTCTTGGTAAGACTGTTTAATATGGGAACTATTTATTAGGTGGTATACAAAAACTGCATCTAGTCGTACCTGAGAGAAGCTTAGGGAATAAGGTGCATCGAATTCACGAAACCAACCCCTATTAAGTGAGTATTAATATACTTTGACTAGTTATGGTGGACCTCAAAAGCTATTAGCTATTTTTCTGCGGTCTCTTCAGGCTCTGAGGATGACTTTAAAAATAAACGAAGGGAGCAAATTTAAGTTGAGGCGAAATTTAGCTTTAGGATAGAACAAATGTTAGTTAGCCGCACGCTAGCTGTTTCTATTCTAGACTTAACCTTATCAGCGGTCCATCGCCCAAGCATACGACCGACCTACTCTCTATCCAATCTTGAATTGAGCCACAGCGCTCGCACCTGGCGATGCTTTTTTCCAACATGCCCTCGTTTACTTGGTATATGTAGTATAAAATAATTAAAAATATACTAATTCCACTTCTGACTTCTCTCTACTTAAAATATTGCATATAGATGCTGCATCTACAATAGATGCTTAATAGCTTCTGCTGTGGTGTCATATCACTAGAATAATTTATTAAGTACGCGACATAAGAAATATATTTCTCTACGTGGGTGACAGACTTTTACTATCTGCCCTTAACGTTGGCCACCAAGGAAGTATGAGTTAAGGTTAACTTATCGACTCATAAATCACCAACCTACAAGACCGAATATATTAAGCACCAACCATTAAACACGAATAGGAATGCTGCTTCTCCAATACTCACATATGGACCACACTTCAAATACAAAGCATGCATTAGGCTTCAAAATACTCTTCAGAAGTTCAGTAGCTACCCTGCGAATTTCATTGGGCGGAATTTTGTCACGTGATGCTATTCCTTCCTAGGTGGGCCGCGGCAAGAGCCTTCGCTTCACAGGGAATCGACCGATGCTTCATATTCTCTCGTTCACCATGCATCGCTGTTTTGTTTTTTAAAGGTGACCACTGCACTCCAAGACATATACGGATCTACAACAGTTGATTACTTTACGTCTTGAAGATATATTGATAGTTGCCAACGTCGAAGTGGGTTTCTGGCTAGTCTATTGTAACCTATGGCGTCGCCTTCACGTCCCCGCTCACAAGGGTTGAATCGCGACACTCCTAGCTTGGAACTTGGTTCACAGCAGGAGGGGGAGAATATTGCCCAGGGTACCAGCCACGATGAACACCCCGTTGAGAATGAAACCGAAGCTCCCGTGGTGCCGGTTTGCCACGGCGCACGAATAGTCGATTCTGATGACAGTGACGATGTTGCGCCTATCATGCCACACCCCGAATCAATGACACATGAACTTTCTCCCAGAGAGTTGGAAGCAATTTGCTTAAACGACGAACTCTCTACGTCGAATATATTTCCGCGCGAAAGCGATCTTCGGAAATGTTGGATTTGCTATACCGACGAATCAGAGGATTCGCCCCTCAATAAAGAATGGCGGTCTCCGTGTCCATGTGCATTAAGCGCGCATGAGGCATGTTTACTAGATTGGCTCGCGGATATGGAAAATACGGAAGGCCCCAACAGGAACCAGGACGGGGCCATGCTGCTTTGCCCTCAATGCAAATCGGAGATTCATATGTCACGGCCGAATAACCTGATTCTTGATCTCGCACACAAGTGTGAGGGAATACTTAACCGTCTGGTACTTCCCGGAGTAGCATTTACTTTTGTAGGGACTGTTTGGGCTGGATGCTGTGCCCATGGTGTATACTCGATGTACCTTATTTTCGGCAGAGAGACTACAATACGGTTGCTCGAAGAAGCTGCGCAGGGACCTTTGGGTATTCGCCTAAATCTTGGCCTTCCGTTGATACCAATATCATTGATGTTCTCGAGGACTCAATATTCTGACAGCCTGCTACCTGTGATTCCTGTTTTGTTTTTCGCTGCACACCATCCATACCACCAGGAAATGGACCTTCAGCTATGGCCGCCGAGCGCATCCATGACATTTGCGGCGTTGCCATACATTAAAAGTGTCTACAACTTACTTTACAGAAAATTACTTGGCGACTTAGAAAATGAATGGATCTCGACAGTACGTACTCGACTAAACGCAGATGAGGAGGTACGCGGGCCAAGACGCCGTCGTGATTTCCAAGATGAGCCAGACAACGCCGAGGTAGTCATGGAGATCGAGCTACAAATGGGCGCTGGCGCTGGTAATGATGGACAGCGACCTGCCGGAGGGGGGCATGATATCGAAAATGGCGTTCAAGCTCATCAAATCATGGCACACCGTCAAGGTAATATGTTCCGCGAAACCACTAATCTGGCGGATATCATACTTGGCGCCTTGGTTTTCCCAGCTATCTCTGCTGGTATGGGAGGGCTATTGAAGTTGGCCCTCCCGAGAACATGGACAACCCCTTCTCTGTACGAGAGAGGTAGGCCATGGTTACTCCAAACGAGATGGGGAAGAAGCGTTATCGGTGGCTGCGCATTCATTCTTCTCAAGGATGCCTTCTTACTTTACTGCAGATACAAGCGTGCCTGCTTACATACCCAAAGAGTAATATTGAATTATGACAAGAAGACAAAACAGCCAGTTTTCCCACGATAGGGCACAGGTGCCTACATGTACAACCAACGGAATTCTGCATTTTACCGGCGTTACCAAGTATCTTGTTGATTTAGACTGATGCCATGCTCGGACGAGCTTGTTGAAACATTGTTATTTGCACATAAGTACATATACCTGTTTAACAAACAAATGATAAAGCATTCTGATGTCTGTAGCATAGTTAGAGTTTACCGCGTTTAATTCTGCCATTCACGTGACATTTGCGCTTATTTTACATTTGCTTAGATCAGCAGCTTACAACCCTTTTTTTTGAGCCATCTTCAAGGCAAGTAGAAAAAATCGCGACTCAGGGCAGTCAAGGCATTATACAGCCTCCACAGCCTCCATCGCGCAACATAAGGGTTGACATATCCAACTCGTGCGAAATTACATGCTTACCGTTTTTTTGCTGCAACCATGAGGCAGCATCTTTCGCCCATTGTTAACTCGCTCACGAGTGTGTTCAGACTCTCAACTCGACCTACAACGTTTCAACAACCCGGTCTACTGAGCCAAACATGCAAGAACACACTGGCTCCAGGCTCACTTATATCATCTGTCAATGATCTCAGGTCATTCTCTTCTAGCTCAACATTACAAGCTAGGAAGGCTCCTGTAAAAATCGACAGACGAGTTAGTACGTATATGTCATCGTCATCTGCCAGACTGTTCTAACATTCATTCAAATATTAACCGCGCTTTTTTCTCTCCTAGCTTTAATACGTTATTTCCTCAATCATCCACTCACTCCGCGCCCCCTTCATTTCTCACGCAACCGATACCTGCGTCACTGGACAATTCATCGAGCCTGGCAGTTATACACTGCTAAACAACGGAGAGCACATCAATTGGAGCTTGAACGTCAATGGGCTAGCATGAAAGATGCCTGTGAGGAACTCCGCACTGGTGTTGGTGATGGTGGAAGACTGTTCCGCACTTCGATGAACAAGAGGGGCGTGTTTTCAGACGGTGTCCCAATTGAATATGGACGGCTACAGACAGACAGCCCGAGCAAGGATGGGTGGGACTATTCTTGGAAACCTTGATAATTGGTGGGATTCCAGGGTCGGCCATATATTCTTTTCATTTTCGTCGTAGCCTTTGGGCTGAATTGATCCCATAAACCTGCCGAGATAGGTGATTTAGGGATCGAATGAATGTATATTAGATATCTATTATAAGGCAAATAGGTTTGAATCACCAATGAGTTCGACGGAGTAGAATTTAGCAGCATTTTATTTATCTTTATTTTTCTCCCCTATTTCATGAACACATTTTATCCTACGGCTGCTCCACAGACAGGCCTGGACGACACAGCTCGGCTACCTAGTAAGCTGCGCTGCAATTTTCAAAACCAGAACAAGACAAACTGTATTTGAAAGTGACCATTAAGTGATTAAGTACTTGAATGAGAAAGAGGAGCTAAGCTCAAAAGGACGCAAGTGAGAGAAAAGGGAAACCAGACCTAAGTATATTAAAAAAAAAAAAAAAAAAAAAGCCCCAGAATTAACACCACATGATGCAGGATAAATCAATTCCATGATAACACAAGTCATAGAACCGGGAGAAAGGCTCCTGTGCCTCCGTCCTTATTCCAGCCACCCATTTTGAAAGAAAGTCATGTTGATAATCGTTTGGTAGTCGAGGAGGGTAAATGAACAGTTGTCGGATACGGGTTCTCTCGAGCCCTGTTGAATGTCATGGTTATGGTAGCTAACAGTCAGATGGACTGTAGCTGCTTCAAGGTCGTATGCCGAAAAATAAAAATAAAAATAAATCAAATAAAAAAAAGAATAGAAAAGGGGACCATGATTGTAGGCAGTGCGGCTGCTGTTAGCGGGTATTTTATAAGATCACACAGCATGGGCCTCTGGTCTTTCCGAATGTCAAAAGTGCGGCGCGTGTGGCAGCTTCGAACACGTCATCCACACCCTCACCAGTGAGAGAAGAACATTCAAGGTATTTTCTAGCTCCAATCTCAGCTGCAGCCTCACTGCCGTCTCTTGGAGAAACAAAGCGTTGTGACTTTTTCCTCATTTCTTCAATAGCAAGAGGATCTTCACGGAGATCCTTCTTCAATCCGACGAGTATGATAGGGACATCTGGGCAACGCTCATTTGCCTCCTCAATCCACTATTTCTCATTGTTAGAAAAGAATATAACCTCGTGGCAGTAGTAATGCAGGGGAGAGCGAACCTTGTGCTTGACGTTTTCCAGGGAATCAGGGGTATCGACTGAGAAGGCGATTAGAAGGACATGTGCCTTTGAGTATGCTAACGGGCGAAGTCGTTCGTAGTCTTCTTGTCCTGCGGTATCCCACAGAGCAAGCTGTACTGACCGGCCGTCTACCCGGCAGTCTGTAACGTAGTTCTCGAACACCGTGGGCACCTTTTGTTGACAAGAATGTAAGAACGCTGCTAGAAGGTGCTATCAAGCTTAGTCCAAGCATTACTTACGTAGTGCTGTATGCAGAAGAGATAAAAAATTAGTTTTATCTGTAATTAAATAGGAGTCAGATCAACGTGAGATTGCACTTACTGTAGGGAAGTAACCCAGTGTGAAGACGCTGAGAAGACTAGTCTTCCCACACGCACCATCCCCTATTATTACCAGCTTCCTATTATTATCCCGTCAGCATGTCGGCTCGAAGATAAAACAAATAAAAGCCCTTTCCCAAGACCACAACGGCCCCTTCCGAGGATGAAAAACGGGTTCCTGACTGCAATGCAGTCATCCATCGGGATCTCAATATTTTTTTCTTATGAGACACCCTTGCCACGCACCTTCGCATAACATTGTCTGCCTGTTGCTGCGCCATTTGTAAGTGAAAACGAGCAGCGAGGAGGTGAACGATGACGGTTTATTCGCGAATTTGTAGGGAGAACTCTAGTTCTCGACAGTCATAAGAGGGATAGACGGCGAGAAGTTTCTCGTGGAGATCGATGGATGGAGACGTGGATTTAGTAGGGGTGGATATCGGAACTATTCAAACTCCCATGTCTGAGTGTCTAACACGAAAGCGAGCGGGTGTCAGCTACGCTCCATCAGGTGAGGCTGCATGCTCGCCCAAGGTTGGAACAAGCGGAGCAATTATTAGCTAGACAGGAACGTAATCACCTTAGCCAACCATATGCGCAATGCCGTCTTCCCCGTCTGCCTTGAGGATCCGGTGCGAGACAAGCAGGCCCCTGGAGGAGTGTCTGTCTCTTCCTGCGGTCTCGCTGGCGGTTGCGTGTCTCGCCTTCTCAGGTATGCACTCCGCCCTCTGATCGATCTCGCACACGGCCAGGCTCTTTCAGCGCGAGCTCACGTCCAAGCACGGAGTATATCTGGATGGACAACAATACGGAAGTAAGAAGCCAGTGCAAAGGGAGTCCTCGCCTAGGGAGAGTTTGTTTGTCAACCGTCTTTTGCTTCTTCCTAGAGAGTAATATATACTAAAAGAAAAGAAAAAGCTGGATTGTATGATCAAGAGCGAGCAAGTCTGTTGTTGTATTTTCAGGTTTCAGTCGCGATCCTTCTCCGCGCTTCCTTGTCCCTTTTTCTTCCCTTTTCTCTAGCTTTCTACCCGTCGCCCTCATCGCCCGCTTATTAGCATCAAATTAAACTGATATGCTTAAACCGGGACTTAATAATATAAAACTAAGCAAAAAAAAAAAGGCGGCTGAGTTTTTCTTACTTGCTCGTCGCTTTTTTTTTTTACTGGGCCTGAAAGTGTAATACAGGCCGTACCGTGGTAGCGCCGAAAATTACATGCTTCCTCGCGCGAGACACCCGCAGGACACCCGCAGCAAAGTTACAGCCCTGCGGTATCAAAATTACGCCTCGCTGGGCCCGTTGGGCGGTGAGCGAAAAGGCGCCTGGCGAGCGTCGCTTGCCGCGTCTAATCTTGCCAGATTGGGTTGTCCTCGCTGCATTTTGCCGTTTGCACCACCCAATATCAAAAAGGCGAAGAGTGACGAAGAGGACGAAGTCAGCGACCAGAGCCGCCAGCGCGAGACGCACTCGTTTCCCACCAGCTAGACCTCCTGGGCCCTTGCCAGCACCCCGAGCCTGCCCTCGCTGTCCTTTCTCGCGGCGCCTGTTTCTTTTTTTTTCGTTGGTCATCGCCGGCGTCAAAACCCCTTCTCCCCGCCCTCCGTCAACCTCGCGATATCTCCGGACCAGATCTCCTGTCTAAGCGCCTCGGAAAGCTTGCACTGTCTCTCTCTGCCGTCCGTCGTTCCCCTGGAGGGCTTGCCCAAATCCGCCTAGAGACTTCAGAGTAAGAACACGCCTTCGTCCAGTGTCTTAATCTTTACCCAATCTTCTCTTGCCTTTTTTTTTTTTTTTATTATTATTACTTTGCAACAACCTTCGGGAGACGGAACCTTCGAATTTCGGTCGTCACTCCCGCACTCTGGAGGCGTTGCGTTTCTTCCTTTTTACGCGCTTGCAGGAAGGTTAACAGGCCTAGCTTTTCTTTCTCCTTAGAATAATGCCTTCCAACTCGAAACGGTCAGCTACAGTGCCAGCAGGCTCGTTGGGTCAAAGTCCAACCTCCTCCAACACAGCTAGCACTGCAGCCAATGCTAGCACTACGACGTCCACAATGCCACCCATAGAAGCCGTAAGTCCAGGTAGCTTGCCGGATAAGTGCTTGGTTAACCAAACATCGAATCTACAGGCTCCTACCGTCAACCGGAAGAAGCAGAAGCGGCGGCAGAAACAAGCCGCTCGTTTAGCCGCGGAACAACAACGTAGTGATGCGTCTACCCCCACAAACAGAAACGGTCAGGATGGCAGTGACGGGTACGATACTGGCACTAGACTTGGACACACCTGCAGTTCAACGCAGCAACGTATGTCTAACACCAAGAGCGAGTCGATTAACAACCCTGGCGCATGGTATTCGGACCACGACCGGAATTTTTCACGCAGCCAACATGACGATCATCAACAACATAATAATAACAGTAATAATAACGATGGAGGCTCGAGTCAACCCCAAAATAATGCTGGAAGTCGGAAGAGCAAAAAGAAGAAAGGCAAAAAGGGTCGGAATGGAGGCCAGACTGCTGAAGGGAGCTCTACGTCCCACTCAACACCACCGCCGCCACCACCCCTTACCTCTTCAGCACGCCCTGTTGGAGTACCACCGCCCCTCGTCAACGCCTATCGATCAGCTCACAGAATATCCAAGGATCGCATATGGAACACGTCAACTCATGAAGAGCGAGAGAATATCAAAGAATTCTGGCTACAGCTAGGCGAAGAGGAACGTCGTTCGCTAGTCAAGGTTGAGAAGGAAGCTGTGTTGCGGAAAATGAAAGAGCAGCAAAAGCATTCCTGCAGCTGCACGGTATGCGGCAGGAAACGAACAGCCATTGAGGAGGAGCTGGAGGTATTATATGATGCATATTACGAAGAGCTGGAACAGTATGCCAACAATAACCAGGCCTCCTTTGAGAACGGCACTTCGCTTCGACTACCGCCCCGACTATACCAAACACCTATTCGATCCCTACACCATCACCACCACCATCATCACCACGCTCATTCCCACTCCCACTCCCATTCCCACTCTCACTCTCACATACCCAACACCCAACACCCATCACGAGGGCGAGTACACGAACTGCCAGAAGACGAGGAGGACGAGGAACTAGAGGAAGATTATGACGACGAAGATGAAGAAGATGAGGAACCTTATAGTGATGATGATCTTGATGTGGACACTAGGACAACTAGAGCCGACTTCTTTGCCTTTGGAAACAGCCTAACGGTGAAGGGTAAGATTCTTTCCCTTTCATCATTCGTTATCTACTGAGGTTTATGGATGATCACTAATGGATAGCATTGCAGATGGGATCCTGACAGTAGCAGACGATTTACTAAAAAATGACGGGAAACATTTCATTGATATGATGGAACAGTTAGCAGAACGGCGGATGCAGCGCGAAGAAGAGACACAATATCTCGCTTCGGCGGGCCATCCGCCAATGCAAGCTGGTCATAATCATGGAGCTCCATTAGACGATGAAGACTATGATGATGATGAGGATGAAGACTATGATAGCCAGGAAGAGGATGAATTTGAAGAAGACGAGATGGTTTGTTTTAAGCAATGGCTTTCAGGAACAATAGGAAAACGTATCCATACTAATTACTTTGCCACAGGATGCAATGACGGAGGAGCAACGAATGGAAGAAGGCCGGCGGATGTTCCAGATATTCGCCGCTAGGATGTTCGAGCAACGGGTTCTGACAGCTTATCGAGAAAAGGTTGCCCGTGAACGACAGCAACGGCTTATAGAGGAACTTGAAGAAGAGAACCGGCTGGATGAAGAGCGCGAAGCAAAGAAAGCCAAGGAAGCTCAAAAGAAAAAGGACAAAAAGCGCTTACAGAAACAAGCCAAGGACGAGGAGAAAGCTAGACGGGAGGCTGAACGAGCCGCCGAGCTTGCTGCTCAAAAAGCAGCAGAAGAGGCGAAACTCAAAGAACAGCAACGGAAGAAAGAAGAACAAAGGAAGAAAAAGGAAGCTGAAAAGAAAGCTCAGGAGGAAGAGCGACTCCGGAAGGAAGCTGATCGACAAAGACGACTGAAGGAGGAGCGTGAACGTCAGGCGGAGGCTGAGAGAAAGCAACGAGAGCAAAAGGAGAGAGAGAAGAAGAAACGCGAGGAGGCAAAGAGAAAGGAACGGGAAGAACGGGAGGCCAAAGAAAAAGAGCAACGAGAGCGAAAAGCCAGAGAAGAGCGTGAACAGAAGGCTAAAGCAGAGCAAGAAAAACGAGAAAAAGATGCTGCTGCTGCTGCCGCTGCGGCGAAGGCTGATCGTGAGCACAGACGGGATGAGCTGGGATCTATTCAAGCCGAGCAACATCTACCAGCTCAAGGTGCAAAGCGGACTTCACAGCCTGGAGCAGCGTATTATCCGCCAGGGCTCCACCACCCACAACCTCCAAATCTGCTTCAGTCACCTCATTTTCAAGTTGCTACACCTGTGATACCAAAGGCACCAACGCCCGTTCGAGCTCGGCAAGCTTCACAGCAGGACTCTCATGCTTCGTCACCTCGCTCTCAACCTGCATACACCGATACCCTGCAAACCTCAATCTCTCCTGGAGCCGCGCATTCATCCGGTGCGTCCAGTGTTGTGTCAAATAAGGGAATGGCACCACATCCAAGCAGCCTTCACCACCCGCAACAAGCTGCGCCTCTGTCACCTTTGGGAGGGCCAGGCCGTAGTGGTCAACCCCCACCAGGATTCAATGCCTTGCCAAGTTTGAATGGTATCCCCAGTGCTGGAGTGCCAGGAATGGGACATCGTGGATCTTTAAGCCATGAGAACCCCATGTACCCGAACCCCCTTGCCGGTCAGTTTAGAGGAATTGGGTCACCAGAAGGTCTCTCCGCTCCACCAGGAATTGTTCCTAGGCATGCTCCTCAGAGCAGAGGATTTGGATTGGAGTCAACACACAATCCATTGGCTTTCCACTCACCGCTAATGACATCGGGCACTCTTGGCCCACAACCTCTCCAGATACCTCGTGAGAGCCTTTCCCATGGACACGGACATACCAGCCAGCTCTCTGCGGCAATTGATAGGAGTGCTAATGAGCCTCTTCCCCTCAATCAACCTATAGGGTCCCGCCCAGCCCCTATCCAGCGGCCGTCTAGTACTGTTCATGACCATGGAAAGGACCGCTCAAAGCCAGGCCAGTCGGACGTTGATGAACTTAGTACTCAGCTAGGAAGCAGTGCACTGTTGGATGATGCGGACCTCCCCCTTCATACTGTGCCCTCACAACCAATACCCGCTCCAGGAGCCGGAAGAATGGCGTTCGGGACGACCCCTCTTTTCTCCGAATCGTTGGGATGTAAGTCACATTTCACTAAGCCCAAGCTGCTATTCACATACATTTGATATCTGACAGCATCCATTCTTAGCTACCACCACTTCAAACTTTCCTCTAGGGGCACCATCCGGCGGTGGCACATGGGGTTCGGCAATTCCGTTTGGACCTCCAGGATTCGCCAGTACGTCTTGGGGTGCCGGTCCAAGTAAGTTTTCAACGTATTTAAAACCTTTACAGCCTCACGCAAGTACTAACTTCGAAAGGCCCAACATGGTCCACCGGAGCCTTCGGTATTATTGGAAGACCTCACCACCCGCATACCCCGAGACCAGTCACTATCCGTCTATTGGTTAGTCAAGCGTGCAAAAAACTCACAGCTAGCTCTCCTGAAAGCTCCGGCTTCCATAGCACGAACCAAGTTCTACGGCAAATCGAGCAGCTTAACCCGCCACTTGACGCACCAATCACTCTAGAGGAGATTGTGGATATCTGTGATACTGAAGGCAATTCACAGAACGGTGGTGGCTCTCTTATTGTTGACTATGCCGGGCCTCGCGGGACCTTCATCAAGTTCGAGCCCGACAGCACTAGCCCATTATCTGCCACTATGCCCAACACATCTCCTGGAGACATTGGCAGCCCAGTCCCGAGAAATAGCTACCCTGCCCACATAGGTAGCGGTAGTGGCGGCACTGCGGCCGGCGCTGGTAACTCCAATTCCAGATACTTCCCTTCTACCAACGCTACCCCTCCCGCCGGATGCTAGGATGTTTGTTGCGGATATGGTATCACTAGCTCCGAAGGGAGGTCTTGGCTTTTCCCCTTTGACGTACCTCTTACAACGCTTCTCGACCTTTCTTACCGTCACTCCCAACATACCTACAAGCTTTTATGATCCACCCCCTCCATTCTCATTCCCTACGCTGTCCTCCCTCGACACTCCTTAGGAGCTCTAGATACCAACACTTATTTCTTCGGCCTCTTTTCCTTGCTCTCCAGCCATTGCAGTCTTCATCTATTACTTGCTTTCGTGGTTCCATGGCATGTCTTTCTCGATTTCCTCTTTACCCTCTTGCATTGTTACAATAAAACCTCGGCTTTGCTCTGCTTCCATTTCTTTGTTAAACATTTCCCTGCTTAGGGTGCATACGATTTTTCCATGTACTGTACTTTCAGCAAGGAAAGCAAATAATGCTACTGGCTGGTATGCCGGCGGGGGCAGCTGGCGTGCTGTTATGGGTAGTTCTCGTTTCTCCATTTTGCCCTTACGATGAATAATCGGATGCTTGAGGCGTTTTCAGCAATTAAATTCAGTTATTCGTCCCCTTTTCTATTAGAAGGCACTCTATACAACGTCGCCGAAGAGGTAGTTCGTTATTCTCCCTGTAGTGTACACATGTATATGTAGGAATGAAGATTAATTGGATGAAGTGGCTGAGCGAGCCTAACCGAAGCGATGTGGTAAATCTATGAAACAGATTGCCGTCGCATATACATTTGACTACGATGTAAAGAACAGTGAGCAAAACGCGGGATTATATCGTATCATCACCTTCTCGTAGCCCCTCGGTTCATTTACTGTCTGGGTGGCTCTGTCACAACTCCTTCCCACTCCCTAGATTTGATATAATCCAAAGTTCGTTCAAAATGGCGTCTGGGACTTTCCAGGCTGGAACTTGGAATTCCCTCGGTCTGGTTTGACTGGAGATTAGAATATATGAGCTCGATAAGGCCATTGAGGTATTTCGTTGTCACAGTCTCGTTTTGCTGGTCGAAATAGTAAACATAGCGGTTCAGTATCTCGATGAAGAGCTCCACTGATACAGCAGTATCCATGCAAGCATCTGCCACACGAAGAGCGCGCTGGAGGCATTCCAGGACACGTTTACCATCACGATAAACCTGCAAGAATAGAATCGTTAGTTATAAATAGGATATACGATTTAGCTTTAACGAGAATAGGCTTACAATATTAGGCTCATCTCCCTCCTTCTGTGGGCTTTCAACGACCCACCAAAGATGGCTTGCCAAGTAAACTGCACGGCATTGATCTGGTTTCTTGAGAAGTTTACTACCGTGAAGGGCAGCCTTGGTGATGAGGGTATCATAGTTCTCTCTTCCGAAATTTCTGCATCCGTGCAAGGCACTTGAGATGATACAGACAGCTTGGAATTGCGCCCTCGAGTCGCTGATAGAATCTTCATAAACAGTAAAAGCCTGTGCGAAGAATTCATAGCTGACTTCTTCAAAACCAGTTTCATCCGCTGTTTGTCCACAAAGTACAAAGAGGCGCAATGCAAGATCAGCACAACCAGAGTTCACACGCTGGTACAGACTGCTGACACATTGATGCATAAACCTAAAGAGCGCAGATGACTGAGGTTGCCAGTTATCATCAAAGTGCTCGCGGGCCTTGAACTTGCGGGCCAGCTTGATGGATGATGTTATTATAGATGGTGTGGTATATCTTATACGCTCATTTCCATCCAGATAAGCTGTTCGCAAGGCTTGTAATAGCTTTGAAAACCATTAGCTTTTTGCAAAGAACGTTGATTTCTAAAGAAATTCGAACTTACCTTGAGTTGTGTATCATTATCTGGCCCTTGAACTAAATGAACTATTCGCGCCAGCCAGCCTTGCTCTTCGATTGTCTCCTCGGTTTCACCTCCACGTCGCTGAGATTGAGCGCCAGGGTAGCCAGCTGGTTGTTGCATTCCTTCCCTGATCAAAACTCGTAGAATCTGTAGGACATTATCCAGATTCTCAGGTGAAGTAATTGATGTTCTATTTCGCAAAATATTTCGTGCGACTTCACCAGCAACTGCTCTTCGGGTTGAATACGACTGTGCGGCGAAGAAAGGAATATAATTTGGAAGAGATAATGCGGTGAATATAGAAACGTATGACTGGAGAGGAGCAAGTAAAAGGTTTAATATGCTTGACTGCGCTGGCGCAGAATGGAAGTCTGCACTATCAGAGTGTTCGGTCGCGGTCTTCGTGGCATACTGGAGTACTTGATCAACATATTCTTCTAGCAGTTAGCGCATTGATTTGAAAAGGGTTAATGGGTATAGATACCTAGTCGGTCTGGATATATGTTCCTATACGCCTGTCAGCATTGCTCTTTGAAGATTGGCAGTATTTTTTGACTCACAGGGCAAGGTTTGTCAACGAAACTAAAAGGGCAATGGTATCTTGAATGGGAATTCCTCGAGTCTTCACCAGATTGAGCACTTGGTCGTAGAAGATTTCATAAAGCTTGATATTCCCAGGCAAGAAAGTTGCCTCCTCGCTTTCTTGTTGGTCCTCCACAGATTCTGGTTTCGTGTCTTTACCGCCGTCTCCTTCACCGGGCTGGTTAATACCATTTTCCGGTTGCACAATTCCTTTTTCTTTATCTGCTGTTTTCTGTTCGTCGGAGGCTGGAGGAGCTTCACCTCTTTCCTTTGACAATTGGAGGTTTTCCAATAGCCGCACTGTTGCCTCTTCCTCGGCCTTCTTTCTTACTTCTGGGTCATCACTTTTTTCGGAACCACGAGTAGCATAAGTTGACAGCCTATCCATGAGACCAATGACAATTTTTTTCATATCAACATGCGGATTTAATCTTGCGATAGCAGACAACATTGAGTCCAACGTGTGCAAGTGATATTCATCCGGAAATACTTTTGTTATCACTGTAAGGATGTATTAGTAGATATTCTGTCAAATTGAACGATGTTCAAAGCTTACCTTCCAGTAAGTACTCTTGCGCAAGCACGTCTCGGCACTGAACTACCTGCTCCAGGAGAGGTTGTAATATAACTGATTTGTACGCCTCCAAATCAACCAGCTGGCTAAGACGAACCAAATTACTTCCAACAAGAAGCTCTAATTCTTTTCTCTCCTGCGTTCGCTTCTCTCGTTCCCGGGAATGGCCTTGGTGCTGTAATCGTACCCATAGCTTATTCATTTCCACGAAATTGGTCAGGACAAAGTTAGTGGAATCTTGGAGGTTACCTTGGGGTCCATCGCCAGAACCCATGGGTAGATAATCCCGCGCTTGGCCAGAGAGATAATATCTCAAGAATAGTCCGCGGATTGGGTGTTGTACACCTCGACTCATTTCCATCATATCCTTCATAATTTCCTTGACTGGAGCATCCGGGATGGACATGTATACGGTGCCCACGGTAATCATAAGATAGAGACGGGGAACAATGTTTCCAGCATACTGGACCAGTTCGTACAAATCCGCCAAGTGATTCACTGGATGAGATTCTCGAAGGTAGTCTGACAGGTGACGAAGCGCATCGAATACCGCCATATACAATTCGTAGTATTGCTTTGGTCCCAATGTAGGTGTTCTAAGCTCAGCTACCAGCGTAGATCTGCAATTGACGATTAAAAACGGGTGTTAGCGGATTGTACACTATTCAGGACATGTGCAAATGGAGAGATTAAAATATTGCGTCAGCCTAGTATAGTTGCCCAGTCTCCTTCACTTACCCGCATTTCAATGCATCCATCAGCTTCCCAGGTGTTTCCAGACATCGTCGCATCATATGCGACTGCTGTCGTACCACCCCAAGAGCCTCTTCCAAGAGGCGACTCTGGTCTTCTGGGACATGGGGGGCACTGGCCATCGTGGGCCGCAATAGGTCTCCAACCTGGAACCCGGTGTTAAGCGCGCAAAGTGTATAGCACCGTAAAGAAGAAGAAACAGGTGATAGATAATCAGCTAGAGGTCACCAGAACACACTTAGCAGGAGAAAAGCTCATCTCGATATCATACAAGCTGGCTGTCATCAAAACATCATCCAGAAGCCGAGTTGGAGTCTCCTGCCCAAGATGAGCTAAACAACGCTAACCCGAAACAGGAAAATTTGGCGCTAGACCATAAATAGAAGAATATGGCGCTGTTTTAGCTTAGTCAAAGACCGCACTAACATTTCACTCGCTGCTTTTAACTCAGCCCGAAAAACTAAAAACTCCCCCGGAATTTGCTTTGCTTGCGACAAACAAATCTCCAACCGAGTCGCGATGGAGATGCAAGGCGGAGGAGGGCTGGCAGGGACTCTCCGCACATGGATACAGATTACGCGCATGACATGGAACGGACTGCGCTCCACGCTCCACGCCTTTCATTTGTCAAAGAGAAATAATGGTTACGTCCTCCAACCGGAAGACTCCAGTAGCGGTTCATTTCGGAGAAATTTGGTGGCTGGGAATCCCAACCACCGCATTTCTTCATGGCAAAATGCACAAAAACCGGGGGCTCACCAAGTACCGCCTCCAGAAAACAGAACACAGAACAGAAAATGATTTCTGGTTTCTTTTATGACCTTTATTTTAACTGTGGCTGATGATATCTGTTATCTTGTTTTCATGAAGTTACGCCTAACGACGTCCCGAAAGCTATTTAAAGATCTTTGATTAAATATAACATCCTCTAACATCCTTCGAGATACGGAGTACAGAAGTGTAGATTGAGAATCCTACCTTCAGTCTGGCTAAAGCATACTATAAATATGCAGCTTAGGTTCAAGAAGGCCTTGCTATCGGCAGCACTGCTTGCTCACCTGTCGAGCTCACTACCGCTGATACCTCATTTGCCCCGGGGAGTACCTTACTCGGTTGTCCAGGTTGACGGAGGGCCTGAAACACCTTCAACCGATATATATGCGACGGTCACCGTCGATAAACCTGGCCCGACTCTACCTCCAGTCACCCATACAGCAACGATCACCCACACAGTACAGCCTTCTGTTTCGACAACAACTACTACGACCATTACATCGACGACATCCTATACCTCACCATCGTCGACAACGCCTAAAACAACAATAACAACGACTACACCTCCACCAAACACGCCCACATTGACGTCAAGCACATCAACTACACTGTCAAGCTCTCCAACGTCAACACCTGCCACTACCTCGTCAAGCCAAGTTACTACGACAACAACATCACCCATGCCTACGACTACCACCCATGCCACGTCAACCAAGCATACCACTGTAACAACGCAATTCCCAACCGCGCCTACTTTGACCTACCCGCCGGTATCCTCCCGTATGTCACTTCCAACTGGTGCAGCCACTAGCCCTACACAGGCTGCGTCTATGAAATTTCACATGCCTTCGCTCATCCCCCATGTTGGCGCATAAACTCGCCCCCTATAACTCTGGATCATGGGGCTTTCACAATTGAATACTCGCGCCATGGTTCCCGCGGGGATTATGCGGCTACATATATTGTCGGGGCAAGATACTAGCTGTCAGCAGTACTAATACTTGAAGCGTTTAAGACTACTGCATGCATGCATTGACTGGAGTTATTTGGGGTTTATTAAACTGTTATTCTGGGCTTTTAATGTATTAGACGATAATGTGCCAGCCATTACACCATTACCGGGAAGATAGAAATTAATATGACTTGATGCTATCCTACAATTAAAGATTCTAGTATTTTGATATCTCTTACTATTATTCACACTCTAGGTACAACGCCTTCTTTGCTTCTTAGACCCAGATGTGATTATGTAATAATAGTTAAAGATGCGCCAGTTGGAGTTCACTTCAACGTGAATATTCATTCCCACCAGTCTATTCTACGAAAGTTATATACTACTATCTTGACAGGAGGGGAAGGTATGATACCCCAAGTAGGGCATGGATGCAATGAATGCAGCCGAGCAACAGATTGTCGTTGCTGAAACCAACGGCTCAACTCCGATACCAGACCAAGACTACGAAGACGAGATAGTCACACAATATCCAGCATCTGAATTTTCTGACGAGGAATATGAGGCCGACGAGGGCATTAATAAACGGCGAAAGAAGACGGGGAAAAACCTAGACCGGCGTAAGTTACCACTAAGGATGTCCCTTGGGTAATACTGGGGACGCGCTAATCCAACCCCAGGGGTTGAGCCTCAGTTTTACTCTTGGATATACCGCTAACAGAGAAGAATATGGCATTAGCGCAAAAGCAAGACCAGCCAAATACCCAAACTTATTCACGCGGCTTGCTGAAACCGTCTAATCATTCTTCCAAGACTCTTCAACTGAGGTTGACATTCGGGTCTGGGGACCAAGACATTCTACCCATAATACATACCAGAGACAATTGGTCAGGAGGGTTAGATTTGACTTTCCCAAGTAGAGAAAGCCTCCAGGTATGCATTGGCTGGAATTCGCGCGGAAGTAAAGACATATTCGGGGTCGACAGAGAGACGATTATCCGCGAGACCACTACAGGCTGGGACTGGTTTTATAGTGATATAGGGACCAGGTTCCGTGGAAAGCAACAAATTCTCCCTATTACCGAAGATATAGCAAATACTTATTTACCCAGCAAGGAGATGCCGAAGACAACTGTGTTAATCGGCCCATCAGATGCCCAAAGCACGTTCTTGTTAGGACGCGGTGAATCATTTGACTTCTCTTCTGCATGGCCTTCTACAGAATCCATTGCTATAAAACAGGAGGCAGAAGAAGTATCCGCCTCACAGGCAAATGAGCGGGCTCCAGACGTGCCTAACCGAGTTAAAGCCCGGGAAGGTTGGATCGTAAACCTCGGGAATAAAATTCAATGTCTCAGCTGGGCTCCTAATCGCGAAGGGAGCTCTCAATTCCTGGCCATTGTAGCTCCTATATTCGACAGTCAGAAAGCACAGTTCGATGATGGAAATATCAGAGGTGCCCCTGCATTCACCCCTTCGCCGCTATATCCTGCAGCAATCCAAATTTGGAGATTTGAAGCCAGGGATCCCAAGAGTGGACTTCGGAAACTGGACATGAATAAACCCCCATGCTTGCATATGGTCATCTGCACGGAATTTGGCACAATAAACCGCCTTTGCTGGTGCCCTATTTCTGTCAACCGCGATTCAGATGATAGAAATGATACTAAGACCACGAGACCCGCCCTCCTAGCAGGGCTTTGGAGCGATGGTACTGTCAAGGTCTTCAATGTTGACTTAAGCGACAGCAAAAGTGAAACCACGTACGGTATGTACAGCATGTTTTATAGTTCTCCTCAACTGTACCTATCTAACTGTCTTATCAGTCCACCTAAAAACACCAGCTTTCCAAGTCAAACCCCCATCGACAGTGTGTACTTGCTTCACCTGGCTGTCTCCCACAGATATAGCTATAGGATGTGCAAACGGGTTTATTGGTATATGGAGTTTAGTCCAGTCGGCTCGAAGAGAATCACTTGCCTACCCTGAGCCCTATCTATACGTCCCAATCCACGACACATACATACTTAATGTTACTTCAGCTTATCCTACCTATCCATATATTATTGCAGCAACCTCGGTGGGTGGCCAGACGCGGCTAATATCCCTCCAAGATCCAGCAGCGGAAGTGGTTGATGCGCTTCGACTGAGGATAGGGACTCAATGTCTCATATACTCCCCTTTTTTACGCTCCTTTATTACCAATGACGAAGGAGACTTTGTTCGGCTTCTTCCTCTCCGCCGCTTCTTTTCAAGCCTTGCTGCGCTCAAGTCTCGAAGTATTATCACCTCCTTAGCGACTGCAAGCTTACATCATCCCTGCATTCTCGCAGGAAACGCAGGAGGAGCGGTGATGGGGAACAACCCCCTTCGAAAGCTCATTCATTCCAAGGAAAAGCAGTGGCAACAGACCTGGTTTTCGCATGAATGGATTAATGGAGAAAATAATAACATCACTCCGGGACCAGTGGCCAAATTCTATGATGGATTCAAAGCAGAAACAGCGAGCCTGGCCAAGGGTTCGTCAGCTCAAGATAAGGAGACAGGCCATGTGGGCATGATGACTGTATATGAAGAACAAACCGCCATCACAGCCATTGCTTGGAATCCAAACGCATCGTGCTCTGGATGGGCATGTGCCGGGATGGGGAGTGGTTTGCTCCGTGTGGAGGATCTGGCGCATGAATAGTTTGTCTTACGCCCTTCTATCTATCCCCAGAGATATTGTATACAGGCGTTGTGCACCGGAAAATACTCACCATATAAACTACTTACGAGAACACTAGCTATCTTTTCCCCACTACTGGATGTTCGCACAAAAACTCCACTGCTCGTAATTGTCTAGAGACATGGAAGTGGTAATCCAGATATGAGATCCTCCCGCCCCCTGGCAGATTTAAGCTTTCCGCTCCAGGGAAGCTCCTATTTTTAACTTTAAGGTTAACTAGTTAGTTAGCGGAACTTCCGTGCAACGACGGACATCCCACCAATTTGTTTCCTCCAAGGCGACAATCAACCTAAAACGTTCAACCTGTATATATAGTTCTTCTTGCACTCAATGGGGGATCCCATCGGTGGGATAATCAGGAGAAATAATTACTCATTGACGATACGTTGCCGAGGAGATGAACCCAGAATCGACTCCAGCCATGAGGGCTGGTGTGCTTCATCAATATGTATGAGCTATCTATTACACTGACTTCTGATAATGCCCCAGCTCTCCTTTCAACCTCCAGAACGCAAGCTAACGGTGATTTTCAGTCCGCAGGTCTCAATACTTTTGAGTACAAGTCACTCACTGCCAGCAAGGCGAAACCGCATGCATTGCTACTGATTGCGGGGCTCTCAGACGGTTTATGTACTGTACCATTTATGAATGACCTGGCCGTCTCTCTTGAATCAACAAACTGGTCCGTGTTCTATGTTCTGCTCTCGTCATCGAATACCGGATGGGGATTGAGCAGCCTTGATAAGGATGTGGAAGAGCTAGGAAGATGTATCGACTACGTTAAAGCCCTCAAAGCGCGTGAATATCAGGGTGAACCTGGTAAGGTCGCAATAATGGGGCATTCGACGGGAAGTCAAGATGTTTTGCATTATCTCTACACCCAAGCCCCAGAACAGACTAGATCAGCAGTAGACGGCGCTATTCTCCAAGCACCAGTCTCCGATCGAGAGTCCACTCTTTCCATACTCGAAACTGGTACTGCCAATGACTCCGCGGAGGTTGTAAACGAAATATTTTATGAGCTGGTTGACGTTGCAAAGTCCAACCTGAATGAAACAGATAACGGCTACATCTTGCCCGTCTCCATGACATCACGCATAGGGTTTCCATCAAACGTCGCGGTCAGCAGCAAACGCTTTTTGAGCCTAACCAGCCCAGATAGCCCAGAATCACCACTGGAGGATGACCTGTTTAGTTCTGACCTTGAAGATAAACGGCTGCAAGAGACATTCGGCATGATTGGGAAAAGAGGTCATTTGAAAGGATCAATCCTTGTGTTGCCTGGAGGTTCTGATGAATACATACCGGAATGGGTAGATATGGAAAGTTTACTCAAGAGGTGGGAAACCGTCACTAAGGCTGGTAGTGATAATCCTGCTATTTGGAATGAGAATAGCGGCGTTGTCCCTGGAGCAAGACACTCTCCTCAAGGGAAGTGGCAAGTTAAACCTATACAGGACTTGCTATCGAGAGTCCAAAAATTCCTCGCTAGTCTCGAACTATCTTAACATGCCCCCAAAGATAGGAATAATAGAAGTTTCTTAAATCTGCTTTATTGGGTATTCTATTTCGACATATTGACGCAGGTATTAAAAATCTTTTATAATATGCCAGGCCAGAACCTCGTAGTGTAAAAAGGACAACCTTCCCCCATTGATAACAGTGCCTGTAACCTGACCTCCGATGTCCCCATAATTCGCCGTGCACGAAGGAAAATAACCCTTTAGAAAGTAGGGGAGACAAAAAAGTAGAAATTGGAAAGGCCATCTCAGTTACATTAAACCTTGAGCCACAGAGTGAAAACACCCTTGAGATACTCGACAATCTCCTCGCCGCCGAGCTTGCTCTCGCCGTAGACACGGTCGACAAAGGTAATAGGGCATTCCTCGACCTTGTATCCCATTGCCTTTGCACGAACCATCATCTCCATCTGGAAGGTGTATCCTTTGCTCTCAGTAACTTTGATAACTTTCTCCAGAACCGGTTTCTTGTAGAGGCGGAAACTACCAGTCAGATCACTGACACCAGGCATCAATGCAACATCGGCAATTAAGTTGGCTCCACGGGATGTGAGCTTTCGGATCAGGTCCCATCCATACACACCGCCGCGCAAGTTTCCACGTGAGGCGTATCTAGTTCCAGTGACAATATCGGCCTTGGTGCTTTCCTGAATCTTGATCATCTCAGGGATGAACTTGGGGTGGTGGCTGAAGTCTGCGTCCATAATAATAATGAAGTTTCCAGTAGCAAACTTAAGGCCGTGAACGTATGCGGTCCCAAGGCCGAGCTTGCCTTCTCGAGGTTTCAAGACAATGTGTTGCTCGCCATAGGCAGCCTGGAGCTGCTTCGCAATCTCGAGTGTACCATCGGGCGAGCCATCATCAACTATAATGACCTCCCAGTTAAGCTTGCTAAATAATTGCAAAATTCTCCCGTTAGCATGCCAATTCTAATGTAATATTGGTGCAATAAATTAGAGGGGCTAGATAAGGGGTGAGGGGGGGGATGCTAGCAGCCATTGGGACACTCAACACTCACTTCTCACGGAAAGTCTTTTCAATCAGCCAACAAATGATTGGAAGGTTCCGGCGCTCATTGTAGGTAGGCAGAATAACGGAGTACTTGTTTGCAGGCGACATCTTTAGATGCGACGGAATTGGTGTTTGCTCGAACTGCGATTCGGCTTCTTGGTCCACGGCTTCTAGGGTTGGTCGATATCGAGGGCCCCGGCCGGGCATGCGGAACTCGCTATTACGCTATTAGACAAGGCGACCAGCAGAAGGAATGAAGGAAAACAGTAAAGGAGAGAGTGTGTGTGGCCTCAAAGCAAGTCTGCAGAAGCTCTCTTGTTGATGGCTTGCTGGCTTGTTTGATGCTTTGCATGTCTTTTCTTCCTCCTCAAGAAAGAAAAGTGATGAAGTAATCAAGGGGCTTACGTGGTCCGTGCACTCACCGCCTGGCAGAAACCCTCTTCTTTCCGTCCAAGCTTTGCATGACTTCAACCTCTTGGGCCAGAGTGTGCTGGGAGGAGGATGGACACAGGCTGCTGCAGGTCATAGAACAGAGGATAGAGAGAGAGAAAGTGTGTGGGCATGTGAGTGTGTCAGTGTGTGCTTTTATGTGTCTATCATGGAACCCTCCGGCTCACAGCATCGGCGGAATGTGTCTGTAAAAGGTATGTCTGCTCACCTTGTTCGACCTAGAGCAGTGCAGACTGACATGATAGCCCAGCTACTCGGCCGCGTAGCTCAACAAAGGGACCGTTAGATATCCCTGATGAGTACGATTCTACCTTATTAAACGCTCATGTTGGCTTCTCTGACGATTTTTGCGTCTGATAGACCAGATACCCGTTCTCCAACTCCGGCCGCTGCATCTGGGAACCGAGACTCCAAGACCAGTTCATTGCCATTTCACCCTGCAAGAGAGTTAAATGCATCACCCAAGGATAGCTCGCATATCCAAGTGACCCAGAACTTCTCCTTCCTACGCCAGCCCGAGATATTCCACCCTCTCTCGCAGTTGGAAATACCCCTCCCCTTTCGTTCGGAGTTCCCAAGCCTGCTGCCCGGCCAGCCGTTGGAATCGGCACTACAACAACTTAATGACCTATGCAAAAAAGGCCATTACCTTCCCGCGGCACATTTTGCCGCTACGATCCTAACCTCCAGCCTGATAACTTCCACTAACTATACCGCGATATTTTCCCTCTTGTATACTCGTCTAACCTGTCTTCTGCTTACGGGAAATACTCTCCTAGCCGCAGAGGAATCAAAAGCCCTGCAAGATTTGAATTCTTCATTCTACTATGTAGACGTCAAGCCTGACCTTCCAAAGGAGGATGGTAGCTCCCAGGAGCCCCCGGAAAAAGCTCACCTTGCTCCCTGGCCACTTCGTGTTATTGCCGTAAGACTACAGAGTATTGGGTTTAGTGATACCAGGAGAGGTATAACTGGACTTTATGACCTTGGATTAGAAGCTAGGAGACATATCATACGTCCTGGTGTCGGGGCTGAAGAGAAAGCACTGTGGAAAGCCAGACTAGGTGATCTGGGTATCCGCGTTGTTAACGCCCTGGTTGAAATGGGTGATCTGGAGGCTGCTCGCCGGTCTCTGGCTAGTATGGCTCCACCATCCAAGAGTGACGTCCGCATATTGCAACAGAGAGCTCTTTTGCACCTAAGGGTAGGAGATGTAGATTCTGCGAAGGATCTATTTTCTAGCGTTTCTAGCCCATCAGCCAACATCGTTGAGCCGTTATTAAAGATGGCTGAGGGTAAATTCGACGAAGCTGTCACTGGCTGGAACGAGCTTCTAAAAATCTACTGTGGCACGGATGACGAGGTTCTCATCAAGCAGAACCTTGCAGTCTGCCTTTTGTATGTTGGGGATCTAAAACAGGTAAGACCAAGTTTCTTTTTGACTGAGATACCCATTTGTAAATTTTTTTTTTTCTATTTAATCTTTTTTATCAACATGGAGGAAGGCTAACTCGTTCTATCAAGTCACGCGAAATCCTAGAGTCGCTCGTTGATGACCACAACTCTTTCCAAAGCCTCACGTTTAATCTAGCCACCGTGTACGAACTTTGCTCGGAGGATTCAGGGGCCCTCAAGGCAGCGTTAGCAGAGCGGGTGGCCGAACATCCCCAATCAGAGCATCGCAACTGGGAAATACCAAATGGGGCTTTTAAGATCTAAACTTCTTGTTGGAGTGTATTCTTCTTCTTCTTTTTTTTTTTTTTTTTCATTATTTTTTCCTGTCGTTTTTTGACTCATCTTATCATATCTTTCGTTTATAAATGGCCTGTTTGCATGCATTAGTCCAATACCCTAGTATGGTTAACCACCTATCGCCTACAGGGCTGGGACTGTCATACCTTCAAAACCCAGGCCGTTCAATTCCACAATAGGGCCGTCCTTTTTGGCAAAAACAGTTACAACCACTGGCAATGGATTATGGTCCTTGGCACTCGGATGCCAACTGGATGAGTGCTCATTCACGCAGCCTTGGGCTTCCTAATCCGGATTACGGCCTTGTCTCCTTCTCTTCGCCATCCGATGCCTTCCAACTTGACCAATTCCTCCCACGTGCAGCCGTCTGGCGAACCCGTGCAACATTCGATAATAAAGCGTATGTCTGCCGTCAAATAAGTTTTCGCGATAGCCTTGAGGGCCCTGCGTCGCATATAGGAATCAGACCAGCTCATCAGTGACCTCGTATACCCGTCCACATGCCTCCCGGATTTCCAGTAGAGGACCCAATTATCATGCAGCAAGGCAGAAACGATATTATCGACAGTGATGTTGTAATATCCAAAGGCGGCTTTAGACTTTGCGCGGAGTTCAAATGCAAGGTTGAGGTCAGAGCGCCGACAAACATAGTCGAGAATGAGGTAGGAGGTAAATTCGTGCAAATCGGATTCACTGAGGGCGCTCGACGGTTCGTTCAGCTCATGAAGCAAACGCCTCAATGGAACATAATAGGATGGAGGGTGCGCGGCAAGGATTCCCATTCGAATGCAGAAAACGTGGACATGCTGTGCAAACTCCAACGGGGTCTCGGACGCGGTTGCCACGACGCCTTCCCGCAGTTTGCGGAGTGATAGAAGCAGCACGGAGAGGTCCTTTGATGCCGAATCGGACAGGGTCTCAGGTCGAGAAGACTTGTTTTGTGGTGCCTGGTTGGGCTGAGACTCTTTATTAGCGGTGGAAGTGTCAGCCACTGGCGGATTCTTGGTTGCATCTTCGGTCGAATACTTGGGAAGGGAGGCAAAGGCAGCATCGATGTCACTTGAGTAGTCGTTGCAAAATTTCAAGTACCGCTCCATGATTCTCTCATAGTAGGCAAACTGTGCCTTCACGTTGAGCAGCCTATTCAAGCAGAGAACAGTTTAGCTACCACCACCAACGCGATCAAGGAGGATTATAGAAGGAAGGAAGCAAAACGGTATATGGATATGGGGGGCATCCTACACTGTATCTCCCTTAGAAACGAACCCTGCCTGCTCTAATGGATCGACCACCGCCGGTCTCAGTCGACTTCTGGAGGGAGAGGAATTGCTCGACCGCGGGCCCTCCATGGCTCGAACTAGATGAAGAAAAAAGACAAGACGTGAGCACTCGAACCACCCAGCCGTGAACAGACGCGACCCTCGCTGCCCGAGTCGCAGCTTTGGCTGTCTTGCTCGTCCTGGTCCTCGTCGTCCTCGTCGTGTCTTTCTTGCTTACCGGCGACTCTCTCCCGCCATGACCTCATGCGCGCCGCCAGTTTGCACTGTTTGCAGACTTTCACGTGCTGATAAAGAAGATGTTGAGAAAAAGATGTTGAGATAAGAAAAGACAACAAAGCTGGAGGGCTTCACAGTTCTCTCTCCTGTGCTGCTGGCTGCTGGCTGCTGGCTGTTGGTGTCAGAAGAAGCCCTGATGTGAGAAGAAGAAGAAGAAGAAGATAGCAAAACAAACAAACAGAAAGAGAAATGTCTCTTCTGCAGCGCCGAGCAGTCACTGCTGCTGCTGCCACCGCCGTCTACAGGAGGGAGGAGAAAGAGACATCGCAGCAGCAACAGCAGATAAAGACAGAGACAGAGGCAGAAGCAGAAGTGCTAGAGCAGGAGAGCTGGACTGCGACAGTCCACTGGGATGCGCTGCCTCGCTGGCTGCAGGATAACCACCATATCCATACCGGCTACCGGCCGGCCTCTGCCTCGTTCCTGCGGAGCTTCCACTCGCTGACCTATGTCCACAATGAAACCGTCAACATATACACCCACCTGCTGCCGGCTCTCCTTACCCTCCCGACGTCGTTCGTCCTCTACCGGGCCCTCTCGCCACGGTACCACACGGCAACTCCGGCAGACATCGTCGTGTTCAGCTGTTTCTTCGCCGGCGCCGCGTTCTGTCTTGGGATGAGCGCCCTATACCATACGATATCAAACCACTCGCCGTGGGTTGCTTACATCGGCAATGCTTGCGACTACCTCGGAATAATAGGTCTGATCACTGGCAGCTTTATCCCCAGCATCTACTATGGCTTTTACTGTACGCCACAGCTGCAGAGACTGTACTGGGGCATGATTGTGGTCCTCGGAGCCGGGTGTGCAGCCGTCGCGACAATCCCCCGTTTTCGCAAACCGGCGCTGCGGCCGTTTCGAGCAGCCATGTTTGTAGCATTGGGCCTCTCTGCTGTGTTCCCCGTTACGCACGGCGTGGTGGTACTTGGATTCAGCCAGGCGCGCTTACAGATTGGGCTGGACTGGCTGATAACTCAGGGGGCCCTTTATATCATCGGCGCAGCCATATATGCTGCCAGGGTGCCTGAGTGTCTGCATCCGGGCAAGTACGACATTATCGGGCACTCGCATCAGATATTCCATGTCCTGGTTGTCCTTGCGGCCGGCGCCCATCTGACTGGCCTTCTGGGGGCTTTTGACTACCGGCACAGCCTGGCTACTCAATGCTGACTGACTGGCCTACAGAGATGACTGTCTAGAACACCTTTCAACACACCTTCAACCTATCAACCTATGTAAACTATAGCCATTATACTATTAATATTGATAATAATATCGATACTCCCACCCACAGCTCCTTCCCTTGGCTCTCTCAACCAGCGACGCAACACAATGGCGCTCTGCTGTCGTATGATAATCGTACTTAAAAAATAGTCCTCCGTCGGCATTTTCGGGTGTTTCGTCCAGTCGCAAGCTGTGCTGGACCTCGGCATTTCCCCTTCTCGGCCTCCCCAACGTCGCCTTCTCTTACACCGCATGCTTTGCCCATGGGAAGCCGGCCTGCATCTTCACCCTGTTTACATCTCGACTCCCTATAGATTGTGTATACATCGTTTTACCTTGTGCTTGCTATTGCTATATACTCTCTTTTGTTCTTACGTATTATCCCCACTTTACCTAACTAGTTACTCCTGCAGGCAGCGGCCAGCAAAACCCGCCGAACGCAATAATGACTCCTCAAGACCGCCTGAACCAGGTCTCCGCGCACCTCAACTACCCCCAAGGCATGCTTGCTGGTCAAGTAGCCATTATAACCGGGTCGGGACAGGGCATAGGGGCAGAGGCTGCTAGGCTCTTCGCCAACGAGGGCGCCAAAGTTGTCGTCGCTGACCTTGACAGCTGTCAGTAAGACCATATCCAATATCCAACTAGAATCAATAAATACCTTATAAGGTCTCCTCAGTAGACACTGGAAAAAAGACAGAATGAGCTCATACGTCAATGATACTATATAGCCAAGGCCGAGGCCGTTGCCAAAGCCATCAATGATGCATCTCCTGGCAGAGCAATTGCCGTTGCAGGAGACGTACAGGATGGAGCGTACCTGAAGAGACTCGTACAAAGGGCCGCTGAGTTCGGAAACGGAAAGATCCATATCATCGTGAACAATGCTGGATTCACCTGGGACGGAGTCATCCACAAGGTGCCGTATACCCCCTCTCGCGTTTGCACCCATCGACATTCTTTTGTTTGGATATTATGCATGGACTCAGCTGATTGACAAACCAAACACAACTATAGCTTACTGAGAAGCAATGGGATACCATCATTGCAGTCCATGCCACTGCCCCTTTCAAACTCGTTCAAGCTGCAGCTCCATACTTCCGGGTAAAGGACGGTGAACCAAGAATAATTGTGAACATCAGCAGCACCAGTGGAATCCATGGAAACGCGTATGTCACAATCATCCCCTTCCCAGTTTCTCACTGACTTGAAAAGAGAATGAATGAGTAAAGAAAAGGTTCTAACTACGCATTTCTTCAGTGGACAAGCAAACTATGCGGTTGGAAAGGCAGGTATGGTCGGTCTGACCAAAACTATTGCTAAGGAATGGGGACCAAAATTCGGTGTGCGAGCCAATACTATTGCCTTTGGATTCGTCCTCACCCGATTGACTCAGGCAAAGGAGACCGGGGCCTTCATCACCACTCCAGATGGTGAGAAGGTTGCTCTCGGCATCCCCGGCTCTCAGCTGCCTACCCAGACCAAGGAGTCTCAGGAGGCATACGCTGATATTCCCCTTCGACGAGCGGCGAGTGCAACGGAAGCAGCGAGATCTATTCTTGGTGTCTGCAGCCCACTGTTTAGCTATGTCAATGGCCAAACCATAATGGTCACCGGAGGAAGGAATATGTAGACAACAGAAAGGCGGGCGGAGTCGTAGAACAAGGCACACCCCTTTCCCCATCTCTCCCTGTTGCTTAATGGACGAAATATACTCCATACTTTATGCACCTTCCTTGTACACATCACTGAACCTAAGAGTAAGTTCTCACCCACAGCTATCTCCACCCCAGCAGTTGCTTCTAAGTAAGTCCATCCTGAACATATACTCAACAGCCTTATTTGGGTTCCAACCGCATTGGTTTATCCCCCCCCCCTTCTTCCCCTTCCAGCAAGTTCAAGGATTGCAATAATAGGGGGCAGATGCAAACTGCACGCCTTAAAATGTTTAAACCTTCGACCAACTAGTTTTCCCGGAGGGTTCCGGGTATTACCTTATCTGAACTCGTAGGTTAAAGCATTTTCTTACATTCTCTACCCAGTAAGCCATGCATGGGGGTCGCATTAATGATTGAGAAGAGGGTAATTCTGTTTTCCTCAGACCTCCTTTATAGCCCTCTCTGCAGAGTACTATAGACAGGATATATATTGAATATCAACCTTCTTGATATTGCATCTCTGTTCCGACTAACTAATGCGCAGACAAATAAGGCATTTTAAACATGTACCTTGAACTTAAGGGGTGCTTAATTCAGCAGGTATTTCCGTTATATTTAAAAAGGGGTTACATAAAATATCCGCAACGGAGAGACTCCATAATACTTATGTATAGTATGTCTAAGTAGTTATGGTTATGCAGCTTATCTTTCATGCAGCGAAGCCATGCCCCCCACAAAGCAGACGGGGGTTCAACAAACAAGCCATGGTATATCGCTGCTTAAGGCCTGGATGCATTGTCAGATGAAGTTGCAGAGCCCTAGAACCGGCAGCCGGCAAGGTGGCAGTCTTGGCTTTATTCTTTTTTTTTTTTTTTTTTTTTTCAAACGACCAGCAGGCAGACGGTCATGCCAGCGATGATTAAGAAGAAACATGCATCCCACCATCATCTTCTTCTCAACCCCTGCTGCTGCCAGCGTATCTCCTCATGGGTCTGCTTACCACTTGCATGGCTGGTAGGGGGTCATCGAGAAGAATCGAATGATTTTTCCTGCGCTCCATGTGATCTTTTCATCTGCATATACACTCATTTGGACATGCAATCGGCTGGAAGGTGACTCGGCAGCCCAATATAGATGATTAAAGTAAGTCCAGAGTCCGGAGTACTTCGTAACCAGATGAATATGAAAAGAGTAAATCCATGCAGGAAAACAAGAATCAGCCATGCAATCGGACGATGCTGGACATGGAGCATATCCTCCGTAGTTATTTCGACATACTGAGCAAAAGGGCCCCTGAGGATGGGTATTCCGAGTATCCTCCATCAGCAAACCATCTAATTCATGCACAAGCTCACATCTCACGTAGGAGACGGGCTTCTTTCCTACATTCGTTAGACCCGTTAGCTGTTGCCATGCTGTATGGATGGGTTTCATTTCGTCTCTTCTTGAGAAGCAAAAAAGAAACGAAGACTGTACACCGTGAACTTCGCCCCCACGGCTGCATCTCTCTTCAAGCCAAATCCCCAAATAACGGGGTTGCGCCCCGCCTGGCCGCAATGGAAATGTACGGATGACCAACCGAGTCAATAGTAGCCCATCTCCGGCTGCAAAGGCCGCTGCGTCGAGGTCGACTTGTTCTTGAGAAATGGCCTGCGTCAGAAAAGAACGATGGTCGGCATCGAACGTTGCCTAAGTGGCTGGATCTCCCTGGGATGACCTATCAGCCTGTCGATCTGTCGTCGCTAGTGAAGGATGGAACCATGGCCCCGAACTAGTTTTACGAGCTGGATGCAGGACAGAGGTGGTGGAGGAGGATTATTCTCTGCACATCTCGCATCGCTATGAAGATGGAATTCCCGTTTTGCCAAAAGGGGGTTGGAGGCCAGCGCCCCGAGATGGAGAAATTGATACATCACCACACTCAGACAACATGTCGAAAACGAAAAACGAAGGGAAAAGAAAGTGCAGGAAGATCCAGATGGGGCTATTTTTCTCTAAACTAGCTACTGGGAGCGTATCATTTCTTGAAGAGCGCTGAAAAATTGACCTAGTTAGGGAGAGAGCTCGAGTCCCCTACATCTGAATACGGAGAGTAGATGAGCAAACGGGGAGACACAAGACCAGCGGCAGAGAGACGATGGGGGACTGCGAACGGACATCGATTCCGAACTGGCTAACTCTCTTCCTCGGGCTGGCTGCCTCGCTGGGAGAAAAGAAAAGGGAGGACGAGGCTGCAAGGTGAGTCGGGCGTCAGGTTGGTCAGCGATAATCAGCCATCGCTGTACACGAGCAGCGCAGGGGAGCCACATAATATGCCATACATATAACACGGGCGTTAGGTATCCCCGTTTGCCTTTCCTCTGGTCTATCAAGGCGACCAGCAGGCTGTACCACGTCTGGAAGTACGACCATTGTCCGTATCCGAAGTAGGGCCGTAAAGGAGCTGATCAGTCTATAAATATTTATATTGACTGTCACTATATACATTAAGGGGAATTGGAAGAACATATTTAAGTGCTCGTTCATCCAAACAGATCTTTCTGGCTGCACAGGTATAGTTCGTGTGCTCCAAGATGAATAAAATAAAGGATTTTTTGTTGAACATATGAATTCTGGGTATCAGTTTCGAAAGCGAGAATTTCATCATCCCATCAAAACGCAAGACACACGCCCGCAAGTAAACCTCTATTGGTAATGGTAAGGGGAGAAAAAAAGGTAACCAAAAATGAGTAGGCCTCCAAATGCATCTTAAAACAACCCGCATGAGTACACGCCAAAAAAGTATTCCGCCTCCCAGATAAGTATTTGAATGAAAACGCCTCCAAAAAATAAAAAAAATAAAAAAACTCAAGGACAACCCGCATCGAGGATCTCAAAGTGAAAAACGCCAGAGAGGTTATTTCGTCATTTCCATCCGTCCCAAACGAAAAGGAGAAAAGCGGACAAGCCGGTGAACGTAACACAAGTAACACGATAAGGCATGGCCTGCACCGAAAAGGGGAGAAAGATGTCCAGCCTGCACAAAATAGATATTATGTAGGGGAAGGCAAAGGCAAAAGAAAAGTAGCGATTGTATCAAGACACGTGTTGAAATGCAGAAGTGAGATCCATGAAATTCGTCAAACGCTGGCTGGAATGAGCAGAAATTGAAGGAACGTTTCCTGGAAAGCGGTGTTATTTTTCTTCCCGAATAGAGAGTGGGCCCGCTTGCCAGCTAAAATCCAATCTGGAACCGCGGTGATGAGAAAGGTAAAATTGGCCTCCGTCCGTTAAAACTCTTTGGTATTGTTTTCGAGGGAGGGTCCATCAGAAGAATTAAACTGGTAAATAAACGTATATTCCAAAGCAAAGAAAGGTCAATTGAAAGGAGATTCGTTGGCGTAAAATTAGGATTCGAAGTCCAGGCGAAATTATGATTGGACGGTGATAGGCATGGGTTGCTCCAGAGGCCTATGTCGTGTGGTCAGCTTCTGCCCGGGGTGGTTGATAGGAATAAAAGAGCCCCAGAAGTTAGGTGGGATAACAGCAGGGACAAAGCGATGTTGGTAGTTGCTGATGGATTCAGTGGACGAGCACGAGGAGACAGAATCATCGTCGGACAAAGAGGTGTCGGAGACAGCAGAACTGGAGTATTGTGGTTCGATGATTTCTGCTGTTGGTGAGGATGGAGGATAAGAGTTGTTGAATGGCACAAATTCTACTGGCTCCTTGAGGCACTGCAAGCTCTGGGTTGGAGGGGTGACCACTGGGGAGAGGACTGGGACCGATGGGCGAACAGTAAACCTTGGACATTCCAGGATTAACTTTCGCAGCTCTGGGATCGTGATTCTCTTTTGAGGATCACATTCAAAGATGCGTCTAAGGATAGCATTGAGTTCCACGGATAGTGGAAGGATTGTCCTTAAGAACAGTGGGTTCTTTAGATAGGCCAAGAAGGTAGGATCCTCCGGAGAAGCTCGTTTCCAGGGGTTGCGGCCGCAAGACAGGTTGACCAGGATAACTCCAAGACTCCAAACGTCATTGGGGGCAGAAGCATACGCGGCTGGGGTGGATTGTTGACATTCTATTCCAACTGTTAGTCAGAGTAAAAAAAAGAAGAAGAACCAAGCTAGTAGGAAACAAATACATACCAGGAGACATGTAGAACGTAGAGCCACAGCCAAAGTCGGATGTATAGGCATCTGTTGTTGCGAGACCAAAATCTGCAAGCTTCACGTTCATCCCACGGTCAGACACCAAGATGTTTTCCGGCTTCAGATCCCGGTGATAGATCCCTATGCTGTGGCAGAATTCAACGGCATCCAAAATCTGGAGGAAGGCCCTCTTTGCTAGGAAATCATTTCCTACGAAGTGGCCTCGTTCGGTGATATTGGAAAACAGATCGCCCTCTGGACAAAACTCGATAACAACAAAAGTACAATCATGAGAATCCATGATGCGAACCAAAGAAACAATGTTGGGATGATGGCTGGCCATGTGATGTAGTTTGATTTCCCGTTGCTGGAACTTTCGCTGTCTGGGATCCAGGCCGGCCTTGTTCAATGCTTTGACGGCATATGGAGTATTTGTCTGGATGTCGATAGCAGAATATACCACTCCGTAAGCACCTACACCCAGTATGCCGGTAAGCTCGAGTCGATTGGCTAGGAGTAGCCCAAGCTTGTCCTCTGGAGCATCGCAATAGGAGACTGGTTGCGGTGACTGCGGTGGAGTTGGGAGATGCATGGCCTGTTATACCTCAACGGGACAAAGCAAGTTGCGGACGTATGTAGCTGTTGGTTGGTTGATGGTAAAAGGAGAGGAAGGTAGAAGGGGTATTCCAAAGTCCGGAGGTGGCAATGTGGTCCAAAATTAAAGCTCCCAAGAAAAGAATCAAGTAAACGAACCCTTTTTTTTTTTCGTCGACAACACCCGCAGAGAGAAAGGAGTATATAAAAGAGAGAGTAAGTGAAACAGTGAGAGAGTGGGGTGATGTTTCTATGGCTCAGGAGTCCATCTGGCCCGTATCAATCTTGAGAGGAAGGTAGGATAGGTAGGAGGCAGGGTAATATAAGGCACGAAACGAAAAAGAATGAAAGGTATATATATCTCTGCGGCTAAGTATGGTTTTGCTTAAGAAGGTTTAAGGTCCTTGTGGTTGGTTGGCTGCGAGGTCCAGAACTGGTGGATGAGGCGAAAAAAAAAAGGGTAAAACGGCAGAGACGGGTATTTTTAAATCAAGGCGAAGCGGAGGCGATATGGGACTGGTAGGATGATGACAGTCGTAGCAGAGGAGAGAAACAGGGAGAGCTAGTTCCAGAGCCAGAAAGAGGAGCGATAGGGAGAGGAGGGAGTTTTGGGTTTAAAGGACCGTGATCAAGACTTTGATAACAGGAAAAGGAACGTGCAAGGGGAGAGGAAATAATGGGGTGAATTGAAGGGCGAGACGGGAAGGATATAGATGACGATGATGATGAGTGTCCGAGCAGGATAGGTACATATAATCGGAGGAAGATAGAAATGCCGAGAGGGAGCAGCGGGCCTCCAAGGGTTAGCGTAGAATCGTCACTACTCGCTCAATCTCGCACACAACTCTCCCTATCGCTGGCTGGGGGGGAGCAGGCAGGCAGGTGGTGGCGGGAAATACCTCTATCTGAGGGTACCGCAAGCAGCCTCGGGTTAAAGATGCAGATGAAGCATGATTGGTGCAGAGTCGGACCTTCACGCAGCTTAGCTCCGTAATAAACAAGGCGGACCAGGCTCCATGGGGGACGAGCGAAATGGAACGCCACTGCCAGATGGTCCATGGGTCGCACCTGTTGCAAAAGAAAAAAAAAGCAAAAGAGAAGGAAAAAGAAACAACGGGAAAAAGGAGGAAGAGAAGAGAAAGATGGAGATGTGTACATATAGCAGGAAAAAGCAAAGCTGCAAGGCGTCCGCCAATGGCTAGTCTGCGCCAGCCATCCTCGCAGGAGCAAGACAGTACGAGCGAAATTGCACTACATACTGCGTTGAAGCAAGTCTGGGGCGTGGGTCTTCCACACACTCTCTCTTTGGCTGATGCTGGGTATCCTTCTGCTGCAGCTTCTGCCTCTCTCCGTCCGCTGAGTCCCCGGATGTTATCCCCCCTTGATGCAGAGGGGGAGATACGGCGGGTCAATGCAGTGGCTGCGTAGTAAAAAAAAAAAGAGAGCAGCAAGAGAAACGACAAGATCGTTCCCCCCTTTCTCCTTTCGCTCAGAAGGGCGCTAATCATGCACAGCTGCCTCTATGCTTGCTGTCCTCTCTCTGTCTTCGTTCCTTTTCGGATTTTCTTTTTCCTTGTCTCTTTTGAGCCCCTACATAGTGCTCCGTACTCCGTCGATGTTGTCGTCGCTTGTGCTCATACGAAGCTTTGAGGTCGACGATGACCGTTACCTAATCAAGGACGGCCAATGGGGTTCGTGGAGCATGTTGGTCCTATGATGAAACTAGCCGTGTCCACATCATATTGAAGACAGGCTGCTTCTCCACCCAGGGATGTTTCGGCTGAATCAGGATTTGTCGACAACGGTTGCGTATATTGGCGAGTTCTCTGTCATATAGGGCGATGGATGGTCGCGCCGAAGGTTAAAGGAGAGGAAAGGCCAGCTTGACTCAGCGCCAATCTTCGTCTTCCTGGCTACCCCTATTGGAAGCTGAACGGTGCCTTTTCCTTCTCGTTCCCTGACGTGGACCCTTTATTTTTCTGCGTCGACTCCCAGCCGTAAGACGAAACAGGTCAAAGATCGATGGTGTTTTCTGGAACGAATCAAACGGCAGGCAAGATGGCAAATCGAGACACACGAAGCCAGGGTACTGTGGACAGTGCCGTGTGGCCCGTGGAGATTTACCTCTGCGGTGGAGCATGGCTTTCTTTCTTTTCTTCTTCCTCGTCTTCTTCATATTCCTTGGGCTCTGATGTCAGCATCTCTGTCCAACCTGATCCAGAAAAAAGGCAGAAGAGTAAAAACAGTCCAGTTCGAAGGAGCAGGGAGCAGAAGGAAAAAGAAACGAAAGCAAACACAGTTCAACAAGGGAAAGGGAAAGTTAATGCTGGTCAAGTCGGCCAGGCTTCGAGTATTACATTATGCAAGATGGATGTTGGGTGTGCATGGTTGTATACGGAGCATCGAGCATCAATCTCTGAGTGACTCCAAATTATCGACCGTGCTGTGGTGAGGCAAAACATAACCGTCATCTCTCAGATCAAAGCCTGGTTATGGGGAACAAGAGTGAGAAGTTAGCTGCCTTGGATGCCCTTCTTCCTGCGTGATGATACGCGGCACTGCATAACGTCCTGCTCCCCCCTTCCTGGCCCTTGGGTTTTCATTCAACTAACTAGTTTAGCGACCCGCAGTGCAGGACAGACAACAGAGGTGGCCGAAGGGTTGATTTGACGATGATGAGAAAGAGACTTGACATGCAGAGTTGGTGCGATGCGAGGCTTTGCGGAGCTTCGGCATGCCCTGTGGATAATTAAGAGCAGCGATTATTGGGGAGGCCAGGAGGCTTGTGGTTCTTGGGTGGTGCACTTTGAAGCTTGGTCATGTTGATGAAAGCCCTCTTGACACGAATCAAAAACAGTAAACAGTAAAAAAGAAAGAAGTCGATCTCTTTCCCTTGGGGCTTGGATGTCCTTGCTTGCGTAGATTCCATCACTCTGTGTTGGCCTCGGGAACTTTGTAAAAAGCAATCTGAATTCAGATCATGGCTGTTATAAATTGCTATGCTTTTTTTTTTTTTTTTTTTTTTTTTGATTAAATTTTTGCATGCATGACACTGCCCCTGTACCATGTTGGATGATCGGGCTGAAATCTAACTGGTGACCTTGGGTCCTTTTCGAACACGGCTGGTGACCTTGTATTGGTTTCAGTGCAAGGATCGTGCGGAGAATCCCCTGGGCTTCAATAGACCATCACCATATTACATGCAATTTCTGTCTTAACACGTATTTCTATTTCTGGCGGTGTCATCCTCATTCTCTGTCCACTTTAAGAAACTTTTTTTTGCTTCTTCTGCTGTTTCTGCTGCCCTTGACGAGATTTTTGACTGGAAAGAAAGCAGCTCAAGCCCACGTAGCCTTGTGTGCCTGATTCGCTGGAGGTGGCTAGGAGATTATGCGAAGTTTACTGTGGCAATTGCCATTGGGTAGTTCCAGGGAGGAGGACACTGCTCATCTGATCTCGGTGATCAAAAAAAGATTGAGAATTTCTTCCACGCATTCAGGAACCACCGTTCGGATATGACTTACTACTGGAGACTTCCTCCATCAGCTTGACTAACTATCAGGGAGATGAATGTTGGTGACGGGGCCCTTATTACTACGGAGTCTCTATCTTGAGACTCAGCGGCTGCGCTCCCATCCCTCGCAATGTACAGAGAATTTCAGCTGTATCCGTACTGTATGCAAAGGCGCAGTTCAAGCTATTTGCATCAGCAGGTTGAGCCAACAAAGAATAGTTCATGTCGTGGCAGTGGCTAGTTTCTTAATCCCTTTCCATAGTTCTCTTTTTGGTCAAGGAGAGAAGTAATTACATCTGGAAGAAGATGAAAAGAGAACGTCAGTAGGGAGATCCCTGCCAAGACCTGTCGCCTCTTATCGACTTCTTGCAACGCATGAATGTCCGTTTTCCTATGGGCTCGGTCAGTATTCTCCGTGCTCAAGGGCTGGGAGAAACCCTCGAGGGCAAGGCGCGCCAAAGCGATGGTTGGTCCAGCATCCTTGAAAGGGGCCGCTAGTTGACTAACAAGGAGAATAAGAAACTCGCGTATCCTTATCGATGATGGTCGAGGACTTGCCTGTCCTCCCTCTCCCACCGCTGCTCCCCACCTTTCCCCATACCATGGCATCATCTTGACTAGCGCCAAAGAGTCATATACACATACTCTCCAGCTAACCCCAGAATAGGCAACTTTGCATCAATCATCCGAAGGAAAAGCAAAGGACGGAATGTGGCTGACTTTCTATCCGTTAGCTCATGATGGGCCCATCCCTGTAAAGGGTGCTTCGAGTCCCTCGCATAAATTAAGTTGAAGGTCCAAGCCAACAGAGGATACGTAAAAGGATGAACCTCGTCACATCCAACTTACGTTCTGCGTCTGTCCATCGATCTGTTTGGTGTGTGTGCGTGTGTGTGCGTGTGTGTGCGTGTGTCGATGGCGGGCTGTGGAGAGAAGCTAACAGTGAACACTCGAACATGGACATGGATACTGTTGACATGGGGCGGAGGGTGACTGAAAAGGGCAGGCCTTAGTCTTGGATTCTCATTTTAACCATCTGAACCCTCAGTCTGGATACGACTAGCTTGCCATCGGCGTATGAATATTAACATACGCTGGACTCGAACCACCACCATGGTTCATTCGCACTTCCATGGGTGTGCCTTGTTCTTGGGCTGAGGCTCGTTCTCGTTCCGTCAGTGATAATAACCAACTCCTTGGGCCCTTTTTGCCTCTCGCGACCAAGTCACCTGGAAAAGGGAGTCGTAAGTTCTTTGACCAGCCTTTCCATCACACATCTCACTAGCTCTCGTTGGATAGAGTGCTGCATGGAGCATGGTCACTAATGTACGATGTACATGAGATATCACCATGAAGTGGTCTCCACTGGATACGGCATTTCGTTGCATAATTTTTAGCCCGCCACGCATAAAGACGCACAACCGGCAAGAGCTGTCTTTGTATATCCGTATGGAGAGAGTACTCGACCCGCTGATCGTGTGTAAAGCAGGAGGCACTCCGCCTGTGGATTAAATGAATATCCAAACTTCCTCCCAAGTGTTTCACAGGTCCTTACGGGCGCTGATCGAAGGGAGACGTCGAGCGTTCTACAAAGAGCATTGATCTCGCGTTATTCAGCCACTAGTTTGTGCATGGACTTGGCAAGCTGTTCGAGTCATCTCTATTTATATATACACGCATTGTGAGCACACTATCTATATTAGACTCTCACTAATGCCCATCGAATTTCAAACTGGGCTTGACGTACAGGTCAAGATGGCAAGGGTTCGAAAAGGGGACAGATGGTCAGAAGACAGGTAGCGAGGGAAAAAAAGAGCGTTGAAAGTCAGGCAACCAGCTCCCTGACCTGGCTAGCACAGGAGGGCGTCAAGCTCCTCCTGTCTCAAAGAAGCCCTGTCGGCTATTGGCCCCCGTCTTGTCTCTCTATCAACCCCTCTCTATCGCCTTTCGTCTTGCTCTTCGACCTGGCCTCTTCTTGCGCTTTCTCTGGATGTTGTCTATTTTTGCTTCTTTCGGCCATCTCCTATCTTACATAACTAGATATGTCATGTGATGCTTACTCATCATGACTTTTTCCCTTTCGGGCCATCCCTCGTCCCTTTTTTCTGCCCAGCCTCGGCTCGGCTCAGCTTCGGCAGTTTGACACCGCCTTTTCGTCCCTCGTCTTCAACTTCAACTTCGCGCCACCTTTTTTGCTTCTTATCATCGTCCTTTCGTCAGCGATTCACTAGCAAAAGGAAGAAAAAAAGAATATGCAAGATGGAGCATCAAGAAGGCCGCTCTATACAGAGTACATGAAGGAGTTACATTTTATCCTGACGAGGGCAACCAAGGTGAGAAAACATGGGTCGGCTGCAGTTTGGCCTGGATCTTCTCTGCTCAAGCTAAATCAACTCTCATGTGAGTTATCAACATCGCTTGCTTAATTGGACTGGACCAAGAGTGATCCAAGGGTAAAAAGAAAGGAGAGAGCAAAGCCACCAAGCACAGCCCTTCGTCTTGGATGGGAATAGTCTCGAAGGGGTCGGAGAATTTGTCTCCAGTAGCGACGTAGCATCAATATTGGCCCTGACTACGGAGGAGACCCTCTCCATACTGAGCCTTGGAATGATTTCCATTGCCTCGTATATGGAACGTTCCATTCGATCGTCCTCTCTCTTTCGGCATTGCCATCGTTGCATACAAGGCAAGGAGGTATATCTTTCCCTTCTCCAACATGACGTTGCAGTTTCTTTCTTTCTCCCTTGGAAGAAGAAACAAGACCTCCCGAGCTGCGCGACTGATGGTGTCTTGAATGAATGATATTTCAGGCGAACAAATTGGGAAGCTCCAAGAGCACCTCCCTGCATCTTCAAGGACTGAATATCCGTATAGTATGTGAGTCGTGCCCATTGAGAACGTACGAGAGAATCGATGGATTCCTTTTCTTCCCGTCAAGTCCAAGACGAGGCCTTTTCTCCCGCATCACTAAGCGTAGGGAAATCACCCTCAACGGCTGCTTTAAAGTACTCCATCCCTTTTTTTGGCTGCAATGCCAACTATTCACGAATGACCGATTGGTGGTATCAATGTGGACGATGCTGTTATTACAGAGGCTGCAAATTCAGCCCCAGCCTTTGCCCGCTTAACCTTTTTTTCCGTGCCGTGTTTGTCGACCTTTCTCCATGCGTTTCAGGGTGGGTACACTTGCATACATACGCTGACCAGCTCTATTACTCAACTACTTCGCACTGGCCGGACGGGAAAGCCATGTGCAAGGCTGGATGGTCAAGTCAAAGCAGGAGTGTATACATGTCAGAAAAGAATCCTCGTATACTCCGTACGGATAGACAAATTTTGTTGACAGCATGAAGCTTACAACATAAACGATTGAAAAGAAATACATCAGCAAGGATATGATCAAGTTGTTCCAGAATCCAGCAACAATGGCTGTCGACATGGTGATGCTATACTTAGTATGGAGTATGGTCTCCTCCGTAAAGGGCCATGGAGTAATGATCTTCTCTATCTTTCAGGTAACAAGACTTCCAGTAGCGCACAGACATTCAAACTTCGTGCATATACCGCAACCTCCATGGAATGGGTTTAATCAAAGAACGATAATAACCCTCGGGATCTCTCAACTGTCCTTGCAACCCGTTCCGTCCATCGCAGAGCAGGGGGCCCCTGCATCAAAGCGCAAGATTCAATTCGACAAAAAAACTTAGCAGATTGAACAACCATACATAAGTTGCTGCCAGGGAATGGCTTGCACGTTATCAACCGTGTTTCTTCTTTTGTTCCCTCCTAGCCTCCTTGCCCCGACTGCCAGGGTTATGGAGTTGGAGAGGTAAGTCCAAAATATAATATGTGTTTTAAAGGTATTGACAACGCATGGAGTATCAATCCATGTTCGCGGTTGCGCGATTGTCCCTTTCCACCCTTCCTCCTTTCCCGTTTATAGTGGAGTATGAACCAGCAGCAAGCACGGGACGATGGGAGGAAATTATGAGAAACTTTTGGCATGATATCATTGGCCCCCTGTATATTAGCTTTGGCTTCGTTGGGGGTTTGACCATTCGCGCACAAGATACATGCTCGATGAATGACGTCCGGAGCGCTCCATACATTCAAGTACATACATTCACTGGCTGACAGACCACACATGTGTGTGTATGGACAAAGTTGCATGGATTCCTGGGAAATACGTAAGATCCTGCCAGATACCAAGTCCTGAACCTTGGGTGAATGAACAACAGTGATTGGTGGTTGAACAGATAGAGAAAAAGGAAAACACACGGCAGCATGGACATCTCTTTTAGCATGGAGCATGGAGTTCTGGTGTCTAAATGTAGAGGAGTTAATATGGCCAGGTGTGTCGAGGTATATGCAACCACGGAGCACTGCAGGCGAGAGAGAAGGTTTTCATGCAGATCAAGATATGGATATCGGGATGTTGGTTATTCAGTCCGTGTTTTTCTGCAAAGTCACGACTTACATAGATCAATCTGAAGCTTCAAAAGAAAAGTCAACAACATCTCGATCAGGCCTGGAGAAAAGCGGCCTTGACCATGTGTTTGCGCTGCCTGTCTCCCACTGTAGATGTCAGTTCAATGTATGTTTAGTTTCATACCAATGATACCCCCTTCCGGTCCCCCTCCCCCAGCCTTGGAGTCGTCATCAATATCCAGCCTTCACCTCCGCTTGTCTCTATCTTCCCCCAAAAACAGAAGAAAAAGTTGATGCTACATCCTCGATACCCAGACTTCAGCAACCTTAATGAATCAGTGGCCGGCCTCTGACAGACGAGATGGTTATTGGAGGGCCTCCTTCATGCCCTGTGCATGTTCCGTCCCTTTTCTTTTCCTTCAGGGGATGTCGAAGAGGGTTGGCCTGAAGAAAGGCAGGCTTGGTCCTATGAGAACAGATATCGATTTTCCTTCCCGCGATAAGCAATTCAGCGGGTTGAAGGTGCAGTTATGGCCACCTGCACTGCTATCGGACGTTCCACGAGGTAGTTCCAGACCCGGCAGTGCATCTGACATTCGCGAGGACGATGCACAGCGTCGGTTTCGTCCGTATTTTTGGCATGAGGAAAGAATTTGATATCCCACCCACTACTATTCATGGAGAAAACACTCTCCCCTCACACTCACTACAAATAAAAGAAAACTCCCTAGTTTATTTCCTTTTCTTTCTTTCTTTTTTTTTTCTCTTTCGCTATTCCTCCCGTTGTCTGTTTGTTTGGAGACCGACATGTGGTTGCTTTTTTATTCATTCCCAAGGGGAAGGGAAGAGGAATCTCAGCTCGGGTTTCTCCTTCTTGCAATTTACCATTGACCCGGCTCTCCAATAGGACGCACAGCTCTCGGTTTGAGCTGTCCTGGGCATCAATCCATGGATGACCTTTTCCTTCCTAGCCCCGATTAGGCTATGGGCCTGAGGATAGAAGACATCTGTGCAACGTTGTGTTAACTCTATCTTAAGAGTTACGGGTAAAGTAATATCCCAACATACAGGGTAAGGTGTTATCTTTTCATCCTTTTTCCCTCAGAGGGTGGGGGCGGTCTTCCTTAGCTGAAAGATGTGATGAGAGAGAGATTCAGTTAAACTTGAGCCTTTCCCCCCTTCCTCTCATGCATCTCCTGATCAGCTATATCACCCACCCTCATCTTGCTCGAGGAGTACACTATTCAAACGGTGACACGTCAGTCCAATGAGATCGCATGTGAGGACTTCCTACCAGTCTTCCCGTCCGCCGAAAAGCCCGTCCAGCCACGACTTATGCAGTGACACGAACCTTAAAAAGGCACAAGATGTTTGGATAGCTCCGATACGTTTCCCAGCAGCCAAAGAAAAACATGACCTAGATGTGTTTGTTTGTTTGTGTGTGTACTCCGTAAAGCCTGTTCAGTTATCGTGGCCTCTTGGTCCTGGATACGGAGTACTTAAGCATACATCACAGGCCGTAGAGGGGAAATATCAGCACTCCGTAGCTCTTGCGGATGTGCCTGGTGAACCAGCCCATCATGGTTTCCATCGTTCCTGGGAATTCAAACATCACATTTAAACATATAGTTATAGCCTTTTCTTCCTGAATCCTCTTGGAGGTAGCTGCATAGTGATACGATAGACACATATGGCGCACTGCCTAGCTGGAAGCATGCGTATATACTAGCCACATTATTTTCCACGCTTGGCCAGCAGTTAGCCCTCTATCAGGTATGCCTATCACTCCCCCCGGCTGGAGATCATTATTCGCCATGTCATGTGCTGTACAGAGTACTCCGTACAGGAGAGGGTGAAAAAAAAAAAAAAAAAAAAGGCAGGCTGCTGTCTTCAAGCAGTCATCAGTTACTCAGCCAAACTTCCCTGCAAGTCGTCCCAAAAGGAACAGGCAGAGAGTCATTCGTGTCAAACAGAGGGCACCCATTACCCACTCACAATGATGGCCAATATATGATCTGCTTAACCTGTATCACCTCATCATGCTACTGTTATTTCTCCGACTGGTCGGTCCACTGCTGCTGAGCCAGGAAAGAGGTTGCACTGCTATAGCCGACGGCTGTCTCCAGCCCTTAGCCCACTTGCATCATCCTTGTGCAAAGCGCTAGCCCGATACTCAAGGGCGCTGAGCGTTGTACGGGGCGGGCGATAGGATCCCCATGGCCTCTGCATGAAAATCGAACTTGGGAGGAGAAAATTGCTTAGACAAAAGCTCAGGGCATCACCTTAATCTGCCAAGCTTTTACTATTATGCATGCTGGTGTGACATTGTGACATTTTTTTGATGCCTGCCGCAGGGTCATAAGGGCGCTGATATTGGAGGTGTCCGGCTGTTGCTGTTGTACAGAGTACAGAACGGCTTTCTCAGATGTGCAGTCCCTCGACATACCGCAGTATGCTGGTACGTCCAAAGTCTCACGTTGTGTAGAGGCTCTTCTACAACATCGCAGTGCGCATCTGTGGTCTCTAATGCGACATGCAGAGTGACAAGCTTTTTTTTTCCCACTCTCCAAAGGCGATGAAAATGGAGGTAGAGGTGGGAAGAGATCTCTTGTTGCTCCTTCTCCTCCTCCCTCTGGCTTCCCTGCCCTTCGGCCGTTGCCGGGAGTAACGTGTACACGATAACGGTTCCTTGCCTTATTGCATATCCGTTTGAGCAACCGAGTGACACTATTAATATTCTGCATATGACGCTATTTGCAATAGCCTGGAGTCGTCTTTTCTTTTCTTCCTCCAGTTTCTTGTCTCATCATTTCATCATAATACCCAGCGGTCAGAGCGTATGCGCGAACAATCACCGTAACGGGGAGCCATGTCCATCTCAAAAGAAACTCGGGCGTAACGAAGCTCGATTAGTGATAGTTATCGATGTACTGGGGCGTTCATATTAGTCGAAGGCCACTCCCACGTCATTCAGACCTGTTCTAGACGGGGACTCTGGCTTTGAGAATTCCGTTAACGGCTTAGGACTTTCAGATCCCATCTTCATACTTCCCGCTAGCTCTGCAGCGACGTATACCCTTGGAAATGCCGATGCTCTGTTATTATTATTATCGACATGGCTGGCACTGGTTGTCTATGCGGTCGGTTGAGTAAGAACGTGCGGGGCGGATCAGGCCTGCACTCTTCCGCGGAAGAGACGAGAGATGGACCACCTTAGGTTGCCTCACATTGATTATTATGACCAGGAACCAGGGCTTTCGCAGTGTCTGTGAGGCTATGTTTCCGAATCTCCGTGGTCTCAGCTCGTCGATGAAGAGCTTCACGGTGCATGTCCGGGCTCCCAGGTGCCCTGTATGGGCTGTGAGGCATCTTGGATCTTAACTTGCTCGAGCTCACTTGACCCCTGCTTTTGTGCATTTGATAAATGCAAACAACCCCATACCTAACCGCGTGGTTGCATTTTAAATTGATCCCCACACCTTTAATTTGATATGTTCTTATTCTCTTTTGAAGCGGGAGGCATTGGGGCACCGTTGTGAGCTCACGATCTCTGAATATGATTCATCACCTTCGATGCTCTCTTGCCCTATGATTATCAATCCCGGTCAATATCATAGTATAAAAGACATGAGTTCACCCCGTCCACCTGAAACGTACTATGTAACTGCGCCGGCTTCCCGGGCGCTTGACCAGGATAATCCTTTTGTCCACCTGGAACCTAATAATAATTTCCCCGTCTGGATGCCTAAATTATCGTCGTTTCATGCCCGGGATATTGTCCTCTGAGCATTACTTTCCCCATCCGGTGCTGCTGCCACCGCCGCTGTCAAAGCAAAGCCCTTTAAGCGAAGGAGAATGGGAAGCTAACAGCTGAACTGAATCCCGAGGGATCTCGCACGTATGACCTGCAAGGCTAAGTGAAACGCCTTTCTTTATTCTTGACGCCCGACTGCAGAGTGGAACATGGCATGACTTCCATTTTTGCGCGCTATTCATGCACTCTCATCTGAAAGTTCTATCTTCTTTCCATGTCCATGGACCATGAAACGACGGCAATAGATCCTCCGTGCTCGAATATGGCGTCAGCTTCTCGTTAAGGCCCGCGTCTCCAATATGCTGCATGCTGCCTGCACATGGAATACGTAGTTGTACATATTGGTTGCCTCGTACGAGTACTCTGTAGAAATATGCAGCCTTGTATCTCCAGAGGACAGAGTACTTCTCCTCTCTGTCTACGATAACAAAGCCGGATCAGCATCACAGCCTGCGTGTATCCAGTTTTAGCTTGCCTACCTGGCTTCTCCTTCGGGCATCTCTGTACGTACCATGCGAATATCACATTGTGGCTGGTGTTTCGGCCGTTATCGAGTTTCCTTCAGCCAGCGACCGACGTTGAACCTTAGAAAATGATCAGTCAGGTGATGAGCTGGAGATCCCCCCCATAGATCTTGTTGCCCGTTGCGAGCGAGCGATGACGATAAGGGAACAAACGGCCTGGCTACGCCACGGGGCTTCCAGAATGCGACGAAGGCTGGTTACGAGGCTCGACGGCTATAGTGCGATCGTGTGTGGCGCATTCCGGGACGCATGACCTCTCAGATACTGCGAACTTAAACGTCAAATGGTCTTCATCGGCCGACTACCGCCTGCAACAAAGGACTTTACATGGATTGTTAATGTATTCGATAGTGGATTGCTAAAAAGATATGTAAAAGAAATGCTAAATTATATATATATAGCTGTCCTATAGACTAAAGACATGGTGTGCCCGTATCCATGCATTTTCAGTTTCAAACGGATCAGTCTTGATGGCTGAGATTTACGGGACACACAGAATTTTCTCGATAGTCACTGCCCTTCCGGAGATCGCCTGTACTTAGCAGATTCAGACTTTGTTATGCCTAGCAATGAATGGGTGGCGAAGTGCTTCCGAAGGAGTACAGCGTTTCTCTGGGTTCAGATTCAAACACCGGTCAAGGAGGTCAATGAACATCATTATCTCCTTGGATTCTGCATCATTGAGTCTGGCCCCTTTCCCAATCAACCGAGACTTTAGGTCTCGCGAGGGTTTCTTAAAGTCAAGGATCTTGGTCACCATGCGGCCTGTAATCTTGTCTTCCTCCAGACTGCGGAAATTGAGAAGATCGTCAAAGTGTAGATGTGCCAGGGTTGCGCGTCGTAGGAACTTGGGCGGGAATTTGCCGCGGCATTCCATGATGGACCGGAGCATCTGGTTGTTATTGCGTCCTGTAAACAGTATTTTCCCCGAGTAAAGCTCGAATAACGTGCAGCCTATAGACCAGACGTCCAGGCTATGATCATATGGTATTCCAAGTATGATTTCAGGGGCTCGGTAGAACCGACTGACGAGATAAGGGGTGATCTCATTCTCTGAGGCGAGGGAGGCAGAGCCAAGGTCGCATATCTTGAGAATGTTTCTATTCTCATTAACTAGGAGGTTGTCGGGTTTAATATCCGCGTGGAGGATGTTGCATTTGCGAAGAAGGCTCAAGCCGAGGAACATTTGCTGAGCATACGCCCGGATGGCCCGTAGATTGATACCAACGTCTCTACCAAATTTCTTGAGGACCTCGCGAAGGTTCATGCTGAGATTCTCGAAAACCATGCACAGGTGATTTTTGTGGTCAAAATGCCTGTCAAACCTGATAATGTGTTTCTTGTCCTCAGGGTCCGCGTTTTGTAGTAACTGTAGTATATTGATTTCCGTCATGCCTGCTTTCCTCATGGTATTATTATTCCGAACAATCTTCACTGCCACCAGTTTCCCTGTCTTCGAGTCTGTAGCACGTACGACGGAAGAAAACATTCCCTTGCCTAGAATCTGCTGAACGTGATACCGACCGTTGATCAACTCACCCAGCATAACGTTATAGTAACCTTCAGGGTCATCCCAATTATCCAGCATGCTCATGTCTAGTTCCTGGGCCTTTGGAATTCCCAATGGGCCATTGGGCCGCATGGACGACGGCGGCTCTTCAGCAAACATATCGTCGTCACCTTCGGCAAACATGTCGAAATCATCTTTGACATTTACTGGATTTGGTTTCTCAGCTTCTTGAACAGCTGTAGTATGTTGGCCCGTCTTAGTCTCGTCGTAAGAGGCCGCAGAAAGATCATCTCCAAAGTGACGCTTGTCATGTCTCTTCTTATCTTCTCTCATATCAGAAGTCGGGTCATAATCAGCGGCACAGGGTTCTTCCTTATTGACTCCACTCCTATCACATAAATCCGTGTTGGCAAGATCCTCATCCTTCGAAACTTCAAAGTTAGTAGGTGACTGCGAACCCGGTGTGTCAATAGGAGTTGTCATTGGTGACGGAGCAGATGATGCTATATACTCGTTAGTTATACTACTTGAATTTATATTGAACGACGCAAAACCTTACCGGCTTCATCAGCATTTGAAGTGGATTTAGCAGAGCCATTTGTCACGGACTCGGGCGGGTTGACAGGCTTCAAAGCTTGCACGATAAGAGGCTTCGGTGCATCACGATACTTAGCCTTTATAGCTTCACGGCGTTTCCGTCGTTGTTCAATCAGTGTAGCTTCATCAACTGGTTCTATGGACATTTCAGTATCCTCGTCTTTGCCTTGAACAGACGGTCTAAGAGGGAAAAATTAGTAAGATCATTAATTGACTGGTAGAACCTGAGTAGAGTCAGTCCACTTACTTATCATCTGTACTAGTTTCAGTGATGGATCGATTCTGTTGTATCTGAGATTCTCCATTTTCAGCCTTTTGCTTCCAAGTTTGAGCGTTAACTGAGGGATTTCCTCGTTCGCTCACTGACTGTTCTGTAGACAAATTAATCTCCACCTGCCCGCGGGCCATGCCCTTGCCATCTTTCTCCGACGCGTCCTTGTTCGAGGCTTCATCACCCGAGTACTGTTTCTGTTTTCTAGGGTCTCGATACGGAGAACGGCTTCGCGTTCTCGGACGTTTGTCTGGCCTCCTGTCGTAATCGTCACTATACTGCAAATGTCGGCTGCCCCGGTCATAGCTATCGTTCCTATCGTGATCGTAGTATGGCCGTTGGTTGTGCCTGCGAGAACTTCCACGACGATGGTAGCTGTCATCGTATGTGCCATTTGAGAACTTTACACGCCCCCCGCGATTGCCCCTATCATAATCATAGTAGTCATCTCGTCTTCGTTTTTCGCCTCGAGAAGATCTGTAGTATGGCGAGCGGGACCTTGAGCGTTCAGAGCGGTACGGCCGCGAAGAACTAGGGGACTTTGGGGGTAGAGCATCGTTTCTGGGGTTACGGTCAACGTTGGTGTCATTATAAATAGAGGTTTGCGACGTAGTTGCCTTCGTATCTGAGTCTGACTCGATGATCTCACCCTCTGATGGGACCGATGGAGACCTTGACCGCTGCGCAGCCATCACCAAAATTTCGACTCGGTACGGTTGGCTTAATCGGAAAATCGAAACGAGCTTATAAGGAAATAAAAGGTGATTCGGTTAGTCAAAGAATCTCCCAAGTTCTGCTTGTGCTTTTCTTGACTGGAATAGCTAAATGAAGATAGCGTTGGGCGAATGTAGATGGCATTCAACTCAACAGACTTGACTTCCAACCAGCTTACTTTGCAAGAAACATTTCTTGGGTAAAAAGGAATTTATCTTGACTTGATGTGCGAAAGAGGCTGTATAAACCTGCCGGTAACAGCGTAGAAGGAGAGAAAGAGATAGACAGCGAAGATGTCGCCGTGCTTGCAGACGGCGAGTTGGCTTGTTCTGTCGTGTTCGAAGTTGGCGATGTCGAAAGAAGAGGTGAGGCAAAAAAGGTTCTCCCACTAGGCCCAAACAGGACTAGTTCCCCTCCCTACTTCCGGTCAGAGAGAGAAAGATCTTATCAGTTCGAGGCTACGACTGAAGACAACGCTGGAATTTTTCCATCAACCGCAACCTATTCCCTCGACACATCCTCCGACAAACGGTTAAGCTAAGCAGCCATGGGTGGTGCATCTCGCGAAGGTAAGCTGACTGCCTCCGTACCTATGTTTCTGCTGGAGCCTCTGTTCTAACGATGAGTCTCACCCCACTCCAGGCGGCAAGGCCAAACCCCTCAAGGCCCCAAAGAAAGAGAAAAAGGAGCTTGATGACGAGGATCTTGCTTTTAGAGAAAAGCAGAAAGCTGGTATGCCTTATACGCAGTATCATGTTCCTCGATCATACGTTTCCATGCCTCTAACGTACAATGTAGATGCCAAAGCCAAGAAGGAGCTCCAGGAGCTGGCTAAGGGCAAGAAAGGCCCTATGAACACTGGTCAGCAGGGAATCAAGAAGTCTGGAAAGAAATAATCGATCAAATATTGGACGCCTCCTTCCAACTATACGGCTTTCGACTTTCACGGCCAGAATGACGGATCACTCCCACCCGCGGAGCTTCACCGCATCGCACTGCATTACGAACCATGAGTTGACGTTTTTACTTTTCGTTTTCAACGGCGGGGTGTTAGGAAGTGCGACAAAGCTCTTCTACGCTCGACCATCCAGCCTTGAATAATAGATCGCCCGTAAAGCGTTAGCTTTTTATCATTCCTATCATGCCAGACGCACCCTGTATGCACTGCACAGATTCGGATGGATACTAGATAAGAAGCCGAATACACACTCTCCCGATTAGCGTTATGGTATTTAATAATGTACATATGTTCCTAACTCGTAACCCGCTTGACCCATAACGTTGGCTCGTTGGCATAAATATCACCTTTGTCTCTTTTCTTGTATGCACGAAGCAGTTTCAGGCCCAGCTCATGCTCTTCCTTTTTGATATCTGCTAGCTCGTTGTTTAGGCTTGTCACAGTTTTATTCACTTCGCTTCTGGTGGCCATATCGTATGCTATCGAGCTAGGCTGGATTACTTGCGTCAACTCATGGATCATAGTATCGATATTGGTCTTTCGACGAGCAAGATCTACCAGCTTTGATTTGATATCGTCGATTCGAGTGGTGATGTTTGTTTCATGCTGGGTTTGCGGTCCTGTCCCTGTCTCGGAGACAGTAGTCATCTGTGAAGGGGTAGGTTTGCGTGTGGTATTTTTGGCAGAGAACTGGTGCATCCTAGACCCAATACCCGGTAGTGGTTGATCAAAGCTCTCTGAGATTGGTGGAGGGCTTCCAGGTTCGGTCGTGGCATAGGTTGTAGCACTGAAACGGCTGCGCGGCTCTTGTGACAGTGCTATTCCTTGGAGCCTTTCTGTCAAAATGTCACCGAGTCCATCTTTCCCTTTACTGGAATCTTGCTCAGGCTGATCAGTAGCACCAACAAACTTGCCAGTCTCCCAAACTGACGCGGAAGAAGTTTCTAACGAATCCTCAAAGAGACTTGAGTATGTTGAATTAGGGATACTCAAGGGAGCAGGAGCGGGTCTCCCAAGTACTTTGTCCTTTTGAGGGACGGCTGGTCTTGGCTTAGGCGCCATTGGAAGCGCTTTGTTGTCCTTGGATTTGGGGTTTGCTGTTATCGGCTTGCCGTCAGTAGGTCGTGTGCTAGAGGGACCTCTATAGCTTCTGTCCTTTAACGGCGGTGGTGGAGGGTTACTATCAGCAGAAATATCACAGTCCGTTCGACGACGGGTTTTGGGAACATTTACGCGCCCGGTTTCTGGCTCTATATCAAATCGAGGTTTCGAAGGACCACTAGCCCTGGAATATGCTTCAGGTTTTGCGCTTCCCTGAATATCTTGGTGATATTTACCCTTGTCGCTTACTGTCGGGTCCCTTGAGTAGCCATCCCATTTCGTTAGAGGTTGTCTTCCTGATGTAGGTTGTTTCATATCCCCATTGGAATTATATGCATATGTTGCCCTGGGAGCCGGTCTATTATCCTTATTATGCATATCTGCAATGCAGTTGCCCTTGGGCTCTTCGATAGGGGAAACATCGCGACTTTCCCTAGACGAGGGATAGTGTTCACGAATAGGAGAAACCGGAGGAGACACATCACGATCCCCGTACCCCGAACGATATGTCGAGGAGTAAGACTGATATAGCTCACCGTGGTTATGTGGAGAATGCGCCATGGAATCTTGAGAATAAACTGAAGAAGGGTTTCGTGCGTGCGCTGACTGGAGCGAAGCTCTCGGGAGAGGCTCAGGTACTATCACATTTCTACCATTTCCCGTTTGTTAGACTATATACTATGTGAGAGAACATTTGATATGTTTTTACTTACGACTGAGAAGGCTGTGGTCCATGTGGATGAGTATAACCTCCATGACAAAATCCCGATATCGCGTGTATCTTTTCACTCGCCGAAACTGTGACCGCCTGGCCTTGAGGCTTTGCCCAGTCCCGGGGTTTGTGAATCTTCTTCCACATAATCCAGTCGTTTTTTAAAAAAAGAGGGAATTGTGTGTTTTGCAAATTCAGGTACGGAGTAAGTGGTATCGTTTTAACGAGCACGGCTCGGAGGCTGTTGGTTGAGAGGTTTTGTCGACCGGTGAATAGGATGATCAAATATGTCCAGAGAAGGCTAACAGATATCACAAGTCAAAGATATTTAAAGAGAAGAGGATGCCGTCTTTGAAAGGTGTTACTCTCCGTCAAATACCACCGAGTTCGGAAATGAACAAGAGAAATGAAGGTACTCTGTTTGTGAAAGACTGCCGAAAGAACAAGCGTTCCAGTCCCAGACCGGGCATGAAGGAATCAAAATGAAGGAATCAAATGGTGAAGAAAAAAGATGTCGGACATGGAGCTCAGCCCCCTTCTCTCTCTCTCTGCCTGCAGAGCGACCAACGTCTGGCCGGCGACAAGGCTTTGTCAGATCATGCTCAGCGATCACGGCCCTTGATATCTAATGGGAGTTCTGGAGTAGACACAGCCCAGCAAAACAGCGCTAGTCCAAAGCTAAGCGCTGGCTCAGGCTGCTTTAAGGAGTAATTCCAAAAAATAAACAAAAATATGCCTGATTACGTGACCTTTGCTTTAAAAGCGGCGGAAAACTTCACCCGATAAGGCTGACTAAGGAGATTACTGCGTTTCATCCCAAAGAAGCAGGCGGTGACGATCGGCAGTAAAAGGACCAGGATATTATTAGCGATGACATAATCCGAAGCCCTTGATGACATAAGTTGATCTCAATAAGGCGGAGCTTGTTCTGTACTTGCTTTGGAGTTTATAACAACAATCTATCAGCCTTGCAACGTCTGCAATACTGCGCTGACAGGACAGCTTTGCATTTCAAGATGGTATCAGGTAAGTGTATCCCATTGCTGATACTTCGCGTCACAGCAGCTAACTAGATGGAGTAGAAGATAGCTCTCCGCCTGCCGAAGTGTAAGCCGGCACCCAATCTACATCGTCGACTTATCCGCTTGCTCAGCTGCCCCAATACTGACCCAATCTAATCGACTCCAGGGCATCAATCGCCTCCCCAATCAATCTCATTTTATTCTCTCTCTTCATTATTGTAATTTATATGCAGTTCAAACCAAAGAAGCCTGTGACATTACCAACGGCCCCACCACCAACCGTCTTTCGCACCTTTTCACCTACTGATCTCCTACCGTTCAACGGCAAAAACGGAGCTCCTGTTTATCTTGCAGTTCGAGGACGTGTTTTTGACGTTACTCCAGGCAGGAATTTTTACGGACCAGTACGTCCTCCTTTAGCAAGATATCAATATTACGATTAACTTTCCCCATTTACCTAGGGCGGACCATATGAGAACTTTGCCGGTCGAGATGCTACTCGTGGATTAGCCTGCCAGAGTTTTGATGAGGAGATGCTCACCAAAGATCTAAAGGGGCCACTAGATGATTTGAAAGGACTGGGACAAGAGGAACTCGAGAATCTGAGAGGGTGGGAGGAACGGTTTTTGGAGAAGTATCTTGTCGTTGGGAAGCTGGTTGCTGAAGGGGACCCCGCTCTAAAGGCATGATGCATCAAGACTTTTTTAATGAAATGGACTCTATCCATGGCTGGAGCCCGTCCGGTCGCTACTTATGATTACATGTGGCTAGTGATTGAACAGTTATAATAATGATATTTTGACTATGGGCGAACAATAATAGCAAAATAAACTAATTACCTAATGAGCGTCATTCTAGGGTAGAAAGCCTAGTGAGCAGAAAATACGGATATACCGGTCATCATGGAGGATAACGTTCGCTTGGGCATTAAATTAAATTCCGTAAGAGTGTTCGACAGTCATTAACTTATAACACAGGTCCAGGTTTAACAAACTAGACATCCTTCCCAATACACATTTTGACATCAGCTTCTTGTCATTTAAAGTTCATCACTAGCCTTGGTAGCTTTTTCTTCAACTTCCTGGGCTGCCTTCTGGCCCTCTGCCCGGCCGCTGAGAGCCCCAATTTTCAATTGATCCCAAGCCCACTCTCCAAGGCTCTGGAGTCTGGAGAACATAGAGGCTTCCTGCCTGGTTACTCCATAGCGGAAGTAATCAGCATTATCCTTTGCTTGCCTTCTTAATTCTTCAATACTCGAGCCGCGAGTTGGCTTGATCCCATAAGAGGCAAGAAACTTTTCAATATCCTCCTTTGACCACGTATTGAAGTTAATGTCTTTCATGGAACCAGTAACTTGAGCAAGATAATTGGTAATAGAAGTAAAGTCGGGTCCACCGGCCTTTGAGGCTCGGTTGTACGCATCTTGAGCCTGCTTTAAAAGCTCATCACGGGTATACTCGACGCCTTCAAGAGCCTTTTTGTGTTGAGAAGACAAGTATTTCCTGTTTTATTCATCGTCAGTGAGAATTCTGTAACATGGACGGAGTAAAGGGCAGGTATTTTATTACCCAAGGTTCTCTTTGTTCCAGGTATCAAAAGTCCAGGCAGTATATCCAGAAGCGGCCTTGTGTCCATGAAGCCGTACCTTGGCGAGTAATTCATCCCTCTTATCACTCTGGGGTACTGGGATACCACGGGCATCCAGGTAGGCTTTAAGACGAGTATTAGACCATCCATTAATAACTTGGTTGAAGGCATCTTCCATCTTCAGCTGTGTATCATCCGTGGCTCGAGCGAATTCGTTCCCAGCCTTGGAGGTAGCAGCCCCATAAACAGAAGCCATTGATGCAGAAGGCTTCTCCAGCAGAGCTCGACGGTGCTTGCGCGCCAAAGCTAACATTTCATTCCTCTTGGAACCTTGAGGCACCTTGATACCATGTTCATCAAAAAATTTCTTGAAATCAGACTCTGACCAGGCGTTGAATAGAGCCTCAGCAAGAGTTTCCTGCGCAGCTGCCATGGATGCTGAAGCAGCAGCGGCAGATTTCTGGCCTTCTATACCAGCGCGACGCGAATTACGGCGCACGGCAGCAATAAGCTTATCGCGGGATGTTGGCTGAGGGACGGGGTAGCCATGGCTATCGAGATACTCCTTTAGCTCAGATTCAGACCAGTGTTCATATAGCCAGTTTCCTGGGTAGTTGACCGATTGACCAAGCTTCTGAGCGATTGCTTCGTAGTTGCGACGGGCTGTCGATAGGAGAGTATCCCTTTTCTTAGGCTGGGGACATGGAATCCCATGGCGATCTAAAAATGCTTTCAACTGAGAGTCACTCCACCTAAACAAAATTATTAGCCGTGTACCATCTTTATTTCGAGGGATTGATGAAAACCCACGAGTCAAATATCCATTCTTTGGCGTCATTGAATGAATCGGAAACCTCTTCTACTGTCTTTGAAGCTGGTTCGGTAACATACGACTCCCAATTCTTCTTCACCAATTCTTCAAGGTCCTTGCGATCTGCTGGAGAAGGGTATGGAACATCTATAGATGGTTTAAGTTGATTAACAAGGTTTTCAGGCCGCCGGATGCAAAGTGCTGGTTTTTCACTCACCATGGTCCGAGAGCCAGCGTTCAAGCTCAGTTTCATGCCATTTGTTGTAAACTGCGGTCACCGTGACGTGTTAGCCATGATCAATTCTCCAATGCATGACAAGCTGGCTTGCAGGGAGGGGAAAGAGAGCAACAGTACCAGCTTTGCTGAACCAGTCCCTGGAGCCCACGGCCTCCGACACCGTCAGAGCTATAATTAGCCCAGTCAATAGCCACTTCATGATAGCGTTGGTTCCAAGTATCAACAAACGAGTCCCATGCGAATGAAAAGCAGCCAAGTGGTGCGTTTGTCAAGCAAATGATGTCTTTAAATGCCGAAGGTGCTGCCTGCATGAGCAACTCAGGAAAATAACTGACAGTAAGCCCGACCAGTGTTCAATATATACTCGCTATTGGCGTCGTTATCTTGGATCCCAGGCAGGGCAGGAGCTTTATTTTGTTCATCCTGCCTCTTGTTACTATGACGTGTTGTGTGACGTAGGGAGGAAGGCAAGGACTGAGGGGCAACATCTCTGCAGCTCCAGGTTAAGGTCTTCCCTGGCTCTTAGCCTCTAGCATCTTTTACCCATAAAATTGCTGTCGTAGCCTACCATGGCTTCACCGCCAACATCCTCAAGACTCCTTTGGCTTTGCATATTCCCCATAGCCATTGTAGTTTTGTTCCGTCTGCACTTTTCTACCTAATAATCAAAATGAAACGAGGTCCCAAGTCGAACGAGTCGGCCGGCCGAGGCACAAGTAACGTGACGAGTGACTAATACAGCCTAACCTGATCCAGGCAGTCAGTACGCTTACCTAACCCTTCCTTTAACACATATCGTTATTATTGGCTGGCTGTGGCCCCGCATATGAAGCTACTCCTAAAGTAGCTAGACCTTCCGTAGTTTGTCAGATCGTCGCGTCGTGATTGGCTACGAGCCCTAGGCCTGTCCACCTTATTGGGCGGACAAGGCGCATCCTCTCAACCTCAAGTTTTCGCGCCTGCGGCTTGGAAGGGGAAGATGAGAATACAGAGCAGCAGACAGGCAGAGGCACACAACGCAAAGTCTCTGCGTGAATAAACCTCTCAAAGACACGTCTCTCCAGTGGCCGTACCTGCGTCCTGAAACCCGACGGTCGTCCCCTGCGCTTCTTTCTCTGTTTCCTTCACCTCTATATAATCACTCATGTGCGCTCGTTGGATCCATACCCCCCTGTCTATCCGCACCTCGCCAGCAGTTCTATAGGAAACGATGGTGAATTTGAGCGAAGAATGCAGGCAACTCGCCTCTCCCGGTGCTGTTAGCTTTACCTTCTCTATGTAAGTCAATATCCGCTTCTCTTTTGTCGGCTGAAGAACCGCGGCTAACTTATTCGCAACGCTTCTCTACCGATCTAGACTGATCTTCCTCGGCATCTTGCTGTCATATCTACCCCAACACTACCGTATCATTTCACGGGGCACCTCCTTTGGCATATCTCCCTATTTTATACTGCTGGGCACAACGTCGGGGACATTTGGGTTTGCAAACATCCTTGTTCTCCCGAAAAGTGCTCGCGATATCGCCTGCTGCCGTGATATCAGTGGCTTTGCCTGTTTTGCCGGCCTTTTAGGCATATTGCAGGTTGGGGTCCAGTCACTATGTTTTATCATCTTGTAGGTTCTGCTCTGGAAAGGCCATTATGCAGTTGTACTCTTGACTAACTTTTGCATCTTAGCCTTATTCTTTTTGTTGTATATTTCCCCCGAACGCCCCCAACCCCTGTTTCGACATCCACAACTCCCGAAAAATCACATAATTTCCGGACTGCTCTCACCGTAGGAGCATTATGCCTTGTCCATGCCATCGCTGTGATCATTCTAGGCTTTACGGTCGTCTTTGGCTATCCATCTACCCGGCAGATGTGGGCGAATATCCTCGGTGTCTCTGCCACCATCCTCTCTTCCATCCAATACTTTCCACAGATATACACCACCTGGCGACTACGTCGGGTAGGCAGTCTGAGTATCCAGATGATGTGCATCCAGACCCCCGGTGCCATAGTCTGGGCCATCAGCTTGGCCGAGAGACTGGGCATGGAAGGGTGGAGCACCTGGGGTGTTTACGTTGTAACTTCGATGCTGCAAGGTACCCTTCTAATCATGGGCGTTTATTTCGAATACGTTAATCCCCAGAAACCAGAGCTCGAGGCCGGAGCCAACAAGCCAACAGAACCCAACGGTCGTTCCTACGGCACCATGAACGGCGCCGATGCTCAGGATGATGCGATCTCCGAAGATACCCCTCTCCTACAAGGTTGACCCCTTCACACTACTTTCTGATGCAAAAGTCATGTTTTCCATTTCGTTAGCAAGCCTAGCCTTACACTTTTTTTCATTCCTTTCCAGAACGTCTCCTTTTTCTTTCAACATCCTATCATATTTGACACTCATTCTGGAAATCTTGTTTCATTACTCTGGTAGCGGTGAGTCTCTTTTGTACCATCCCTTTTTGATTTCTTTAACCCTCCCCCTGTCGAAACCCCCACTATTTTCAACGGCCATACATACAAAATAAAAAGAAAAGAAAAAGTAATGAAGGACAGGATATTATATTTGGTCCCTTTTGTGTGACTGGCTTGGCCCTGTCGGAGGAACATATCACATTTTGGCCCTACAGACTTGAAACACCAGCAGGACACTGACCCTGGCTCAAGTTACCCAAACACTTCCACAACTTGGCCTAGTACGACCACAACAAGCGCATCACAAGAACCTGGGGGCGCAGAAAAACTTTGAGCCGGGCCCTTCAATTTAAGAGATCCAATGGGCAGAGATTTCGTTCAGATTTCTGGGGGCGGAATATATTTGATGAGCTAACTGGTATTGACTGGCATAACTCCAACTACAGCCGCTTGGCAACCACTATCAATACATAATTGGACTGCAGTCAACCCGGATATCTCACAAGACATGCTCTTTATTTCTTCATCAGTACAGAGAGGCAATACTAGTTGAACCAGGCCCCGGTGGATACCTTGTCCCTCTATCCCATTGACAATGATACTGTCCTTGATGTCCTTGACAATACTTAGCTACAAAAATAATCGCCCTGGTGGTAGTACATGGAACAAACATCCCATCAAAAGATACCCGGAATGAAACAACGCATTCTAACTCTTGTAATATACCAAATATCATACTACACGCACGTGCATCGATTCTTTGTTTTTGCTTCCCGGACTTGATTTATTGCGCTGGTTTGATATTCGAGAATTAGTTTTTGCTTGATTGCACACTAGAAGCAAAAATGTATGAGAGAAGTTCTTTTATTTTGAGCGTTCCCCAGATATCTAATACCCCTAGACTGGAGCTTTTCTATCCAACACACTCACTTACTAGACATATATTTAATACTGAAGTCAAGGCCAAGGGGAGAAAGAATGCGAAAAATGGAAAGTCTCAATTGACTGAGCAAACATGTTTTCACTTGATCTCTATTTTACGTCACTGTGTCAAATTCTTTGTCGAAGACATACATAGGTTACCTTGCAAAGAACATGGAACAAAGCACATACATAATTACATGCATGAAACATCTCAGTCACAACTAGAGAGCAAAGTCTCACATCCACCTGCATGGCTTTTGGCTCCTTTTCTTTCTTCCTTCCCGCTCCTCTTCTCCATCTCAGGTGACACCACAGCTGCAACATTCTGCATATTCCCGCAAACATCCGGCCCTGCGCATTGTCCTGGACTACAAACAATACTTCAACCCGCCTGTCTTGGGTTATCTTGCTTGCTACTCCTCGCTCTTGAACCGTACCTCTTCCATCTCGTCTATGGTTTCGACCTTTCCATCCTGCGTGATCTGACTGGCTGCCCGGCCATGCCGATGCTCCATATCCTCATTATGCCGCTGCACGTCTTCCTCTTCCTTGTCCCTCCTGCGCCTTTCATCCTCGCTTAGTTCTTCTCTTGATGGTCGTTTCGGGTGCTTTGCATCTTTGCCGCTGTGCTGGTATGCATCACTGAGGGCGGGTTTGGCGTGGTTAGAAGGTATACGAGAGTCGAATTCTTTGGCAAACGAGTCTGCTTCTTCCATGTCTGGCTCAGGCTTGTGATGCTGATAGTGTCGGTGGACTAAGATTGGTCATATATGTTAGAACTGCTGTCTACATACGGCATGAAGGGTTCAACTTACCTTGTTCCTTGCCAGTTGATGAATGTTCCTCTCTTAGCCCGCCCCGGGGACTTGAATGGAGGAGTCTCTCATGATAGCCGCTGTGCCTGAGGAACCGTTCTCCCCGTGCCCCCCGTGCTACCGACAACGTTACTAGCCCATTTCTTCTTGAAATCGGTAATCGGGATGGTGTGAAATGCAGAGTTTGTATGAGCGCCAGTAGCCGGCTCATAATTCGAAATCAGCCTGTTTCTCAAAACAACGAATTCAACAACGTAGAGTCAGTCAGTCGACAGCTGTAGAATATGTTTGTTCATGGATGGGACATTCAAATGAACTCGCCCTTTTATATCTCTAGTTTGCCTTCCATCAACTAACTCTATACAACTTCCTGCTGTACTTCTCCAGCTTATTATGTCATAGCTATCCAACTTCTGGGTATAGCGGTTCCACCAATGAACGAGCAGACTGCTCGACGGGCAGAGACTTTCAACGGGCTTCCGCGAATGTTCCGGGGACGAGGATCGCGAGGAGGATATATTCCGGCGTCCTATTTGCATCTCCACCGCCTGACGATCGTGGACGTTTCAAGTAAGATATACTATTTTTCTTGGACGTACCCCTGTCCCTTGCATGGAGTCCAGTCTCGTGAAGAGAGGCAAAGTGCCTGGTAGTTAGGGATGGAGGAAGTTGAACTGATATCTGCTGCTGCAGACTATGGAATGAATGCAGCGCTAGAATAGTGCTGCGCATGGGCGTTGATGCCTAACAAAATTGGTTAGGAAACTAGTTTTTACATAGAAAAGGCTGGAATGTAGAGAATAGGTGATATAGATGAAGATGAATACATATTCTGCAGAAGAGAATAGTCACATAACAACAAGCGTCTGCCGAATCCAGGAGTAGCCGGATTGATTCAAGACAGAAAGGTCAACATATAAGAGATGGAAGGTACATGGGTTGACAATCCGCGGGTATAACCAGGGATACAACATTTCTATGTGCATAGAATGATATTAGGAAACGAATGTAAAAACGATATGCCTTTTCTCCCCCGAATGATCTGGAAAAGCCGAGTGCAGACAGGTATAGGAAAACAAGCCAGATGGTTGTCAGAAGCCGAGTGAACGAGTGACCGAGCAAGGAAGGGAATAACTGAGATGAAGTCGTTGTTATATATATAGATTTATATATATGTATGATGACAACAGAGTATGAGATAAAATGCGACAAGATCAAAATATCTTTCCAGGCCTAGTATATAACGCCGATGCCGAAAAAGAAACAAGATATTACCTCAAACGCCTGAACAGGAGGGCTATAAGTAGCGAAAAGTAGAAGTGTGGCAATATGATGATAGTTGTGCTGGTAAGAATCGAAGGTCATGTCGGAAGAGAAAAGTGGAAGATGAAGCAGGTCAGTTACCGTATAGCCATTCACAATAGCATTGGTCCGGCACAACGTCTCTGGACCCAATTAGCTGTGATCGGCGGGCCAATTTTTGGTTAAGGTCGATATTTTCGGCGTCTGGACCGGACCTAGAGTCCTTTTCTTCGATGGTCGCTTGGTTCTGTAGCATTGACAGGCTCCAGTCATCCAAGACTTGCATCTGTTGACAGTATGGTGGAGACTGACTCGCATCGGAGAATCGGAGTTCTTTGATTTTAATGGCCTGGGGATATGCTTGCGGTAGGTTACCGCCGCCTTCACCGGACATAGTAATGGGTGTCGAGGTAGGGGATGCTGATGTAGTGGTGGGAGTAGATTCACGAGGGTAGGGTGTTGGCGGGGTTGAAGGCATGCCATCGTCGGAACCATCGCTGCTGGTCTTCATATCATCTTCTGTCGCGTTCTTATTGGCATATATGAAGAGTTCGATGTAGGTTGTATTCCACCAGCAAAACCATGGCTTATCGCCCGGCTGAGACTGAACTTTTCCTGACCTGTTGTTAGAACGTTTCAATTGGGCGGAATCCTTCACTGATCTCCCAAGGACACCATATGGGAATTCGTCATCGGGGATAATGACGAGCTTGTCGAAAGTAGTATAGAAGAAGTATGCAGGCCCATCATCGGGGGCAGACGCGTCATATGCGGGTTGTAGCATATATTCCTTGTCTGCGAAAGCTGGTATTTGATCGCCGTATATAAATTTCCCTGTGAGAGGTGCTTGGGAGAATTTTATTGTTCTAGTATCCTTGGGCCCGACGGATATGGACCCTTTGAAATGACCATAGTCCACACAATCCCAAGACAATCGGAGGCTTGTGGTGTTGACACAGCTTTGAGATAGGGAATTGAACGTCCTTCCGGAAATTGAGATGGGTCCCGTAGGGATCGGGGAGAAAACAGGGGCGCCAGATGTGGTTGGGAGAGGTAGCGCATCCAAGGTGCCACTAGTTGTCGGAGTGGGTGGTAGGGTTCTATCACAACGGTTAGCTGATCAATGGCGTATATATATATATATATATATATATACAGGTATATTGAAAAAACATACTGTGTTGGTTGATGATCTGGATCTGGTGTTTTGCCGCCCTCTTTCTGGCCTTGACGGGCTCCTACAATCCCACCGAGGACACCTCCTATTAAAGTTCCTGTGATCAGACCTATAGCAATGAGACCAATGATCCATAGTGGTAGACCACAGCAAATTTTCTGATTCCTCCTCTTTTCCTTTTCGTTGACAATTTCCTGTGACGTGTTACCTGATTCGGCAGCCGATGAATCTGCCGCGGGGGCAACAGCACCTGGAACGTTTTCGCTAAGCAAGGTACGGGACGACACTTGTGATACTGGTGAGACAGGTGTTTCTAGAGGCTGTGAGGGGATGTTGGTAGTACCAGGAACGCCAGTTGGCGCAGCAGGGGCATAGTAAGACTTCTCTGGAATACCCTCAGGGTAACGAGTGTAAGGCGGGAGCTGTTCTCTATATCCATCTGTGCCTAAGATATCTCCGACTTCATCTGCAACAGGAGCGGGGGCGGGTTGACTGTATATTTGAGGGTGGCCTGGTAAGGGAAGAGGGACGGTAGTGTTGAGAGGATCATCCGGAACATGTTCAGGAACAGTGTTTTGGGAGTATAGGGCGTAGGGATGCTGGGGCGGGGCAGCAGCCACGAAATTTCGTTCGGGCGGCCGTACCGTCGAATTTGAGGATATGGATGATGTCCTGTTGACGGAGATTCCTTGAGAATACATGGCGTAGGGATGGCTAGGTCCTGTCTGACCGGTGTAGGGGCTCAATGCGCGGGGAGGAATGGAGAGTCTAGAGACAGTGCTGACGCTTCGATGGCTGGCAGACGCGGTGCTCTGAGCGATGGAAACAGCAGGCGATGACGTCCGAGGTACTGGCCCGGCATCCGGAGGGAAATTCTTCTTATCCGGAATCTGAGGCATCACTGTTTGATGATGATGTTGCTGGTATTGTTGTTGTTGCTGCTGAAGCAGCTGGGAGGCGCGTCTCTCCAGAGACTCGGGGATGCCCTGGAAGGAACTGGTAGGCAGCGGGGGAATCGAAATCTGATCCTGTCCGTCTCTAGTCTCTGTCTTGTCCGAGCTCGATGACGAATGACTCGAGAGGCTGTTGACGGACTGTCTCTGGCTGTTTGATGATGAATTGTCTATCCGCTCGACCGAGAATTCATCGCTGAAGACGTCCATCACCGGGGATGCCTGACTGCTGGACTGTTCCGAGCCAGCGCCGCCGCCATCACCAGCACTATCGCTTGACTGTTCTATCGAGGGTGACTTTTGACGGTCAGCATCACCCTCTGGTCCCTTGGAGGGAGACGTCGGCCGGTCGCTCATGTTTGGACAGGACAACCAATGATGATACACTGCCCGCCGGGGGCAGCGATCCCTTTCGGCGCTTCAGCCTTCGAAGGCTCCCTTTCTCTCGCTCTACCCCCAAAGACAGACACGGCGGCTGTGTGAGCCCGACAACCAGCCCCGGAATGAAAGAAAACACGATTCCAGCAAGCGAGACACACGCCCGAGACTGGCGGCCGGTCGGGACACTGTGGCTCAAGGGGGACGAACATCGAAGGCCCCCCGTCGTCGTTGTTGATGGGCGGCGTCGAAGCAGCGGGTGTGGTTGTTGCGTTGTTGGCGGTGGAAAGGCGAGGGAGTTGGAGGAAGAAGCCTGAAGAAGTCGAAGAAGTCGAAGCGAGGTCGAGGAGGCGGACAAGAGTCGGGCAGGGAGGAAAAACGACGATCTGAAACTCACCGCGCGCCAAGACTTGCCTTCCCCCCGGTCGACCTTCCTCCTTAGCTGACAAACACACACAGCGAGGAAGAGAGAGAGAGGAAAGAGAGAGAGAGAGAGAGAGAGAGAGAGAGGAAGAGGAAGAGACGACGGAGACGGCGATGGAGCAGACGAGAAGACCAGAGGCAGCGATGCTTAATAAAAAAAAACAGGCGAGAGTCGTATGCGAAGTATAAGAGAGAAGGCACAAGAAACTGCGCTCCTCGGTGGGCTTCAGGGGCGGCGTTATCTCCTCCTTTGGGAGATCGAGGCCTGGTTACCGCTAGCTAGTCGTGGTAGTGTTACGAGCGAGAGCGACAGCTTCCATCGGTCCGTCGACGAGAGAGAGTGAGTGAGAGAGCCAGGCAGATAACCGCAGAGCGATCATCCACGAGAGAGCCCACTTCGAGGCTGCTCGGTCGTCCTGGCACGGCGATGTAGCATCGACCTAGAGATGTCCGTCGAGCACGTAGGACTGCGGCCCTGGTTCCTCCCTCCCTATACTCTCTCTCCCTCTCTCTTCCACCCAGTTGTATACATATGCAAGCAAGCAAGCAAAGCGGAGTTGGTCTCCAAGGGGGCACCGTCGGCATCCTACCAGCCCATCCAACCAGGCCCTGCGGAAGCCAGAGTGACAAGATGGCTGCTCCCGGAGGCCCAGCATGCAGGCCGACCTGAGTTTCCTCTCCTCTTTGCTTTTCTTTCCTTTTTTTTTTTCCTATCCTTTCCCTTTTCTGTGCGGCATAAACCTGGTTGCATTTTCACCCCTGTCCATCGCATTAACCATCAGCCAGCGAGCGTCTTCGCCCTAGCCACAACTAGTGTGTCGTCCCCTTGGGAGGACCGCCTCTTTGGTCTTGTAATTCCTGGGGGTACCTCCTTTCATATCTATAATTTGCGATTGTTATTGTTGTTTGTTTCTTTTTGTTTTCACCATCTTCACCATCCTGGTTCTGCTTTCTTTCCCGATGCGAGAGCCCGTGTCGTGTTCAATCGAGGGTTTCTGGTCAAGGTTGGTGACTTTCGAATGGAGGCCACTCAAGTCTCTTCATGGAATGGAGCCAGGGTGGACACGGCCTTCCCGTGGACAACCACACCAGTGAGACCTCAAGATGACATCAGAGAAAACGCATGAAGAACTGTCTCGATGTCGGAAAGTTGGCCTTTGCTGCAGCTGCGGAGGCTTCCCTTGCTCTCCCTCTTCGCCTCTGGCACGCCAACACCCATTTTCGATTCGTATCAATTCTCCTCTTCTTTCTCTTCCCCCTCCTCTCCTGCCTGGCCCATAAGGAAGTTTTTGTCGAGGCAAGGGTGTGGGGGTAGTTTCCGAACGGATGTCTCCAAATGGGAGATGATTTGATGCATAAAATCAACACGATTGGCCGAGCAACACCCAGTTCGTGAGCTCATATAATCCATCTTGAGCCCAGAAATTCTCCATAGCCAGTTCCCACAGCCCTTCTTGTGGTCCAAAAATTTTGATTGATGGCTCGTGAAAATATTCGAAACTAAAACACACGCATTTCATCTCGGTCTCTTCAAATCAAGGATCGCAGATAAATGGACCTTTCCCTTCTGGCCCCATCCTGAGATGCCACCCTCGATTTCTGGCCGCACGGCGATGTACCATCTCCAGACATGTCTATCCAATTCGTCTCGGCTCAGCGTTGGCGCCCATGACTGGCAAACATGATCGATCGCGCCAAGTAGCAAACTGAGAGCAATCTCCTTGGCTGGCATCGACGTCGCCTTGGCCTTTTGCACGCTGTCCAGCTGGTTTGGGTCGTGCTCGTGCTCAGAAAACGATCTGAACAGGTAGTCTCGAGCTGGCTCAGCTCTGAATACAGGGAGGTGCGTGCTCTGGCCTCTACTTCCGCCGTCGTACCCACCATATCTGCTGTGCTGGCGGCCGTCGCTCGATTTACGATCACCCTCCAAGTCCAGACCCCATAGGGCTGGGAGATTGTCGTCGTCATTGTCTTGTTTGGGTGATAGCACGTTCGATTTGTGTGCAGGGGAACCCGTCTCGGCGTGCGGGGATTTGCTGCTACCTCCCTCTGGCACCGTTTCCTTCTTGCTATCAAATCCGATACTGGGTGGTGATACAGATGTAGTTTCCCCTTTTTCGTAGTCCCAGTCGTACCCTACCCGTCGGAGGACGCTGATACTCCTCCCCAGTACCTTGACCGTGGGCTGCCCTTGTGCCCATCCTGCGTCCTCAGCGCTGGGAGCGGCCGTATCTATACCCAGACTGCGAGCCTTTGTGCGGCTGTTTGCGCTCACCACAGCCTGGGCAAGGCTTAGTCTGCTGGACAACGGCTGCTCGGGCATTGTGTACTTCAGTGACATGACTGCGAATGCTAACACTAGTGGGGCTCGATTGGTGACAATCACCGTCTTAGAAATCCTTTCCAAATCCGTACTTACGGGAAGCGTAAGTGACTCTTCCAGCTGCTGAGGAGTCATGTCAAGCCCTGCAACTGTTGCTTTCCGTTTCTTCGAAGGTGATGATACAGATGATGCTGTTACCATGCCATCATCCTGCTCTTCTGTAGCTCGCTTTTTGACAACCCTTTTCGCCGCGTTCCACACCTGTCTTGCAGTTTTGGCTTCTGTAAAAACTGATTGGACCGCCGCCAACTTTGCTTTAGAAATATCTTCTGGACTATTGAAATCTTCTGTTAGTCAGGAGTCACTGTTATTTATGAAACGCATTATCTTTGAACCGCAATGATGAGTGTGCATGTTCAGTCAGACTGCATATTTTCATACTTTAGTAGCTTGGCTTCTTGTAGGCCCTTAGCCTTGCTAATAGAAGTAGCGAGGGGTATTCTGGCATCTTGCGTTAAGAAACGAAGTAGTGCCTGTAAATCCTTTGCTGTCGCCATGATCCGATCAACCTGCCAGCTCGTCACTAATAATTCTTCCTCTACAGCAGAACCGCCCTAGATATTCTTTGGAAGATTAACACCGTGAGGTACCAGCCGTTGACCAGGAAATGGACCTGCTGCCGAGCTGATGTTTAAATGCAGACTCGCTGGGCAATTGATGGCTCTGATAATATTCTCTTTCTGAGATGTAGTTAGTCCGCCGATTCCCATCTCAGGATATCAAGATGTAAGACTATCATGACTAAGCAGGTATAATATCAACGTTACAGATTTCTGGCAATTACATCCAATCAAATTGATGAAAAACGTTAAAATTATAAAATAATATAATACGACGGCGTCTATCATGTAATTTATCTCGCAACATCATGACCTTCTACAAGGTAACGGTATATCAGCTCTTTCATCTTCGGCAGCAGAGCTGTGTATAACGTCCCTAGATGAAAATTGCAGCGAGGTACCCTATATATCTCCAGTTCCGCAATATCGTTATTTGGGTGACGACACTATACCTAAGGGGCATTCCCTGCATACCCCTCCTGCATCTCGAAGGAAAGCCTCATCTCACGGCAAGGTCAAACCTCAAGCAGGAGAGTTCCTACTTTAATGAATACGCAATGTAAAGAAGAAAGAGTATCTTTGATAAAATGTGGCCATATCTTATGATCACGATGTTTTTCGCTTTGTTTACGTACCCAGCAAAACAGTGGCTGGCTGCTATTCTACTATCTGGTATACTAACTTTACTACGCTATCACCTTGTTATCTGCCCTTCGAATCTAGCAATAAACCATGTTGCCACTAGCATCAACGCTCATCCTTTCGGCTCTGGGCTTACTAGCCCAGAGTTTCTCTTTGGATGAAGTGAAGCTCGAACTCGGGCCTCAGCTATCCGAGTCCGCCCGGATCTCTGAGAATGGACAAGAGTTTGCAAGATGGAGTGAGTATTACTCCCCGACTCCTGGAGTCGTGGTTAGTGTAGCTAGTGAGGAGGATGTGGCTGCGACGGTGTGTTTTGAAGTTTCTACTCTTTCCCTCGTCTACATGTCAAACCTCCAGAGTTGACAGAGAGTATCAGGTGCAATATTGCATTAAATATGATATCCAGTTTTTTGCCCAGTCGGGAGCCCATGGATTTACTACTACATTGGATGTGCCTCCGGACGGAATACTTATCAACTTGAGACAGCTGAACTCAGTCACTTTCAACGATGAAAGGACAGAAGTCACGCTGGGGGGCGGTGTTCTGATTTCTGAGGTAATCGAGGCCGCTTCTTCAAACAGTACCTTGGTTTCAACTGGGAACTGTAACTGTGTTGGTGCTATCGGCGCTATCCTGGCGGGAGGGTACGGTAACCTGATGGGTATATATGGATATGGAGTTGACAACATTCTATCACTCAATGTCGTTTCTGGAAACGGTGTCCTGCAGACAGTTACAGATGGTGATGACCTTTTTTGGGCCGTCCGCGGTGCAGGTCCTAACTTTGGCATTGTGACGTCTGTGATAATGAAGGCATACCCTGTGCAACCAGCCGGTCTATATGCATGGCTGGGTGCTCTCACCTTTACAGGAGACAAGATTGAAGCGGTCACCAAGGCTATTAGTGAGCTCGAATTGAAACCGGAGATGAATCTTTTGATGTACTTTCTAGACGCCCGTGCTCCTTCCAAAACACCTACCATTGTCGTCACCCCGTTCTACCATGGCTCTGAGGCTGAAGGAAGGGCAACTTTCTCATCTCTACTCAACCTTGGTCCTACCCTTGACACGACAGCCAGCACCCATTATACTCACTGGAACGACGGATCCCAGAGCGCGTGCATCAAGGGCGACCGTAAACCGTCGTACTGTTCTGGCCTCGCCAAAATAGATCCCGGGACATGGAAGCAGGTATGGGACGAATATGTTACCTGGGTTTCGTCAAATGATGGAAAGTCTCGCAACAGCACCGTCATTCTCGAGGCATATTCTATGGACAAAGTGCAATCATTCCCAGTGAATTCGTCTTCAGTACCTTGGAGAGGCCGGATCAAGTTCAACGCTCTGGTGGTCCCTTGGTACAAGGATAAAGGCCTAGATCTTGCTGCTGAATCCTACGGCAGGTTCACTCGTAGCTTGATTTTATCCACGAGCGGCCTCGATCCTCCAGCTACGTATGTGCTTCCTACTGAACTCGACAAGTATCCATGATATAGCTAGGTACTAACAGGGCTAGGTATGTTAACTTTGCATATGGTGATGAGGAACCTTCAGAGGTATACGGCCATCAACTCCCAAGGCTACAGAAGCTTAAGGCAAAGTATGACCCGAATAACATTTTCGACCAGTCGTTTCATATCGAGCCAAAGTATTGAAGAGTTGAGGCAGGCGTCACAAAAAAAAAAAAAAAAAGAGAATATAGATATTCCTAGTATAGATAATCAAAATCAGAAAAGCGTTCTACACTAGTAAATAATCATTGAACGATCGCTAGAATCTCGGTGATATTATTCCTATTTAATTCTCGCTGTAGGAAATAATCCCAGGAAACAGCAGTCTTATGGCACTGTTAGTTTATAGAATGAGGTCATAGTAGGTCAAAGGTCAATCACTTGTGAGAACCACTACGATTTAAGGGTATAGGTGTCTTTCTCGTGAAAATACCCAAGGACCCGGATACCACTACAACCAGGTAGAAGGTCTTAACGAATCCGTATAAACATTGACAACAAGTATGTATATCCTAAATAAATACAGCTATAAATACGTACGATAGACGGTTATTGTTTCTCGATGGGCTTCGCATCTTCAGTCTCGCCTTTGGACTCAGCCATTGATGTTCGCTTGACTTCGGCTTCAACTGCTGGCACACAAGCCTCCTCAAAGCTGCTTCTCTTTGGTTTATCCATTATACCAGCGGCATTTGGAGCTTCTCCAGATGCCTTCAATCCAGAATAAGGTTCTGACTTGGCATTACTCTCACCAGATCCCCTTGTATCAGTTTCTGTCTCAGCTGGAGCTTCAGGCTTCTCCAAGTGTTCACTAGATAACTGATTGGAAGAAATGGGTTCTTCCATGGCTGGCTGTGGTGGTGAGCGTGCCACTTCAGAAGGAGCGTGATCGCCTTCAGCTTCCGCAGCCCGAGAGAAAACCGCGGATTTCACAGCCTTGTCAATTCTGGATGGCGGGGGTGCTTGGCTCTCCGGGTCTTCGGGAGGTGATACAGTTGCTTTCGTGGGGGGAGGTGCAAAGGGAGATTCTGACTGGATATCATTGGGCTCAGAAGGAGATTTACCCTGCTGACTGCTCGGGACGTTCACTTCCCCGTCAGGACCGATTGACCAAACATTCCATGGATACGTAAGCTTGATTTCTGAAGTTTGTGGCTTCTCAGCCTCTGCTACTGCCGGAGTAGACTTGGCGGCAGGTTTTCTTCTTGGTGGCCCTCTAGCCCTTCCCTTGCGGGCGTCACTGAGTGGGCCTTTTTCTGTTGGCCTCTCTTCCTCTTTCTCCGTTTCCTTCGGTTTGGGCGCTGATGGACCGAGTTTGAGACGGCTATCTAGATCAGAAAGGAACCCTGCTTTCAAGGCTGCAATCTTCGAGCCAACTGCCCGTGGAGGCAGTGCTGGCTTGGATTTTGGGGCAGGGGGGGCTGCATTGTCTGGGTTTTCTCCAGATATGGTTTTTGACAACGGTTCACCTGATTCTTGGCCCTTCTTCCGTGTAGGTCTCTGGGGAACCTGTGGCTTTGGCCTATCAGGGACTGATGGCCGCTTCTTTAGTTCAGTTGGACTGGTGGCCTGAGTCTTCGTTGGTGATATATCCCTCTGTTCCTCTGTGGAAGATCTATCAGGTTGCCTTGAAGGTCTGGGTGGTAGTGAAGGCAATGATGGCTTTTCTGGCTTTTCTGATTTCTCGGAATCTGCTGGTGCTTCCACGGCAGCAGTGAGCTGCTGACTTTCGGGGGCTTCTTCCCAGACATCTTTGCTAGGAAAACGCTGTTTTGAACCCTCCTCTTCCGGTCGAGATTCCTCTAGATGAGCAGGAGGCTCCTCCAAGCCAGATTTTTCCAGCATCTTATCTGCTTCTCGCACCCTTTCCTGTTCCTGCTCAGGTGTCTCAAATAGAGCCTCACGCTCTGATCCATCCTTCTTAGGCCGTTTGGGTATATCTGGAGTTGACACAGTTGCATGTAGCTGGGCACTACTGGGAGCATCTTCCCAGATATCCTTACTAGGAAACCTTTGCGTGTGGTTGACTGGTGACTTGAAGCGCTGGTCTGGAGATAGACGTCTTTCGCTGTCATCGTCATGGAATAGGGGTTCGTATTCTTTAGTATGCTTGACAGGCATAGATGCACTTTCACCCTGATCCCTAGGGTTACTTTCAGAACCTTTGTTCCCAGAACCTGTAGGGCGTGGTAGTTCTCTTTGCTGGGCAGATTCAGTATCTTGTATGTGGTCATGGTGTTTGTTCTCAAAGGAAGGGGATACAGCAGGTTGCAATGCCGCAGAGCTTGGGTCAATTTCATCCGAAGCAAGTACAGGGAAATCTTCCTCATCCGGTAGATGTTCCTTGAGTTTAGCCTCAGGTTCCGGTGCCAATGCGAAGCCATCTGGATGATGCTGATGATGTAAAGGTTCATCAACATGAATCTTTACTTCGTGGGATTCCGGCTTCTTATTATGAGTGTCATCCAGGCTCTCTAAAACTTTCTGTTTTTCTGGCATAGGGTGAGAAGTTGAATCTTCACGGAGCACTTCATGTTGCAGTGAAGATTCTGCTGGTGGTGATTGGAGACGAGAGGCAAGTTGTTCGGTCATAATATTCCCTAGCTCTTCGTCGGGAGTACCCATCATATTATCGGATGCACCTAGAATCGTTAAATTAAGCCTATGATAAGGTAGTTGTGCTTAAGGAGTGCTACCTGTAACTCGGGATGATTTGACAATCTTGTTCAGATCCTCACTGCTCATTGCCCAGTCGGGACGTGGACTCCCAACACCTGATGCATGAAACGCCTGTTCCTCCAGAGCCAGCTCTTTTGGATGTTTTTGGTACCAGGATTTTTCGAATGGGTCATCAGGAGTTACTCCGTGCCCATGGAGACCATAGCTGCCTGGGGGTTCTTGTCTACTTTTAGTCCGGTTGTGACTATCTCGATGCTCGTGGGGGCTGGATGACCCAGGCGACGGGGATGGTGCTTGTACATATCCCGCGTTAGGGTACATAGGCACCCTTTGTCCCATCTCCAACGCAGCGGTCCCTTCATCAATGGGATAAGACTTCTGACTGGCTGACGCATTTGACGATTCCAGCTGGATATGAGGAATGCCTGATTTAGAATATAGTGACTGGTTACTGACATCTTCCTCCGATCCCGTTTCATGTCCATGTGAAGCGTCTGTCCGGGTCACGGCCTGAACCTGTGCTGTTGCACTTGAAGTCGGCAATGATGGCCGAGGGGCATGTAGATGAAGGTCCTGATGAACATTCCTTGTCTCTGCGGGCTGTTCCACCCCGTATCCGGCTACCTTTTCTCCCTGTGTAACGGGGTTCCTAAGCTCAACAAGCTTTGGAGCGGTTGGAGGAAGAGTAGCGCTATCAGGCCTGATGGAAGGATCAATTGGTGAATCTGCACCTAATAAACTAGAGGAAGGCGGCGCATTCAGTGGAGATGGAGCAAAACTGTCTAACTTTGGAGGTGAGTTTCTATCTGGACGACTCGTAGGGCGCGGGGGTATCTTCGGAGGGTTTGCGTTGGCGTTGTTCGGAGAGCGAGAAGGTCGTGGAGGTATGGGAGGAGGAGCTTTAGTTGACATGGCGGTAACAAATAGATTCTGTAGTATAATAAGCTGATATTGTATGTAGTTGTAAAGTCGATAAAGGGAAGAAGTGCTTCTAAATAGGTCAGTGCCTGTACTATCCGAATGCTTTCACACCCAGCCCCCCCCACAATGTCTTGAAGGTATAGTTGACACGAGATTATGCCCCCCCCCCCCCCCCCGGAGGCATACTTGAGAATAGATGGCGTGTATATATAGAATCTCCCTGATTCTATATAGAACTCACCTCGGAATGAGGTGCTAATAAGGAGAAGCTTCGGTGGTTTGGCCTAAGTGGCAAGAATCTTGATCGATTCAATGAAATATGACAAGGAGAAACTTCAGAGGGAGCGTAGAAAGTAAACACCTCGCCTCACTGCAAATGAGAATGCTTACCGGTGTATATAGATAGCAGTAGAAATGTGTCAAGAAAGAGAGGTTCTTGAGCTGGCTCTAGGAAGGGGGCTGGGAGTCAGCAAAGCCCCATATACTCCGTACTAAGGCCCTTCTATGGGAAGACGTCACTGCCTTTTGGCACTCAGGAGGAGATCATAGCATGTTTGATGCCCGACGTGATAGCTGATTCAGCCCTAGGCTTGTAAGTGGCCGTATTGTCTGGTAGTAGCTGATATCAAATTATCCAACTTGACGGTGTTTCGAGATGCTTTGCCTTGCTTTTTACCAGGTCGTTAGTTTGGTTACGTAGCTCCAGTAATGACGCGGACGGTCACGTGGACGGCATGTGAAGAGAGAGAGAGAAATGGAGGAGTGACGGTTAGACGTATCTTATCATGATAGAGTCTCGTAATAGCCTACAATACATACAGATGGTACAAAAGAGCAAGGCTATAGAAGTTACAGAGAGGCTAAGGAATAGAGCAATAAACCAGGGTTGGAAGTGTCCAGTTCCAGATCAGTTTCTCCTGTCCATGGCATCAAAAGGAGACAAGCGGATAAGAGATCATCCATTAAAAGAGAAAGGAGGAAAAGACATAAGCAAGCTGGTATCTATCATTGGGTGGGAGGTAGGTATGGGAATTGGAATAAAACCTGCGGCACAGCGATAAAACTGTTGCCGGTATGGAAGCTCAGCTTAAAGGGAAGGGGAACAAAAAGAACAGTAGGTGGGATCGTGTGCATCGTGGAGTACTTAAGGCGCTTGGTTAGCCCTCTCTCGTTGAGGGAAGGGAAGTAGCTTGACTGGCCACGGAAGGACGCAAAGGTATTTCGTTTGGTCATTCCCATTTAGACCATCATTTGCGCAACGCCTTGTCCACCAAGGGTCTTACTTCCGGTGAATTCCTGGCCCTTAGCAGCAGCTAGAGCATAGAAGATGGCGGTAAAGAGAAGAAAAACGGCTGCCGCAATCAAGCTCGTAGCTTCCTTTGACACAAGACTGAGCCACTGAATGACGCTCATGGCAAGGTAGATAACTCCACGCATTGTGTTGGATGCGAAACGGCGGATGAATGCGTCGAACTTGGATGAAGTAGGGCAGATGCGCAGGAGCAGTGGTACCTCGATAAACAGGATGACTGGGGAACAAGCTCTATTGTAATAGTCGCCAAGTTAGCAGGCCGTAAGACAAGTTTGGCAGTAATTTGAACGGTTCACTTACAGGCATACTATGCTGAATGCAAGTATGATAGATGGAACGCGAAAGAGGTTAGAAATTCCAACAGCAAAGCATATTAGCATGGAGAGGATTCCGGTCCTAAATATACAGTGTTAGCTTCCAGTTGTACGTATACAACGGTAGTGCAACCAGCAGGACTCCTCGACTGGATAGACTGGAGTCGGCGGAAGCGGTAGGAGCGGCTAACCATTGTGCGTAGATGCCTGGAGGACTGGTGTTAGCATATGTGGAACAGCCCAGGAAGTCCGTCTGGTAGACTTACTGAAATTCCTTGATCTAAACTCTTCGGCGAGCGTCATTATGACTGCTGTCAATGTTTTAATGAGCTAGGGGCTCCTTCGATGCTGGTGGGTTGCTGGTTGGAACAGTGGTATCCTAGAGCTGTGTGCGAGCCCGGAACTAATCAAAAACGATAGAGGGTAAACAACACTAGCAGCCACAGTTAGCACTCCCACTTCAATAGACATGGAGAAGACATTTCTGAGATAGCATCTGAGATAATGGTAAACCAGGGACAACTCACAGTGCTGCTCTGGCTTCTGCTCTGGCTTGTGCGCTGCAAATAAGAGCAGGAGAAGAAGCTAGTTCACTCTTTAAGGCAGCTCACGCGCAATCTAAGCCACAACAACAACAATAACAAATGCGTCTTAGACTTAAGCAGAGTTTCACAAAGCCGATGCCTGCAAGCAGAGCATAAGGGTGATATTAGTGACTTGTCCAGCAAAGAAATAAAACTGTCTGTCTGTCCGTCCGTCTGTCTTCCAGGCGAGTAACTGACAAGATGGATGGCCTGAAAGCGAAAAGGAAAGTCAAGCCTCGCCTGCCAAGCCTCACTCGCTGACTCACCAGGACAACAAGCCACAGCCTGTTTAGTTACTCGGAGATTTGACGGGATGAAGATGGAAGATAAGAGGCAGAAGACAAAGCCGAAAGAGAAACAGACAGGAGAGTTGGTTAGCCTAGGGAAGTGGTTTGTTGGTGGCTATTTAAGCCCGAATGGACAATGTTGCAGCCTGAAGAGTTGCTCTGCACAGCGGCGCCACGCAGTTATACGTGGACAGCTGATCCAAAGGCTTCTAGAGGCAGGCTCTCAAGCGGCCGTACCGGTACCGGAGGTTGGTCAGTCATTAAAAAGGCCGCTCATGGCTGATGGCTCGAGACGAGCAGTCTCGAATGCGACTGGTCAGGAGAAATTTATCATAGAACACGATCTGAAATACTAGTTAACTAGTTACAACAGTGGTTGCCTGTATTCTTTTATTCCTCCGGCTAACTGCTGTTTATAGAGTCCTCCGTTTTTCTTCTCACTGCGTCGCTCAAGAGCCATAGACAAGGCGGAAAACATCGTTAAAGACGAAGTAGCTTCCGGCACCATCGGGGAGGAGCTGGAAGGACTGGCTGTAATTCATGGGCGCTGGCGAGTCGTCAACCTGCGAGATGGATGAGAGAGTTAGGAGATGCATGTACAATTTCATACTCGGGAATAATGGGCGATAAGCGGGATAGGGATATTCCTTACCAGGAGGGCACCAGTGACCATGACCATAATTCCACCGCTCTCGTTTGATGGCTGAGCGTCAAGGGTAGCTACTTGATGGGCGACTTTCTGGAATGGCAGAGTCTATCGTGGTGAAAGTCAGCAAGAGATGATCATGACCAACGTTAACGGAGACTTGCGCAACGGCCTAGATTCACCAGCTCTTCCTGCGCATGGCAGTACTCACAGTCAACTTCTCTAAAATAGCAGTAGCTCCTTGGATGGATGTGGTTTCGAACGTCAACATAGACTGGTCGCGCTATAGTGTCATATCTTTATTAGTTCTCCATGCCTGGTAGTTCTGTCATCAAAAGGTGGCATCAAGCTCTTACGTAGAGGCTTCCAAGGTTACTCCGGTTCTCATCGAAGGTCTTGTAGTAGAATTCGACGAATTGTTCTGTTCAACAAACGCGATTGCTATTAGGGACTCTTCTTCGCTCTGGTGGCTTTGCATCCGGCTATAGATATCGCTCTTGCACTACCGTAGAAGGCAGCAGTGGGAGGATATCACGGTTAAGGATATGGGTAAGGACGTACTAGCAACCTGTGTGAAGTCTATAGAAACTGTCTCATTAGTTATCTAGATTCTTAAAGAGGGGATTCATAGCATGATATCCCTCCCATCCCATGGATGCGGGTGGAAAGAAGCTTTGAATGCAATATCACTATGATCCGGGGCTTTTTGGAAACCGCGTAAAGGGAGAAACCCACCAGCCATCTTGTCTATATCGTAGCCTCGTAACCGCTTCTATGTCTCTTCGATCGAACTGCTTGTCTGCGATTATGTCTTTGGGCGCGAAGAAAGTGACGGAGGGGCTTTTTCTATTTATATGGTGGGGGTTTTGGCGGCCAAAGGAAAAATTCTTGGCGTTTGGTCCCCCGTTTTGAAAACAAATACGTATACTTTTTTTTTTTACTTCTTTCAACATCACAGTGAAGAGCTGGCTGTTGACTGATGATGCTTCAAGGGAGAAAAAATAGTATTGAATATAATTTACATGAAGGGTGAAGATAGATCGATGTATCATAGGATAAAGACGGTCAAAATGGTCTCTTCAAACGCTGGCAAAGACTACATAATTAGCCTTCGGACTCTGAGTCTGCAAACATGTCCTCTGCCTTCGGCCGACGGCGTTTTTGAGAAAGTTGAGCAGGCTCCACGGGTTGAGATATAGGGGCCTGTGCTGGAATCTCTTCTTTTGAAACTGATTTTTCCTCTTGCTTCTTGCCGGGTGGCTTATCTTGACCCAAAGCAACGTCCTTGACCTCTTCCAAATCGCTGTCCTCCATGGGGACTCCATCTAAATCGGAAAAGATTTCGCCGTCTAGGTCATCATCGGCAATAGGAGCTCCGTCAATGTCCAGGTCCATAGGGTCATCACCGTCCGTAGGGTTAGCAGCAGGGTCAAACTGCCCTGTTGTCCCGTTATCTTCAACGGCTTTCCATTTGTTTTTGCTTTTGCTGCCAAATACCCCAGTCTCTTTTCCTTCTGCCACACGAGCCTTCTCTTCAGCTTGTTCTTTTTCAGTAGGTGGAGGGTGGTCGAAGGAGTTGACAAATACTTCGTGGCTAGTCTGTGGGAAGACACACCAGCCTTCCCACAGATTGAGGAGAATGCCGATACTTCGTCTCCATTTCTCGATTTTCAATCTGCCCCATCCAAGTTCCTTTTCTACTCGACCTAGCTTCTCGAAAGTCTTCTGTTGTTTCAGGGCATTTTCAAAGAGTTGTCGATAGCGCCATGCATGCCGTACACCGCTTGTAGATGATGACGAAAGGATATCTGAAATGATATAGAGGCCAACCAAACTGGCTGACGACGTATCTAGCTTCCCATCGGCGGTTGGTTTCTTGCTTTGCTCGGTGGGTTCATTATCTAATTTGACAGGCTCGTCAAGGTCGTTCTTGTTTGACGCTGAAGCTCCGTTTTCGTCCTTTTGCCGTCCGGGGTTAGCAGAGGTATAAGCAAAGGGCTTATTCACGTTGGATACAATCATATCAACAACCTCATCTCCTCCCCCACCAGCATGCTTAATTGCAAATGCAGTGACACGCGCCACGTCGCCCCGCCGAAGTTTCGAGTGTGATGTAGGAAGTCTGGCCAGTAGGTGTGTGAGCTTTGCCTTTTGCAAGGGATTCAAATGTCCAGTTCCATCATTCCCTGTATCATTTGTAGCGTCATCCCGCCTCTTCTCTTCCTCTCTATCTGAATCATCTTCATCAGAAGAATCATAGTCTTCGTCTGAAACAAACTCTTCAAGTTTGGTCGTGTATTCAAACCGTAAGTTTCTCTCTGGCTCTGACCACATAGGGCCATTCTCGAATATGACGGTAGTTGAAGCATGGTTTCGCCCTCTACCACGTCTTTTGCCGGGATTCGTCAAAATATCCCACAGTTTCCACCTATACCATACTCCTCCTGTACTCTTTGGATTCCATATCCAGGCCCATTTTTCCTCCTTTTGAACTTCCGGCCTACTCATAAGTAGGGCTTCAAATTCGGGTCCAAACGTTAATAGATTCTCAATTGTCTTATGTATCAGCTTTAATTGTCGCAAGTCCGAAGGTGGCTTAACGTTGACTTGAAGCCCCGGGTTACTCCTACCCCCATATCTGGAATCATATGATGAAGGTGGCGCAATTCCAGAACGATGAGGCCCTCCACGCCCAAATTGGCTGGCACGAGTTATGGGCCGAGCACCGAAGGGTTGGTTTGTTAATGACGTAGATCCGGGAGCTATGGGTATACTTGAATGAATGGCTGCCGACGATAGATGTCTAGAAATCGACAAATAAAATCCCCAACCCAAGTACTTATTCTGTAATGAGCTTACCACCGTATCCATATCCGTGGCGGCAGTGTCATGAGCCAGTGTAACAATAGCAGACCATATTCTCTTTTCGTTCACTCCATGTGTTGATGGGGGCGGAGGTGGTAATATCTTGACATTTTCCACAACCAATATCGGAGGAATCAACGACTTTATAACAGCGGGAGATGTACCAGGAGGTAGGGAAGCGAGATGCAATGTAGGCTTCGCAGCTGCTTTCTCCGCCTCCTTTTTATCAATATTTGTCTCCTCTTCGTCGTCTGATGCCTGGAATGCGTTCAACGAGTCGCTCGCTCGCGCGCTTTCAAATCTAAATATCCTACGAGGCTTGTCTCGGTCTCGTTGAGAGTCTCTTATAGACTCGAATGGTCGTTTCTTGGAGAACGGTAAAGGTGGTTTTCCGAGCGATTCTGAGGTAGTTCGTATGGGTCCGGCAAAGTGTCGTTTCGATGGCCCGCCGCTAAAGGGGCCGTGGCCTGTCGCGGACGCATGGTGATGATGTTGCTGAGTAGATCGTCCACTGAACGCATTGGAGGAAGTAGATAGGTTTGAATCTTGGTCGAATGATTTCACAAAGTCTTCGTAGACAGCAGCCGTCTCTGCCTTATCTCTCTGCCTTTTTGCTTCGGCTTCGGCTTTCTGGCGCTCAAAATGTGACCTTTTCGCCGCGGACGGTTTGCTTGGAGGAGTGTCGAATATAGACTTGACATGGGGAGCATTTTCAGACATGGTACCTTACTGCCCGGAACTCATTTCAGAGAGCAGCGTAGCTCTTCCCAGCCAGGATCACGGTCTCAAGCTGTCGTCGAAAGGTCAAGCTCCAAGCTTCACCTAGTGGCTTGAAGAGGTCTGCGCGGATAAGTGTCACGTGAACGTATTCAGCCTCGCCCCTTACCTATAAATAGCCAGAGCCTATTTGTACCGTTGGAGATGATGTTTTATGCAAAGATCTTTAAAAGAGGTGTATTGCAGGCTTGTATTTTGTGTCGATACCATGCTATCGAATATATTCTCACCATTATAAACAATAGAACAATCAAGACTCCAAGAGGGAATGAAAGAGGAAATGAAGAGGAGAAGCACCGGGTGACTCCTAACTGTACATGCATAAATGCTAATGAGTGGTCTTGACACCTCGCGGACCAAACAATGGACATGAGTAAAAGTAATAAATTAGAAAGGTTGCGTTTGGGGACAGTAATAGATGCATAGCCAAGCGAATCTATACACGGAAAAAGCAGGAGGGAGGGGAAAGATGTAAACAGGGGAAGGGGAGGTAGAATAATGAAAGGTGAAAAGAACTTAATGGGTAAATACTACAATGCAATGCGTTATACGGGCGTCATGCGATGCGATGCGAGTCTTGAGGAAACCTGTATTTGTAGGGGGTATTAGAGTGGGTGAAAGGTATCTTAACTACCATCCGGGAGGCGTAGTCATGTAACCAACTTGAAGAAGTGAAATGCAGGTGATAGTTACCCATGCTAGAGTGGGCAGATAAAGCGAATGTGATGGTGATGTAGGTAGTAGGTCATCTTTTCTTTTTAGTGGGATGAGAAGGAAATTATATACTGGGGTGGTAGATAGGTTCTCCGAAAGCAGGCTCACGGGCCAGGGATATCATTTTTCTCATTCATTTTTTTTCCCCCAACTGTTAATTTTGCTTTTATTATGTGTTGGGTTTTTTGCTTCTGCTGATTTTTTTCCAAGGTAGGTCTTTATTTGCGGAAGCTGTCGGCACCGAGGGTTGGGACTTCAACCAGCCGGTCACAAGGGACACCTTCGTCGCGCCTCCGTTCAAAGAAATTGTCACACTCTGATACGACCATGGCCCATTCAGCAAGTGCTCTACCTGCATACTTGTTAATTTGACCATTGCTTGCAGGATGAATGCGTGCGGCGAAGAGATTCTTTGACACATTGTTTGAACGAGGAGCGATCGTCCCACTATTTACCCGGGAATCGGGCTCTTCGGCAGCCGAATCGGTTTCAGAACTGTCTTCAGACCCCGTGCCTGCGCGTGAATAGGACCTGGAACCAGAACTTGAGTCGGATATATTAACGGGAGGCTTCTGGAGGGCATGGAGGAACAGGCGAGCTGGTGCCGGCAGCGATGGGGGGTAGAGCTGCCTATTCCTACTTGGCCATCTTTGGCGGTCAATCCACTCCAAGCAAAACCGGAAAGTGTACGCTTGTCGCGGAGTGGCGCTCGATCCTGATTCGGGGCCGGGGCTTGTTCCATCTTCTTTAGGGTGTTCACCTGCATGGCGGCCTTCACTGGCTGTTGTAATGCTAGCAGTCTCTGGGCTCGAGCTACCAGGAGGGGTCACTTCTCCAGGCTTGGGATTTGAGTTGCTTTTGAATATAGTTCTGAGAATTTTCCAAGTCTTCTTTAACTGTGGTGAAGTGGATTCGGCTTCCGCTGTTGAAGATTGGGCTTTATTTGAGGATTCTCCATTATGTGGGCGGATTGCCATCGAAGGTGGCAGGATATTGTCCAGACACACAAACATACTTGGGGCTGGCGGGAAATAGTCGTTTCTGATGATAATAAGACGGCGTCCAGGAGCTGGTGTACAGGGGGCAGTCGATACAGGCGCCACAAGACCCTTCTCTGCAATTGACTGATGGGCAACAAACTGCTCCCAGATGTGCCCTAACTTATCCAGTAAGGTTTGGTAGATACGACTGTAGTAGAACTGTTAGTTAAGAGAAACGGAGAGTCACGCCATAAAAGACATACGTATCAAGCTCTGACTGTTGTGTACCATCATGCCGAGCTAACCTCCAGCAAATCAAACGGTGATAGTATCCGCGGACCATGGGGCTCCAGTGATTAAAATATTGGGTGAAAAGGGCAGTGCTTAGTAACATATCGAGGCACAGCCTTTCCTTCCGTCTGATATCATGGTTGATCTCCACCCAGCCAGTGAAAATAAAGGCAAAAGTCCGGACTTCCGTAAGGGAATTATTGCTTTTGAGCATTTCCAGACAGACATCCAGCCAAAAGTCCCAGTCAAGAGGATCAGGCAGGTCATTGGTACGGCAGTACGGAGGTAATATTGGGATAAGTTCTTCGACGAAGTCGCATAAGGCAAAACAAGCGTTATGGTCGTATAAAGACGTCTTCCGTGCGCCAAGTTTGAGGATCTTGCAGAATGATTCAATGAATAACTGTTTTGTCAGCTGTTGCATTGAGGAGTCCGCAAGGAAATCCCGCAGGGTCATGATCAGTCTGCTCTCAGACATTAATATTAGTGAATTAGTTTGCCTCAGGGGTAGGCTAGCAGATGTCTCTGCGCCGTCCAGCAGATCATCAAACGTCGCAGTTGCTGTGCTATGAAGGGCATCCGTAGGCTGTAGCCCTGTATGCTTGCTGAGAGTATTTTGCAGGACTATTAGCATTTGCGCGTGCACTGGAATAAATCCGGGAACGTATATCCTTTTCGACATATCGATAATTGATGGGAACAGGTCTGTGATTAGGAGGTAGAAATGTTTCAAGAAGACGAAAAAAAGGTCTGTATCCCGGCCGGCCCAGCGAGGCGCCCATGGGCCGAACCAGTTGATTTGGGCAGCAGCAAGCGGGACTGAAGTATTACGCCGCAGAGCGCGTAGGAAGGACGAATGACCGGAAAACGCGAGGTTCCGAACAGCTGGGGGGAATTGAGATGAGATTTCCTCAGCCATCACTCCTCTAAGCACATGGTCATGACCAGGGTCAAATTCATTTATGACGTTCCGGAGTAATGTAGGCGAGATATTCCAGAGCTTGACTAGGACGTTGGCGACATCGGGACAGAAGAAGAAGGCGTACGCACAAGTTTTACCACAGAAGGAGACCAGGCTAGCCGGAGTATGCCTCACAGACATACGATCGATGGAGTAGCCAACCTGGGAAAGTAAGTTCTGGTTGAAGGTATTGCGGATATTATGGTGGATTGATTCCGCTAGAAAGTCGGATCCTGTCGTCTCCAGAGAGGTGTAAGACCTAGCGGCCAAGTCGACCCTCGATGTAGAAGTAGATGAAGAGCCAGATATGTTTGACTGGAAAGGGACTCGCCATTCTGGCCGAGTCATAATGGCAACAATTGATTCCAGGTAGACAGGTCTGTCTGTTCCAGTGATAGACTGGCCATTTCGTCCATTGAGTAGTTCCAACAAGCCGGTCCACCATCTATTAAGTATGTTTGTACGTCTGTCCAAGTCTTCTGGCCGGAGATTGTGATTAGACTGATGGTTTAGGATGCGAGAAAGGGCGGGGAGGAAAGACGAGCGTAGGACATTGACTTTAAGAGGAGTCGATTTCGAGGAAAATCTGTAATTGTTAGCTAGGATTGGGAAAGGGCAAGGAGAGCATGAAAGCCGTACTTTTGGTAGTCCACATCAAGTCCTCGAAAGACGTGCCAGAGTTCGTCTCTCTTCTTTGGGGATTCTGGCTTTGCGCGTGAGGTTTGGGAGACGGGGACCTGAGGAACCGGAGGAACATCCTGTTTGCTGCTGGACAAGCTGACGGAGGCCACGAGGCGATCCCAGGACGGTCTCCGGCGTAGCGAGTGTTGCGAAGAATCTCTCTTGGACTCGGCGTGGGATTTTCCCTTGAGAGAGACAATGCTGGCCGGTCTGCGGCCTCTCTTGGGAGTTGTGGTACCTGAGGATTCAATGGGGGAGGTGGACGCAGAGTCTGAGGTCGAAGTAGTGGCCGTGGTCGTTGATGATGCTGTGTCCGTTGTCTTGACAGATAGCGTGCTTGTTATAGAAGAGCTAGTAGCTACAGATGATACAGGCTTGGGATCTGGAGAAGGAGACGGGGAAGGGGAAGTAGAAGTGGACTGCATCGGCGCCGGCGAGGGTGATCGAGATGTTTTCCATGGCTTAAGGGTCAGGTTCGCGAACGACGGCTTGGAGAAGGCCTTCCGGGTGCGTTCGGTGGACACTCTGGGGGCAGCTGTCACCTCGACGCTGGGATTGACGCTGGCCGGGGTTGAAGGGGTATTATTAGAAGAGGTACTAGTATTACCGGTGGTATCAGTAGTCGTACTATCGGCGGCGGCGGCGGCGGCGGTAGTAGTAGTAGTAGTAGCGGTGGGAGTGGTAGTTGTGGTAGCGGCTGTAGTACCAGCTCCCGTGGCCGTGTTATTATTATTCTTCGAGTTGCGTAGTGGCCGGCGGCCGGCTTTCTCTCGCAACGAAGCCTGCCGCAGGATACTCTTGCCGGTCTCAACATCGATGGTCTGTGTAGGCGACTGTGAATCTGTGGTGAGCTGCGAGAGGTTCACTTCCGAGATGGTTCTCTTGATACTGGCGGTCTCGCTGTCGTCGAGCAGCTGGGGAATGTGGATGTAGCTGGCAGAGCGACCAAGCTCTGGGGAGGACCTCGACCCATCGTTAGACGACTTCTGATCTGGCATAATCGAGGCACGGCGAGGAGGAATCGAGTTTGATCGAGCTGCGAAGGGTGCGGCGGACGGAGCTGGCTGGCGGTACTAGGCCCAAGGACCGTGAGAGGCCAGCTCCCCGTCAATGGCAGGATTCTCGGGATCTAGCAAAACCATGAGATAGAGGAGTACGGGGCAGACGAAGGAGAGGATCTTTCTCTCGAGGCCTCCGTAAAGAAGAGTAAAAAAAGCAGCGACGGAGGCGAGAGAGAGCCAGAGAGAAAGAGACGGCGGAGGTAAATATTCAGCCAGCAACGGCTTTTTCTCTTGCGTGTGAAAAGAGCGAAACCTAGCGACAGGGTAGGTTCGTCATCGGGAGCAGCTCGATGATCTCAGCGACAAAACGATTCGGCCCGTCTGCTCGACTGCGGGCTTCTGGCTGGCTGCGTTTCCTCTGGCTCGCTCGGTATTTTTTGGTCGCTGGTTGATGGTTGACGGATGGGTTGAATAATGAGCCGTCCAGTCTATCAAGTCACCAGGTAGTGGCAACGGGCCGTGTCCATGGATGAAGGGGAAGTCAAAGGCCGCCAAACTTGCAAAAGAAGAAGAAGAAGAAGCAGAGGAAGAAGAAAAGAGAAGAGACCTGTCCCGAAGCAATATTATATATATATATATATATATATATATATATCTGACTAACTGTCTGTCTCTATCTAGGTGTCCCCTTTAGCCTCATCGCACATCGACATCGCACACCCTCGCTCGCCGTCCACCGCTGCCATGGCTCTCTCTATAAAGATCGCCTTGAAGCTATCATCCAAGTACAGCCACACCTAAAGGCATGTCTTAGCTTGGCTCATGTGCGTGAGAGATGCAGGGCGGACAGGGCCAGCGGGCAAGATTATGTCCATTTGCGAGTTCCTGCAGCCGCCTCTCAGACGGCACAGGGCCCTTCCCTCTCTGCCATTTTTCCTCCCTTGACTTATTCTCTCTTATCTTCGCGTTTGAAATCTCTGGATGTCTCATCTTCTTTGGCACCCCTTGGCTGTCCTCCTGCCTGCTTCGTGGCGGGGAGGGGGGGCTTGCTTTCTCCCTTTTTCTCCCGCTGCCTCTACCTCTGCTTTGCTTTGCTTGCTTGCTTTTTTTCTTCCTAATCATTAATGTTATCCACTTGAAGGCCGATGATGCCTGTAGAGCGCCCACATGGGATAATTTAATAGATCTCTGACGCGGCTTCAGATAGGTCCCTTTGCCGTTCTTGGGCGTTGACCTTCGCTCCATACACTGGCGATTGCCAGCCGGGAGTTTGTCAGGTTGCTGTCGAAGGCTGATATCTGATATTCCAGCGTCGACGGTCATCTCACTGTCATGTTACTGGAGCCAACACCAACACTGTCTGGTCTTACCTGGTCCTAAAGACTGGCTCCTGCATGTCTAGCTGCAGCTCGGCGCAGAAGACGCGGAAGACGCTGTAAAATCCCCCTAATATAATAAAACAATATAAAAAAAAAATAAATAAAAATAAAAATAAAAAAACAAAAGGACAACAGAACTCAAAAGGGCCATCTCGTCCGTGCCCCCCACGGGGGGAGGGGGACACTGGCCAGGCATCTTTCTGCTGCTGTCCCTGTTCGATCTTCGTCTCGAGTGTTCTGATAGGCGGCTGGCTTTATGGTTATCAAATAGGAAGAGCCTCTTTTTCGGACGCCAGAAAAGCAGAGAATAGGATGTGATGTCAGTTGTAGGGGTTGTTGTTGTTGTTGATTGCTTACTGTCAGGTTGAGTTTGTTTGGTCATATTGCCGAATGGTCTGCCGCTGCTTTTCGTGGCCTTATACCCAATAGTGCCGGATAAAATAACGTGTCCGGGCAAACCGTTTAGAGTGGCTATTTTCCAGTCACATAAAGAAAGATAAGTAGCATTAATGCGGTCTCACGTAAATGGATAGGCAACAGTCGATTAAGTAGTCGAACAACACCCCAGTTGCCAAGTTATAGCTATATATCAAACACACCTAGAGCCACTACAACATTCACGATTGTACATTGTGTATAACAAGAACAAGCAGGGAAAAGACAAGAAAAGTGTTCGAGTTTATGTGTAACTATACATGATGACATCCCATCCTATCACTCTAATTCTATCGATCAACACATATTATCATCGGGCCGCTCGGACGGACGGGCGAACTGATGGATAACTTAGTGAGCAGCAGGTTTCTCCTCATCCATCTCGAGCCAGTCCTCCTCAACTGGGGTGGGCTGGCCGGCTTCCTGACCCTGGCCCTCAACCTCGACAGCCTGGGACTCGTAGGCCTTCAGATCAGCGGAGATGTTAGCCTCCTCGGGAGATTGAGGAGCGGCGGGAGGTGAAAACTTCTGGACCTGGCCTTCGGCGTCGTTGGCCTTGCGGGGACTGGGCTTATAGGCAGCGAGTTCACGGATATACAGGTCCTGGACGGGGTCGGCTGGATTAGGAAAAAAAAGGTGGACGGGTAAGTCAGTCATTCATTTGCTCCAAATTCGGCATGATTATTCATCAATTGACGAGAGTATACGCTCGCCCAAGGTCTCATAACTAACCACGTCTGGTAGGAGTCGTAGCAAAGCTTCGACGAACAATCGGGCTCTGTTGGCGGACCGCTCGGCTCAGAAAAGAGACCTGGTGGTTGACCGGTTAGCATTGGTGGCCAGTTTCGGGGTAGCAGACGAGGGCGCGGGAATTGGGTGTCTCTCTACCGAGGATCTGAGGGACTGAGACATCATCGCGACGGAGGTATGGGCTTGACTGGCTGTCGACAGGCTGGCTGCTTCGGGAGCTGAGTTTGTTCGTGGTTTTGATACTCTTCGTCCTTTCGCCTTTCGTTCTTCTTTTCTTGTGAGGTTGAAAGTAGGTGTTTGATGAGTCAGCAATTGCTTATTTAAGCATAAAGTCACCGGAAGAGGCAAAGCCTCGTTCACTCTTTTGCCGATATCAACTTTGATTCCTCGATCTTCGACCTTCTCTTTCGACAGACTGGAGACCGCTAACATAGGAGACGCACTCTGGCACAGCCGTCGGGACGAGCATCAACTCACTTCATCTCACCTCACACGCTCAACTGCTGCGCTTTTCTCCTCTCCAAAGGTGTCGACTGGCCTTGCCACTCTCCGTGGAAGCCTAGCAGACATTCGACTTCCTTCAGCCTGCCCGGCCAGGGCATCTCGCGGCGCCGTCTAGGGGGCTCTGGCGCTCTTGTCCGCCAAAGTCAAGGATTTTCTCTCTAGAAAGGTAAAGCTGAGATGATTTTGCTGTCTTTCAAGGGCATCTCGCGCAAACAAATACAAAAGGACACCAGCATGGTATTTAAAGAAGAAAAAAAAAGGGAATAAAACAACCAGTTTGGGCATTGAAGAAGCCACTACTCTCCTCCGTTATCTTCCACAAGGCCCTCGATTTTCAAGGTTAAAAAAGAATAAAGATTTCTTACAAATATCAAATTCGCATCATCCGCTTGACCCTCTTTCTCTCCCCTCTCTGCTCCTCCTTTTTTTTTTTCGCTATATTACTTTGGAACTAACATGGTGTTAAAAGTGGCAGTGGTTGTCCGCATATCCTCTTGAACTGGAGAAGAAGAGTGTGCCGACAAGGGCCCAGCGATCCTCTCTTCGCATCTCCCTCAGGCTCTTCTCGTTTTTTCCTGTTCGGTGCCAACCGCCAAACTGTATTCGCCGCTCTTCATCCGTGTGTGCGCGTCTCAGCATAACCTTACCGTTAGCTACAATAAGATAAGGCGTCGTCATACTAGTCGCCTGAAGTCTCAAAAAGGGAGGGTTCATAAAACTAAAATGGCGGCAGTAGGAACAGGTTTTCGGGGGGAGGCCGCCCAGATGCCGTGGAAGGAGAACCTAGCTGCGCGGCTTATATGTCCGGAGTGTAAGGAGAATCCTCCCAATCTCGTCCCAGAGAGCCACGAAACGATATGCGGCTCCTGTGGCCTCGTCTTGGCTGATAGGGAAATTGACCCTCACTCAGAGTGGCGTACTTTCTCAAATGATGATCAGAATAATGATGACCCTTCTCGTGTCGGTGACGCTTCTAACCCTCTGCTTAACGGCAACCAGCTCGAAACGCAGATTTCGTTTGGTACGGGTGGAGCTCGCAGCAGAGAGCTTCATCGTGCCCAAAGCAAAATGTCCACAGAGAAGACGAACAAGGCCTTGCTTGCTGCCTATAAGGAGATAGGCTCCTTGTGTGATGGGTTTAACATTCAAAAGAACGTTGCAGATACGGCAAAATACCTGTTTAAAATCGTCGACGATGCGAAAGCATTCAAGGGGAAATCCCAAGATGTTATTATAGCCGGTTGCATCTTCATTGCCTGTCGGCAGTGCAAAGTTCCCCGGACATTTACTGAAATATTCGCTGTCACGAGAGTTTCAAAAAAGGAAATCGGCAGAATCTACAAGGCTCTGGAGAAATTCTTCACAGCTCAGAACCTTGAGCGCATCAACTCAGTGGTTTCAAGTGGAGGTATGGAGTTGACACTGTGTGACATTTCAATGACACCATGTACTAACATACTACAACTAGGCGTTCCTGACCCCAACGACGCATACACTGGAACTACGTCCACTAAGCCAAGTGATCTCTGCAACCGATTCTGCAATCTTCTTGACCTTCCCTTCCAGGTTACGAACGTTTCATCCCTGCTCGCGGACAGAGTCACTTCCATGGGCGATCTCGCCGGCCGCTCACCACTTTCCATTGTTGCTGCTTCCATATACATGGCTTCCTTCTTAATGGGCCATGGGAAGTCGGCCAAGGAGATTTCCGGTGTTGCCCATGTCAGTGACGGTACTATCCGCGGCGCTTATAAACAGCTTTACGCTGAACGAGAGAGATTGATTGATCCTGCTTGGATTAAGGATGGAAAGGGTGACATGAGCAAACTTCCTATTAGCTGAAAGATGCAATCGGGAGTGTCATCCAGTTTCCTAGGGCTACGCCAGCTTCACGCAATGGCTTGCATCTGCGGTTGTCTTGGATAGTCCACTTGATCTCTATAGCTCCTTTCTCTCTTTTTTTATTCTAGCTATAATCACGTTCCCACGGCCTGAAATCAATAGCCTCGTTCTTTTTGATCCCTTTCATGGTTGTTACCATTCTATTTTCGTTCACTCTACTCCGTACGCTCCTTTCTGCGTTTTTCTACCTTTCGCGGCAGATTGTAACCCAATTTCTCTTTCGCTTTTGCTTGCTTGTCCTGCATTTTGTGTTTCCTTGGGGGTCATACATATATTTCTCTTCCATTCCCTTGAAAAGAAGCTGGTTATAACTCCGATGGAGGATTGGAGATTTTCTTTCGCCAGATAGAATGGCTTGTGTACTTCGACTAATAACCATAGATAGAACCAATGGATTCGATTCCGTAAACTGGTTGTGTTGTGTCAAAGCCTACTGTAATGCTAAGTGCTCCAGCTGGAAATATATTTCAATAACTTGAAGAGCTTTATAAGGAAATTATATACAGCTCTGGTATGTAGGTAATTTTATGTGTTTTCCAAAATTTAAACAGACAGTTTCATCAATCAAGTTTCAACAAGGAAATAAACGCCGTAAGGACAGAGATGTCTTCCATAGTAAATGAGGGTAACAGGTGGTTTCGCTAGTAATTAGTATAAAATATGGTATTTGAAGACGAGAGGAAGGACGTGTATTCGATAGTCGATAGCATCATGAAGCACACGCTGGACGAGGGAAAAGAAAGATAAGAAAACAACTTGAATGTCATAATAAAACGAGGATTTCGGAAGCAGAGAAGAAAAGAAAAGAATGTAGAAGACAGGTAGGACGGAGAAAAGAGATAAACTGAGCATGCTGCCAAATGCTATACAGTATAACAAACGCCGTGATCGAGGTATGAGCGGGAAAAGGAAATTGAAAAAAACTGACAAGTAAAAGGGCCAAGCATTAAGCTGCTCCGGTGAATCGTCCTAGCGATGACTCTGGAAAGTGATTGCTTCGTTCATTGATGAAATATATACTGACAGAAAGGGAAAAGATAAACAGAGGAGAAGAGGTAGAAGATTATTGGTGTAATCTGACAGCTGCGTTGGTGATGATCTTTGAGACTTTATCAATCCATACCTGGGTTTGGGTCCAGTCTCTTGAATCCATGGCATCTCTAATGGCAGGGAAGTAAGTTGAGTCCTCGGGGTTCTCGGGCCATAGTTGAGGCGAGAAGATCATATGTTTATATTGAGTGCGGTTAGGGACCTGTGATATCAAGTTAGAGGAGGAAAATTTGAAAAGTTAGTAGGAAAGAAAGCTTACTCCTCCGCCTTCATCTAGGTCTAGAAGGTTTGTTTCGAAATAGGCCATGTGGGTGTTGTGAGTCATGCGTCTGAGGGCCGAGACATCGTCTTCAAATCCATTCTGGTCGTATATAGTGGCATTCCAATTCCCTTCCCATCGATGGAACTTGGCAACTTCGGCATTAAGGGAGTTGGCTGCGTCATATAGAGGCTGCAGGTCAACAACGCCGTCGTCAGGTTTACTGTTATCATTTTTATCTCGGTTCTTGAGAGATTTCAGAGGCACAGATATCTTTTTGGCGTATTTATGCAAATCCAAGACATACTGAGCAAGAGCCTTAGAGAAGGGGTGTATGTCAAAGGGAAGGACAGGTCGGCTGCATAGCTCCAGAGCGAGCAGGCCCCAAATCTGGCCCATAGCACGATGGTATAAGAAACCAGGGTCGCCCGTCTTATGAATCCAGTCGAAATTGCTGTAACAACTGTGGGCAGGGTAACGGTCTCCCTTAAATTCTAGGCTGATGCTAGAAGTCCCGGAAATGGTCTGGAACGGGAGAGAATCACCTTCCGCATTGGGTCCTTCAAGTTTAGACCCAGCCTTGTCCCAAAGTTGCCGAATAGTTGCCCTTCTCCTGGGATCTGGTACCCGATTCAAGATGTGGAGCAGAATAGGTTCAAATAAGGGTGAGCCTCTAGCGGAGAATTTATCTCCAGAGACAGCAACATCCACATTGAGATAGGCAAATGCATTAGCCCTTAGAAGCTCTGTTCTATCTTCAACGTGCTCTGTGGATCCAATCATCCCATACTCGCCTGCATCCCAGCTGACGAACTCAATGGTCCGCAGTGGTCTCCATCCACGTGCCTTGAGCTCACCAAAAACACGGGCAATCTCTAGTAGAACCGCAGTTCCGCTGCCAGGTTCTACCGCTCCAAAGCACCAGGAATCACGATGGTTACCCAGTATGATACTGTTTTTGGACTGCTCAACGCCAACTATTCGTCCAATAACATTGTAGATGGGCTGCCGCTCAACCTCGTCCTGCAAATTCATCAGGTTGACCTTAGGTGAATCTTCGTTTCCAGTCCACCATTCGCTGATATCTGGAACACCACCAACCCAGTCCTTGGGTACCTTCTTACCATGGCCCTTGAGAGCCATCAAAAGGTGTTGAGCATCCTTCCAGGAGAGAGGAATGCTTGGGATCTGGGGAAGGCCCTTAGCTTTATCAACCTTCAGTCGCTTTTTTTCATCTGTCCGAGAAGGGAACCCGGGACTGAGGACGTCACCGGCCGCCATAGCAACGCGGTTAACTGCACCTCTCTGGACCCCATCCTTGGGCATGAACCTTCCCTTTGGCCAAGGATCGCCTTTCCGAAATCCGTCTTCAGCTGGATCAGAGTATATAATACAACCAGCTGCACCAGCCAGTTCCGCAGCCTTGACCTTTAGAGACACGTCTGGCTGTGTCCCGTAATGTCGAATCAAGGTTATTGACCCCTTGACACTCACACCCATATCAGCAAGCTTTTTAAATTCCTGCTTGGATCCATAATTTGCATATACAAGCGGTCCTGTTACGTTGCCCGATTTGGAAAGTCCGTGAAACACCATTGTCTGCTCCCGTGGCGGATCAGTGTACACCTGGTCCTCCTCGACTTGCGCTTCCCATCGCGCCTCAGGAGGGTCAACTATGGCTACCTTCCTCCCACCTTTCTTAGGGTAGTTGAGATAGACATCAAACTGCTCCAACTCGACACTTTCCAGCCCATATGACTTGAAGTTTTCCTCCACCCATTTAGCCAATGCGTAGTTCCCTTCTGTGCCCGCAATATGAGGGAAATTTGTAGCCCGCTCGAGGTTCTGTCCTATGGCTGTTTCATTGATGTGGTTCTCCAGGAACACACGGACAGACTCGGGTTGGTATATCTGGCCCTGGTTGATCCTGTTGCTAAACGAAAAGAAGTTTGAGACGAAGAGTAGGTAAACAAGAGAAGCGACTAGACAAACGGCAAAGACCCTCAGGAGGATGATGCATCTCTGCTGATGTTCTATGCCCGCGCATATATTAAAGCGAAAGTCGAAGGATGGTAGAGTGAAAGTAGGAATGTATTTTCGTAACGGCAGGTTTATTGACGATAGCGTCCGTTTGAAGCTTGTGAATCGTTTAGCAAAGGAGGAAGAAGACGATGATGACGAAGCCTGTGGAGGATCCTCGACTTCCATCTCCTCTAGTTCTCTCCGCAACTGCTCCGTCGACCCACGAGCAGAGCTCCCATTGTCTGAGAGAAAGTCAAGACTTGACCGTGCTGATTCCACTGTGGGAGGTCTGTATCCCCGCAAAAATGGCCGCTGGCTGCGCTCTCCGGCCACGTCATGGTGGTGTAAGAAGCCCTGCCTTTCGGCATCGTCGCTTACTTCTCGAGGTCCGAGCCGGGATTGCGAGGATGACGGGCGAGAGGAGGTTGCTTCTTCATAGGTAGGGATCGGGAGGTGTTCATAGGGGATTTTTTGGTCGCCCATCGCCGCAGAGGGGACCGTTTATCCTCACCTTTCTCAAAGATTGCGGAAGGCGAGGGAGACGACGACGCTGTGTCGCGCGAAATCAGGGGGACGGTCACCGTTCAACCGTCGAGGGCTCCCTGGTCATGTTCTACCAGCCGAGGGAGAGTATATCAAAAAGAGTGTAAGCTGACTGGATCTCCTTCTTTTCCTTTCCCGAGAACCCGCCAGTCGTTATTACTTTGGCAAAGTTGAAGTTGCTCGCGATGTTTCTGTTCCCCTTACGAGGTCAGCCCCGATGCACAGCCATGTCACGTGCCTCGGTCTCGGCCCTGTGCCTGTTCGAGTTCGATATATTTTATTGTTATTATTCAGGTCTTTTTTAACTTGTAGAAGCAGGCAGTGTAACATACTCCTTACAGAGCAGAGGAGCAGGGAAGACATGTCTTTAACCTCTTACGGTGTACTTTATCAGCCCTTCGCTTGACTTTCTACACTACCCTTCAACTACATATCTGTGTAATCCGCGAGAGCCTTGTCACTGACTCCTCGAGCAGCCTTCCGAAGCGTGGGTACTGCCCACACTCCCAATCAAATAACTGGTTAATCAGCAAGATCCGGCCAACATCACACAACGCTGAAGAACCGTCTTGTCCATTCTAAACGCTGATGCCTGGAATGCATCCTCTCAGACTAGTCAGCTGACTAAGCTAGTAGTAAGCTAACAAAACTTAGTTGGCGCCCTTATCGATAAGGCGCTTCTGTAGCTGAGTGTCAGAGCTGCAAGACAGCGCACAAGTAACAGCACCACTCTGCATAAGCCTGAAGATACCAACTACGCTCATCGCTCTGCATGTTTGTCTGTCCTCCGCATGCATGAACAACTCGGCTTCCTCGACGTCAGCCTCGCTTTTTGCTCTTCGGCTGCCACGTCTTGCTTTGTCTCCTGGTGGGCCGCTAGTCCTAAACCGGCCTAGTCCCTACGATCTGACCACCCATCGGCTCTGCTTAGTCATCAATTTAAATACATTTTTGTGCAAAAGAAAAAGAAAAGGAAAAAAAAAGGAAAAACCATTTTTTAGGCGGTTGAAAGTCGACTAGCTAGCTTGGTTGAGATTAAAAAAAGATAAAGAGTGGCAGAAGAGAAGAAGAGAGAAGAAAGAAGAGAAGAGACGAAAGGGGGGAAATAAAAGGAGAAACCTCATCCTCAGCTCCAAAAAGTCGCCGTCTCAATCGCATTGTCTATAAAAACCCGCCGTAAGCTGCTGGCCTCCCCCCCACTAGTTGGTTCCCCTGCTATCACCTCACCCACTCTGTCTGCTACGCCTGTATCCGCTGCTCCCCCTGTTCACCGCTCCCCTTTTGCTCCCCCACTGAACGAAGACGAAGAATTGAACAGCCACCTGCACTCTCGTCGCTTGCTGCTCTGCTTGTTCGGCCTTGTTCGTCTTCATCCCACACTCTTCTGTCCTGCAGTACTTGTGTCTCTCGCTGACGGTCTTTGTTCTCAGAAATATACACCGAAATTCGTCGTACAGAACGGAGAGAGAGAGAAAAAAAAAACACCGTTACCATGTCTTCCCGACCTCAGAATATCGGCATCAAAGCCCTTGAGATCTACTTCCCCAGCCAGGTGAGACCTCGTTCAAGTGTCCTTGTTGGCACAGTAAAAGGTCATGGCTATATCCTTGCTAAACGCCTCCGATAGTGTGTCGACCAAGCCGAGCTCGAAAAGTTCGATGGAGTCAGTCAGGGCAAATATACCATTGGTCTCGGCCAGACCAAGATGAGCTTTTGTGATGACAGAGAAGGTGAGATACACTGCCTGTCTCCGTTTCTTGTATTCGTATTATGCCGTGGGGCTTCTGCTAACAGATCCTAGACATCTACTCCATATGCTTGACCACTGTGTCTTCACTCCTCCGAAAATACTCCATCGACCCCAAGTCGATTGGACGCCTCGAGGTCGGCACAGAGACCATGCTGGACAAGTCCAAGTCCGTCAAGTCCGTGCTAATGCAGCTCTTTGCTCCCTCTGGCAACACCAACATCGAGGGTGTGGATACTGTCAACGCCTGCTACGGCGGAACCAATGCTCTTCTCAACAGCATCAACTGGGTAGAGTCCTCCGGCTGGGATGGCAGAGACGCCATCGTTGTTGCTGGTGACATTGCTCTCTACAAGAAAGGCAATGCTCGTCCCACCGGTGGAGCTGGCTGTGTTGCCATGCTCGTTGGGCCCAATGCTCCCATTGTCTTTGAGCCTGGTCTCAGGGGCACGTACATCACCCATGCCTACGACTTCTACAAGCCCGACCTTACCAGCGAATACCCCTATGTTGATGGTCACTACTCCATAAGATGCTATACTGAGGCTGTGGATGCCTGCTACAAGGCGTACAACGCCAGAGAGAAGGTCCTCAAGGGCCAAAACGGTGACTCAAACGGTATCGTAGACAAGTCTAAGACTCCTCTTGACCGATTTGATCATATTCTCTTCCACGCTCCCACCTGCAAGCTCGTAGCCAAGTCGTACGGACGACTTCTCTACAACGACTACCTAGACAACCCGGAGCATCCGGCCTTCGCTGAAGTTGCCCCTGAAGTCCGCAGCCTCGATTATGAGAAGTCTGTCACCGACAAGACTGTTGAAAAGACCTTCATGGCCCTGTCCAAGAAGCGATTCAACGAGTGTATCGCTCCATCTATCGAAGTAGCCACCCAATGCGGAAACATGTACTGCGCAAGTGTCTATGGAGGACTCGTCAGCTTACTCAGCAAAGTTCCCTTTGACCCTGCCCAGCCCAAGCGTGTTGGCGTCTTCAGTTACGGAAGCGGTCTGGCTAGCTCCATGTTCAGCGTCAAGGTTGTCGGTGATGTCTCAAATATTGTCAAGCAGTTGGATCTGCAAAAGCGACTTGATGCCAGACGTGTGGTCGATCCCCAGGTTTACGATGATGTAAGTGCATACCTACATTCATGTTGGAAATGATTGCAAACTGAACTAACCTCATTTCTTTTAAATAATTACAGATGTGCCTCCTTCGTGAAAAGGCTCACTTGCAGAAGAACTTCACTCCTGTTGGCAACGTCGACGACATCACCCCCGGAACTTACTACCTAACCAAGGTCGATGACATGTTCCGAAGAGAGTATGCCGTCAAGGCATAAATAATCATTTTTAATTTTAAAAAAGAGGTGGCGGAAGGGACCATTCGGCATAATTCTAAAAAAAAAAAAAAAAAAAAAAAAGGTTTTTTCAACAGGATGCAACCCCATCTTCATCTTCAGGAGATGAAATTAAAAACATACATCTGCCTCTTCCTTTTCCTACTTTCTCTTTCTTAGAAGGGGGATTATAAACCTTGCACACGACGAACGTGATATGCTTTTCTTTTCCTTATTTGCATGAGCAATCGAGTGATGCCACATCAACGGGGAATTGGGGGGGGGGGGGGGGGGGGCTCACAGCGATGAGAAATGAGGGACACGGTCTTTTTTTTACCATGATTACCAAGACCAACCACGCTTACCCATTCACGCTTACTATTCTTCTTTTACCTTTTGGAACATAGCATAGATACATGCTCAATTTTAATACATGGGGTTTTTTTAATCATCGTGACATGTCAGGAAATTCTCGCTACGATGTATTCTGTGTTCCATGGAACTACGGAAGCCCATGCTGTAGTTTCAGTCGCTGTATAACACGGGGACGGGGCGATGTTAAGCCCGTTCGTCCTCCCTACGCGCCCGGTGGGCGGCAAAGCCACACGTCGCGTTGAACTGGCTTCGTTTGTATTTGGTGAATTACTTCTTCAGGCAGAAAGACGGTCACTACAGGTGATGTTACCGACCGTAGCACAAAAGATGAAACACATTTTAGGCATGCAGCCTAAGCTGAGGGCCAGTCAGACGGGTAAGAAAGCTCGTTAACGCCAGGAGCTGGAACTGTGGATCGGCAGGGGTGGCTTTTCCGAGGTACTTTTTCTGGCTCAAGCGTTCTTCCTCTGTCTCTCTTCGCGCCGTCCAAGCTTACATCGTCCCTTTCTGAGGACTCTCTCTCTCTTTCAACCCCGTGGTAAGTAAGATTTACTCTGGTTATGATTGTGAAGGTTGTTGGTTGTTTCTACTTTTGACGTCGCCGAAGGAGAAGTCATGTGACCGAGATGATGGTACGTGCACTGGGGCTCCAGTCACGGGCGAACCGTACTTACCTCATTAAGGCAATAGTGGGTCAATAGTTAGCGCCGGGCTTTCGGATACAGTTTAGTCGCACTTAGTCAGATCACAGCATAAGCCAATAAGAGGCCTTAACACCCTTGTCCCGCCCAGACGCGCCCACGTCGGCGCGTAAACGCTGCACGTCCCCCATCACGACAACCTCGTCCATAAGTATATTTGTTTATATTTATGGGACGGGCGGCCGACTTGCTCGTGGGCGCCAATTAGTGCCTTTGCATTCAAGAACCACAACAGGACCCTGAAACAGTCGCATCTATCCCATTCCCCTGGCACGATATCCCACTTTTCGACTACCCTTGCCGGGGGCGTCCTCCCCAGCCGGCGGAGAAATATCTATCTTTGTCCGCAAAGCGGCAATATTATTTCATGCGATGGAGCTCTCTCTGGCGCCAGCGACGTCTAAATGTGACAAATACCCCTGAAACAACCATGCATAGCGCCTACTAGCCCTGGCTAGAAATAGCAGCTGCGTAATGAAGACCCAAAAATAGGTTGTTATTCACGGAGAGTCTCTGCCGGAGCATTACCTTATGTGTGATGATCGATGATATCGGCAAGGGCATGAGCATGGGGAGGAAGTTACTTACTGAGTTACTACTGGCTCCCACCAACGCGAAAGGAAACTCTCGGACTAAACCCCATACCCCCCCTCTCCCGCCCCGTCTCGCCTAGTGATCTGTATCAGACATGCCCTTCTCTTTCTTTCTTTTTCTTTTTACTTTGGCGCTTCCTGCAGCCTAAGGCCCAGCACTCAGGACCCGCCTTTACGCTCCTGGCAGGCGGCTCGGTCGAAGGTCGAGGATACATTCTCAGCCTTCTAAATAGACGGAATTTTATGCCAATGGGCGCGTCTCTCCTTTCCAGCTTTTCTTTTTATTCCTCAATATGATTCACTGCATGTTTCAGGTATTTTCATGTCCTTGAGCTTTGTATGGTTATGGCCCTGCAACTTCTGCCAGTCCCTGTTGGACTTGTTGAAGATTTAATGTCCACAATGCCCATCCAGAATTCTCTCTGGCTTGTTCAGTTTTTTATTCCCCAGGTTCAACTCCTCCTTTAATTTTCTTTTCCTTTGTTGTTTCTCTATTTCCCTTGCATTTACTTTTGTATGGTTCCCATGTTCTATCTCCCCAGATACCCTGGTTGACTACACGTTTTTCTTTGTATTCCTACTGAATACGGTGCATACTATTGGAAGCTGGCCTTCTCTTTCTCATACCATTTCACTTGCATATCTTCTGTTCTCCATTCAAGCATTAGCATCTTGGATTGTCACAAAAGCGTTAGGCCCCTTTTTTTTTCTCGTTATATTGGTTTTTCTATACCTTTCCCAATTCTTTAGATTGGTACGTTAATGAGCCTCAGAATATCAATTATGACAACCTAACTCTAACACCCCCTAGATACAACATCAAAAATGGCGTCGGAACTCTATTACTTCAAGCCGTCGACGCCACCTCGGGTTCTTATGTCTGATGCTGAGCTGCTTGGCTCTGCTCATAGTCGGACAACGTCAGGCTCCTCTGAATACGCAAGTTCGTCTGCATATACCGATGACTCTTCACCCGCGTCTCGCTCGACCAGTGTTTCCACTTCTAGCCGGTCTCCAGGTAGACGACCCCCGGGCCCTATCCTTCTACCTAAAATCAGACCCCAGGATATTGTTGTCGAGCCTCAATCACACTATGGCCCGCAACGAAGTCGGAAAGCCCTTTCGACTACGCAGAATCCCCCGGGGTTTGCCCCTTATCCTGCTTCACGCCCTTCTATTTCCCGGAGGGCAGTTGAGCCTATCGACTGCTCGCTGGTCTCCCCAGTTTGTGCCACACCTACTTCATATGGCTATCCTGGGAGTAGTGCTATGTCCCCTCTCTCTGCAGTCCCTCCCTCGAGCTCTAGACGAAGAGCTTCTCATTCACGGAATCCATCTGTTTCTAGCATCGATGATGCCACTCTAAGTCGTTATGGTTACCCTACTTACCGCCAAATCCCTAGGTACCTTTCTCAATGTAGCCCAACCACCCCTGCTTCTGCAACATCTTTCACATATCCAACACCCACATACCCTACCACCCCTTACACAGCTACAGCAGGTGATCCACTCGTTAGTTATTTAGCGCCCAACTATTCCACTCCTGCTTACCCAGGTACATACCCATCCCCCGCCTATCCAACATCTGCCTACTCAGCCGGTGCAGAAGTTCATGCTCCCACCTCGGAGATTGCATCTACACAAAATCATTGTGGCTTTTCTGATACCACAGCAAGAGCGTTGGGGTCTTCAACTGTTGACCCTTCTTTTCCTCCCTCCCTTGATGTTATTCCGCCATCCCTTGCACCACCAATGGAATACGATTCATCGTCGTCATCTGCATCTACGACTTTGCTGGGGTACCTCAATGCGCCCATGCAGGCCATCAACCTCGTCGAGACCATGACTTACCCTTCAAATCGAGTGAACCCGGCACATTTTTGGTGGGATGTCAGGAATATACGACAATGGTCTTCCTTTTCCCTCGAAGCTATGAGTGCTATTCCTCGCTTCCCCCAGCTTCTTACGACAGGTGTTTCCCAGAATTGCCTCCCGCTTAGCACTGTTGCCCCATCTCGGCTGTATCCAGACTCAGAATTCTCATTGACTGATTTGATCCGTGATGTCTATGCCCCACGGGTCAATGCTGCTCTTCGCATATCCCAAGGACGCGATTGCCTGTCCTTATTCCCTGCTCCAATAAACCCAGCAAACAGGGATAACGATCCGCATTTCCTCGCAAACTATGCTAGTGATACAGAGCAGACTCCGTCTGGGCTCCCCCGTGGCCGCATTGTTGGCATTGTCAAGACATTCAACAGATGGAACACTGGAATGCGAAACGAAGCACCTCATCGACGTGTTGAGTATCTCAATGGCCTCTCTCATCTGCAACGCTGCATGAGGGAACACTCCTGCCGCTATGGATTCATCATGACTGAGATTGAACTTGTCTGCGTACGTGCCGGTTGTGACGAAGGTGACGATGTGCCATATTTCGGCTTCCTCGAACTGGCCACTCCAATCGCAACAAAGACCCCTTATAACCCATCGCTATCTAGCATCGGGTTGTCTCGCTCTAGTTCTGCCTCTTCGGCTCAGTCATCTAACTATTCGACCTCATCCCGAGGGACCTCTCCTTTTCCTACAGGATTCTCTGGTCCTTTCTCTGCTACTATGGCACTATATTACCTGCTCATGCTGTCTAAGTCCGTGCCTCTACCAACTCAGCCGTCATGGCATTTAAATGTTGGTGGCCCAGGAGCCCTAACTCGCCAACGCACCCTGCCAGAGGATAAGGATAGCTGGATTCCTGAGCCGCAGCAGCGGGAAAAGCGCGAGGCAAAGCGAATTCGAGGATGGGTCTGGCCACACGATGCATGGCATCGTCGCGAAGGCGGAGGCTCTAGTAGAACTAGAGCTGCAAAGATCGCTGCCGCGAAGCGATGGCATAAGTGAAGAGTCCATCCCTTCCTACCACTTGATATCTCTTCTCTGAACAAGACCCTGCGAGTTTGTTGCATGTCAACCGGCGTTCAAAGTATTCCATCCCCTTTTTGATTCATTACGTACTCCTATTGATACATCGGATAATACCTAATCACTTTTCTTTGTCTGGTTCCCTTATCTTTCGACGCATTTGTTGGCGCTCTTTTCTATTTGATTGTCTACATTTACGGGAGCATACCATAGTGTTTCCGTTTTCTTCTCCTTCCATAAATTCGTCGGTCGCTATATCTTCCTTTTATTGCATGCATTTAATGGAGTACCTACTTTCACATATTGTTGGAGCATTCTTTGTTGATGGTTTTCAGCATGTTTGGTTATCTTGACTCCCCCCTATAGTTATAGTTGCATTTGAATTTTAGAAGCCGCAAGGATATTCGGCTATTTGGTTACTCGCGCCTACCTCCTCTTCTTACCAAGATAACTAGCGAATCATTGAACAGGATTCAAAATAACTGTATCCTAAGTGTGTGGAGAATAGTCAGTTACGTCGAGACGTGTTCTAGCAACTGTCAAAATCACCGATTAGCGGCCCTTCATAAACAAACGTTCGTATGTAGCACAGTCATCCATATATCCCACCCCATTATCAAAGCCATAGTGGATTAAGGAGAAAATACGAGAAAATGTGAACGAGAGGATGATAACAACAGTATGCATGATAGATCCCCGCACAGCTATCCAGCTGGCTATATAAAAACCGAGTAGTTTACCCCCCCCCCCCCCCCCCCCCCCCCCCCTTTGAAAGGAGGGGGGGATTTTAGAAAAAAAAAGAAGAATTAAGCAACCTGCAACACCCATTTGAACATCCCAACTACACAAAACCATGGCGAGGCAACCAGAGCCATTGCGATTTTTGGTTATTGGCGCTGGGCAAAGAGGAACTGCTTATGGAAAAGCCGTAACCAATCCACCGACGGGATTATGTACGCCGTTGCAGAGCCTAACAACGAGAGCCGTCAACGCTTTGGACGAAAGTACGTCTGGGGAGAAAAGCAGCCGGTTATAGGTCAAGAATTCAAGGACTGGAAGAGCTGGCTGGACTGGGAGAAAGACAGACGCAGCAAGCTGGATGGTTCGTCTTCGTCGACTGATATTGGAGTTGACGGCGTCTTCATCTGCACTCTGGATGACTCACACCTGGAGATAGTCCAAGCCATCGCGCCATTGAATCTACATATAATGTGCGAGAAACCACTAGCTCTGTCTCTGAAGGACATTCTTCTAGCCTCTAAGGCTATTACAGATGCATCTCCAACATCACCGTTGCCGTCAAAGATATTCTCGATTGGCCATGTACTTCGGTACAGCCCGCACAACCAGCTGCTTCGCAAACTCCTCCTTATAGACAGGGTGATAGGAGACATTATATCTCTGGAGCATACAGAGCCAGTGGGGTGGTCTCACTTTGCTCATAGTTATGTTCGTGGGAATTGGAGAAGAGAGACAGAAATTGGAGATGGCAGCTTATTGACTAAATGCTGCCATGATATCGACTTCATACTGTGGCTGCTCTGCTCACCTCCGCCAGGGGCACCAGTGGATTACCCCGAGCATCTACCACGAACTATCACCTCTACGGGGATGCTTGCCCAATTTACCAAGGCGAACAAGCCCGTTGCAGCTGGAGATAGCACAAACTGCCTTTCCTGCCCCATTGAACGGGATTGCATATATAGTTCTGTCAAGATATATAATGACCTATGTCTGGCGAAAGGCAGTACAGGCTTCCCAGCGCATAACGTATACCCGGAAATCGAAGACGTTCTCTCAAAACATGGCATGGAAACAGCAAAGAAAAACCTCCTGGACATCCTAGCGCAAGACTACGACGTCAAGACAACGCGTGATGAGAATATTGCTTTGCGCCCATGGTACGGGCGATGCGTGTACGAGTCTGATAACAGCGTATGCGATGACCAATTCGTCACCATGTCCTGGGGAAACGACCCCATACCACACAGCCTTGATATTGGATCAGAATCAAACACGCAATCACCACTTGGCAACAGGGGTTCCAAGCTCGCTACACTGCATATGGTGGCTCCCACCGAATCCCAGTGTGTACGCCGTGGTCGTATATCTGGCACTCTGGGCGAAATAACATATGATGGTGAGACAATTAGCATTTTCACTTTCGGGACGGGAGAGACGAAGAAGTATTCCATAGCTCCACCGCCCCCGGAAGAAGCAGAGTCCCATGGGGGTGGGGATTATGGACTCACAAGGGCCTTTGTCAGGGCGGTGGACTCCGTAGAAAATAAGGGGTGGGATGTAAAGAAGGCTCAGATCGAGATTCTGGGATGTACCTTGGAAGAGGCCATTCGAAGCCATGCTGTTGTCTTTGCGGCCGAAGAAGCACGAAGGGAAGGGCTCGTGGTAAATTGGAAGGACTGGTGGGCGAGGAAGATATCGCAAATGCTGAATTAACTAGGTAGATGATGATGATTCCCAAGTTTTCTTGTATGTAACTAGAAACTCCAGTTCCATGATTAATGCACATATATATTATTCTGTTTATTTAAGTATTTAGGCTATGTGCTAATTCGACTGTGCAATCAGTGTTGACGTTCATTCTCGTGGCTTTTTCGGGTTATTCCTGTTTCATCACAGGTCATTAGTTCATGAAAACGAATGAATTAATGAGTGGAAATGCTGCATGCTTCGTGTCCATAAAGTAATCTCCTTCGCCTATTTTTTCTCTCGCCTTGTAAGAGGTATGTATATGCCTCGCGGAAAGCGGAGCAGAATTATTGGATCTGTTTAGGTCTTGACATTGGGCTCCTCACGCCCAATATACTCCTTTAATTTGAGAAGCTTAACAGCGAGGGCGACGTTGTCCTTTAGGTAGTCCTGAGCATCCTTAAGGATCTCCTTTGAGTCACTCTCGTGACGCTCAATGTAGAGACGGATGGTAGCACCACTGCTGCCAGTTCCAGAAAGTCTGACAACGATGCGGCTGCCATCATCAAAGGTGACGAACAACCCCTGGTTCTTGCTCACACTGCCATCCAGATCGGTATAGCAGAAGTTGCCTCCTCCAGAGACCTTTCGGCCGGAGATTGTGGAGCCAACAAAAGTATCTTTCTGGTTGACAAGCTCAGCCAGGTCGTCGATGACCTTCTTTGCTCCGTTGCTATCAACATCTTCGTAATCATATCTGGTGAAGAAAGTGCGTCCATAGATGCTCCAGAAGTCCTGCTGGATGGCAGCAATGCTCAATGGCTTGTCAGGGTGAGACTTTGCATAACCAGCAATGATGTTGAGCCAGGCAACGATGGCCCAGAGGCCATCCTTCTCTCTAATATGGTTGCTGCCAGTACCGAAACTCTCCTCTCCACAGATTGACATCTTCTTATTGTCGAACAACGCGCAGAAGAACTTCCAACCAGTCGGAACTTCGTAGCATTGGAGATTCTGTGCCTTGGCAACTCGATCGACAGCGCCGGAGGTCGGCATGGAGCGGGCCAGGCCGTAGACGCCTTGCTTCTGAAAGTACGGGATAAGTTTAGCATGATGGGCGATGATGGCAAGACTGTCGCCTGGAGAAACAAACGCGTTGGCACCGTAGATCATGTTGCGGTCACCATCGCCGTCGCTGGCCGCTCCGAATTGAATACCATCCTTGTCGACTGCATCCACCAGCGATTTGGCGTAGGTCAGGTTGGGATCTGGGTGGCCACCATTGAAATCGGGGCTTGGAACGCAGTTCTGGGTGCTGGAAGTGGGTAGACCAAGTTCTTTTTGGAAGATGGCGACTCCGTATGGTCCGGTAACGCCGTGGAGGCCATCAAACAGGACCTTGAAATCAGGGCGGCTCTGCAAGAAAGACTTGATCAGGTCGAAGTCGAAGATGTCCTTCAACATCTCGACGTAATCGGCGGTCGAGTCAATGATTTCGACCTCCAAGGATCCATACTGCTGGATGCCAATTTCCGAGAGTTTAACCTCCGAAAGGTCTTCGATCTTGTATGAGGTTAAAGACTTTGATACTTCATAGATTTTGTTTGTCACTGATTCCGGGGCGGGAGCTCCGTTTGAGAGATTGTATTTGATACCAAAATCAGCGTTCGGGCCTGTTAGAACTCCCGGTCAGTTCAATGTCTAGATACGAAGCGATCCGAGAATCACGCAATTGTTTTGTTTTTAGTTACCTCCAGGGTTATGACTTGCAGTCAACAGGATCCCCCCAGTCGCCTGTCTCTTACGAATGACATGGCTAGCTGCAGGGGTGCTCAGGATGCCATTTTGTCCGATCAACAGCTTCTTGACGCCGTATGCAGCTCCAATGCGAGCAATGAGCTGGATGGCTTCGGTGTTGTAGAATCTGCCATCACCACCGATAACAAGGAATGCGTCCTGGGCGCCCTCAGGGATCGAGAGCAGGATGCTGGCCACGAAGGCCTCGGTGTAGTGCTTCTGCTGGAAAGTGGTGACCTTCTTCCGGAGACCAGACCTATAGATCGATGTTAGCAATCACTCACTCCAATCCCACTTTGTAGCAGGCAATGAAGGAAGGGCTTCCTGGCTCTGTGTAGCTTGCTGTACTTACGTGCCGGCCTTTTGGTCAGGGAAGGGGGTGATGTCCACGGTCTTGACGGCCATGATAGCTGGTAACTAGCTAACTAGCTAAGCAGAGCTTCGGTTCCCGCTGTTTTATCTTCTAGCAAACGCTCCAATTAAGATGCTCCAGGATCACTGAAGCTGAAGAGAAGAGAAGACGATGGTAGATGACGGAGGTGAAGAAGTAGAAAGAAGCTGAAGCTAAAGAAAGAGAAAGAGAACGAGTCGAAACCCTGGACGTCGTCAGGCATCGCGGGGCATCACGTTGTCTGTTGCGCTGGCCGGTTTTGGCCTCAACCTCAACCTCAACCTCAACCTCCTTTTTCCCGCCACCCCGATTATTTATAATTAATTAATGCACAAGCAATACCGACGGCAGACGCGGACAGGCAGGGAAGAGAGAGAGGCTAGCTACGAGGGGAACAGCTTCTGGCGGTAATACTTCATCTCCTCGATGCTCTCCAGGATGTCCTCCCGCGCCAGATGGACGCCCTTCTTCGCCGGCGCATCCCGCAGCACCTCCTCGCTGGCCCATCGTCGAGCGGCCTCCTTCACGCTGCTCACGTCCAGGATGCGGTAGTGCAGCCAGTCCAGCACCTGTGCGTACGGCGGTTTGGCGAGAAAGGCCCGGTCGGCGTGCACGCTGTTCCCGGCCAGCAGCGCGGTGCGTTGCGTAGGCACATACTGCTTGATGTAGGCCAGCAGGCCGCGGGCTGCCTCTTCGGCCGTCGTGGGGGACAAGAGCACGGCAGCTGTTAGGCCAGAGCGGCCGTGGGTGTCGATGCACCAGGCATTCATGCGGTCGAGGACGTCCTGCGGCTGGTGGACGATGGCCTCGAAGCCTTCAGGTTCGAGCAGGTTAAGCTGCACGTCTGTGATGTAGCAGCATATCTGCAGTATGTGGTCATTTGCCGGATCGAGACCCGTCATCTGCATGCCGCCGGCCTCATTGGTTAGCTGGATAGACTTCCTTCTATACGAAGAAGCTGAGTGGAACGGGGGTCGAACCTCACAGTCGATCCAGACTAGAGGATCACTAGATCGTTGAAGAGCCATGGGTCAGGCAAGAGAAGGAAGGGGATGTTCAAAAGAAGCTTGGTTATTGGAAATGCGGAGAGAAGATTGAGGTTTTGATCGGACGGAGAAGAAAAGTGTCTAGGTATTTGTCTTCGGCTCTAGGGTGGCCAAAGGAGAAAACGTTCCGTGGCCAGCCAACTATATAGCTATACTTTGAAAAAAAAAAAATTATACAGCAAGAAGAGAGTCCAGAAAAACAAAGAAAAAGGAAAAAGGAAAAGTATATAGGTGAAAGAACTGGGTATCAGAAATAGACCTCCCTCCAAGGGGTACGTACGTATGGTTCTTTTTAAAAAAGGCCAAAGCTGATTGAAGATAGTGGCAGTAGAGTAGGAGACAAGGAGAAAAGTAAAGGACAAAACGCCGAAAGGAATCACATATCCAAAGCCGTTCAAAAGGATACCCCCCATAAAATCAAACCACAGAAAAGAATTTATATAAGATATGAACCCCCAGGGCATCAAACGTAGTTGTTATATCGATCCTTTTGATAGTCGTTATAAGCGGGTTCGTTGCGGAAGCCACTCCGGGATGGGTTGCGCACGTCGTTGCCTCTGCTGTCGTAGGACCGAGGCGAGGTTGGATATGTCTTTGTTGAAGGGAACTCCGCTGGGCTCAGTGCAATGGTCGAGCCTCCGTCGTCTTCGTCCTCGGTCTGTCGAGACCTGACGAACTGGTGGATGGTCTGCTGCTTGTAGATTCCCCCAGAGCCCAGTCCGTTGGAAGGGTTGCTACTGCCCCATCGGCTGCCGTATCGTGACCCCGAGCTATTGCTCTTGAAGCCCAGGTTGGGGAAATATTTTTGTGCAAACGGCCGAAGAACGGGTATAGATGTGCAGATCACAGCAAGATTGATTTCGAGGTCGGTCCATACCCAAACATTGTATCCTTCCCCTAGAATTGAATATCAAGTCAGCCTCCTGAAAGCAAGGTTTCAAATAAAGGGTCTGGGAGCTGGGATCCTTTCACTTACAGGTAACATCATATGTTCCCACTAGAGTCCGGTACATATACCACGACTTGACGCACCCTGCTACACAAGAACTGTACAAAATACCAGGTCAGTCATGTACCAAAGGAAAGAAAAGTAAAGGATCAGAGATTTGAGAGCCATACATGAATCCCAAGCACATCATCACGATGAGGACAATTCTGTCCCGAACTGGTAGATGTAGCTTCCAAAGCGCAGGACAAGGAGTGACAAGTATCATAACGTCCATCACAGCGTTGGAGTAAATACCTGGAAGCAATCTAAATTCTTCTTCCATGCAACCTTTTTGCAAGAAGGAGTTCCAGTAGTTTGAGAGTGGGCTACATATGACGCGAATTAGGATCCGTCTCTTTTGACCACGACATCATTTGAGATATCAGATGAAACGGGGACGCAATCTTACATGCAGGCAATAAGCATGAGAACCATGAAAGCCACAAACCAGGCAAGAACCAGGCCGACCTGTATCCATGCTAGCCGGATGTATATCTTTTCAGTGAAGAAACGAAGGTAGGAGGCCAAAATAGATAGCTTCACGAGGGTCATGAGCGGAATGAACAAGAGTTGGCATATGTAACTCGTCTATAACACAGTCAGAGTATTGCATTAACCAGAAAACGTATAAAAATAAGGGGGATCCGGAGCCGGGTGGTGATATCCTACTATTCTTGATTCTCTGAACTGGCTGAACTTGAAGTCCCAGATGTGAAAGCCTGCCAAAAAGAACTTGTCGTCAGCGATGTTTCTAGGCCGATAACCCTATTGACAACGGAAAAAACCTACCCCATCCATATCTGGTGCTGACAATTGCTGATGCTGAGATGCCCATCAAAAACGGCTATAGTGGATATATTAGCCAAATGTCCAGCTATTGGACATGGACTGAAAGAAGAGGAACGTACAATAGCGGCCACCATAAGCCAATCATCCCATGATGCAGCTTTTCGCAAATGAAGGCGAACATACATCCGCAGTGACATGACGATAATTGATAGTGTCGTGAAGGTCACCCCTATAATGGCCAGCTCCGGCCCAGCGTACTCTGGGTTGACGTAGTTGGGCTTCGGCCATGTCTTGATGACCTCAGGAGGTGGATTTCTCATTGTGACGGTTCAAAGGAGCTCAAAGAGCAGCCAGAGGAGCAAGCAAGGGAGTGAGCTGAAGAGTTGAGCAGACTTGCTGAAGATCCCAGCTGGCCACTCTTTCCGGGTTCTGGAGAGCGAGTGGGCTCCTGGGATATATATATACGTATAAAATATACGCCCTCTAAAATGCCGATGACCTTTCCCCCCAGAGCTCTGAGTTCTAGTGCCTGAAATAGAATTTTGAGCAACCACACAACGATCGAGAAACGAGGAGTACAAACGAGGAGGCTTAAAGTAAAAAAGGGGACAAGAGAGCGAGAAAGCGAGAGATGGTAATGTTTATAAGAAACAAGTCGACATCGATCGTCTGAAGACCCGCTTACTTGGGTTGGAGTGGAATCCCGACTGCTTGGAGGAAGATAGGCCGAAGCAAAATAACAATAATGCCTGATCGTGCAGTGAGGTCGATATACGAGCGGAGGCGATTTCGACTCAAAAAAAGTAAAATGGACGTAGGAAATAGGCATAGCTCGCAGTCAGAAGGGGGAAGACCAAACGTCCATATCTTTGCCGCTTGGGAAATTAAACGCTTCGCCGTTCCTTAGGTCGATTCAAGGTTCAACATGACCCCGTTGATATCCCCATCCATGGATGGAGTCCATGCCAGATCCTTGATCAACCTCGTAAGCGACGGGGCTTGTAGCGTGCTTCATCGACAACGGTTTTGTTTTTTTTTTTCCCCTTATGTTTTGGTTCCCCTTCTTCCCTGCTTGCGTTTCTTCCTGGCCAATTTCTATGGCAGGACTTGGATAGGACAAAGCGTACTCCGTACCCCGGAGGGCTGGGCTGTTACTGTACGGAGTAACTTTTGCGTTGTTCGCCTTCCCCCTTTTCTTTTTTTTTTTATATATGCGTGGCAGCCACCACCTCTGAACTCCTCTGTACCTGGAGAACGACAACGGGCCTTGGTAACATCTGATTCAGGAACCCCTTAGCACGCACCCTAGTGTCACTGAGGGTGGGCCGGTGGATCTCCCTGCTTCTCTGGACTAATCGCAAAGAAGAAAAGACTCGACTGTGGACTCTGTCTGGCATGGCGGAAGCCTCAATAATAGGGTTTGTTCAATCTACCTGAGTCTTCCCTGAACTTCCTTAATTGGCTGTTGCAGGGGCGACCTGGTGCCTGGATTCTCCACATCTGCTAAGTCGGAAGCCTGGTATGGAGCACGGCGTACGGAGTACAAGAGGGACATGAAAATTTGGACGCATACGGAGTATATGTATGCAAGTCAGTGTATCTAGGCCGGGCTGTTGTATGCACGTAAAAAGCAGGATGATGGGGTAGACACTGATATCGGCCATGATGGAGCGAGCAGTTGGTTGCCGTCGCTGGCTGGCTACCTACTTAACTAGCGTGCTGCTTCCCCTCTCGTACTTAAATCGAGCGTGCATATTTTAGCTGTGATCGAGTGATTAGTACGGAGATGGGCTTGTTGCACATTTTGATAACTTAACGCTGCAGCCAACGAAGGCCTTTCTAGACTCGTCTCTCCAGTATCGAGATACGAGTTGATATCGAACCATGAAAGCCTGGCCGCGTAACAAGCGAGACGAGTTCGCAGAGCAGCAGAATTGGCCGTTTTGCTTCCTCCGTTTCCCTTTTGCGGTCAATTCCTCTGTCGCTCAAGCATTCGACAGTGATTGCTATCCTATCCTTTCTGCCTCGAGGTACGGAGTACGGTAGAGTGGCTAGCCCTGACACTAGCGACGCAAGCTCCCACCATATACGGAGTACGAGAGAGGCTTCTCTCTGGCAAAAAGCATGCGAGCTTCTGAACCACGGCTCCGGCAAAGACATGTGACTTTCGACCTGGGCTTCGGCTTGCTCGTCTAGGCTTTCTTGACTGCTCAGGATGGCTTCTGGGGCGATTTTCTGGCCGCTTGGATGATGATTGGTAGGAAGCTTGACAATGAAGAAGAAAAGGGGAGAAAAGGGAAAAAGGAGGCCGACGGGAAATAATAGCTATTTGGAAAAAGAAGGATCGTCTTTCCTTCTCCATCTGTTTCGTTGGTGGCTTGCTCTCGAGGTAGCTTGCCTCCCAACAGCCAGATGGCTCTAACTAACATGATGACCGCCGGCTGCTGATGGATGGGCAAGGGAGATGCGATGTCCTGCCGAATAAGAAAAGGGGAATCTTTCTCGAGATCGACCAAAATCACCATTAATATGACTGTTACTAATGTTATCATTATTGTCATGACCGATTATCTTGATCGACGATGCAGATGCAAGAGCTGATGGAGGGGTTGGTTCGCTCGTCGCTTGGTGGTCGTTCGTCGCTCTGCAAGGACGGCTATATCGCAGCTCAGCTAAGCGTGGCTCCGGCAGGGATTTTTGTGGGCTTTTGCGTTTGGGCAGGGGATGTTTCCCCTTTCCCTGTTCCATAGTCCGAACATAATATAACCGAGAGTAAAGCCTATCCAGTCGTCAGTCGTATAGAGTCGATGCCAGAAAGACACGGTGGGGACCCCTTGCTGGTCGTAAGGGAAGACAAAGGCCACCACCAACAGGTGTATGCACAGAGTGCTCCGTCCTCTAGCAGACCGCCACCACTACCGACAGCGGCAGCGGCAGCTAATCTACCACTACGTAAGGGACGGCGTAAAGGGGAAGAGAAACGGAGTCGGCCATTGTGCTTCCGGCCCAAAAGAATTTGTCGAAGTATAAGTAAGGGCTGACGTGAGTTAACCTGCCTGCAGACGCACAGTGCAGGAATTTTGAATCAATATAAAAATGCCTGAAGAGCTCAAGGAAAGACACAAAAAAATGGACAGAGAGTTACGGAGCGACGATCCATATATTTATAACTTCCTGATACGAGTATAGGAGGCAGAACTCTTGTTTCTTTGCGACGTACGGAGCATTTGAGATAATGATCCTGGATGCCAACACCTGCTCTGCACCAGATGGGTGCCAAAAGACCACAAGAGAGATACATGCATGCATAGGGACCAAAGGAAGAGTGGACAGCACCAAATCGCAAGAAAGCTAGCAGATTTTAATTTGCTCTTGTTCCGTTTGTCCATTTATCCACGGTATATCGGGAGTCGGAATGATGGCGCGGTGGATTCCGCCTTGCTGTCTGAGTGGACAGGATTAATAAAAAAGGGGGGGTCATCAATCAGACTAGTTTCTCTCGACACTGCAAGAGATGGGTAGAATATTATAGAAATTGAAGCTGTAGTTAGGTGAGTACGGAGAAAGGTGAGAAGGAACGGTAAAAGGGAGCTGCATGAATTCTCTTTGTTTTTGTTGAACCCCTGGAACATTAATCAAAGGTAGGGCCCGTTCGCTACAACTCCTCCTCTAAGCCGGGTGACTTTATATCAGACTGCATTATACCCTCCGAGAATAAGCTCCCACCTAGGCTATCATTATTAGCAGTGGTGGTGCTTGTATTGTGGTTGGTTATGCTGCTCGAGGTAGCAGTAGCAGTAGTGTCCATGATCTCGTGAATCTTAGATGATAAGCCAGTCACTGCCCCCTGACGATGAACATTCTCGTCAGTTGCCGATATGCTTGCCCTTTGTTTTTTGAGCGGGCTACCAACATAGGCATCATTGTCGAGTAAATTCATACTTGTCTCCTTGGGCAGACTACTATGAGGTGGTGTGGAGTCGTGCCTGGCTGTTACTGGCGGGGAAAGCCTTGCTCCGGGAGTGCTTGATTTTGAAGCCTTCGCGGGATCTGCGAGACCGGCCGCGGCGGACAAGGGCTCGGCAGAGTGCTGTCGTTTGAGCTAAAAAGGAGTTGCAATGCTATGTTAGCGTCCCATCATGCCATGGTGAAGTTAAGAAAAGAGGTCCATGATGCACATACCTTTATCTGCCGAACACCTTCTGCGAGCTCACCCTGCCGCTTGGCATCATCGGGAGATAGGAGAGAGTTGCCCTCTTTCTCCTCTTCATCCTCAGCCTTACCAACAATGGAAACAGAGACACCTTCGTCATCTTCATCGTCGTCACTGTCGAGTTCGTTTCCATTGGAGCTCTTTCTTTTACCAGTTTTCTGCTCCTTTTCGCGATCTCTAAAGCCGACAAAGCCGGTAGTGCCACCCGGCTTCAGTGGTTTGATATTCGCAAAATCGGGCTGTGTAGACTTTCGACGAGCTGATTTAAGAGACTCCTTGTCTTGGGACTTGGGATCCTTTAATATCCCCATTTTCTGCAATTGGCCTGTAGCAAATCATAAGGCAGGAAAAGATGGGGGTGATGTTAGCATGAGTGATCATCTACTCCAAGATCGAAAGAAGGGAAAAAAGAATAAAGTGGTGAAACGACTTACGTTCGCCCCTATACATGAATGTAAAGATGGCATAGGGCTTATCGGTTGGATCGATTCCGGTGACCGTCTGAGTGCTGATGGACTTGGGGTCTAGTGACTTTGGCTTCGCAAAGCTGGTGGTATGGTCTATATCTGCCGTGCTGCCGTTTCCATTCGACTCTTGATCGCCGCCAGGACCACCATGCAGGTCCTCATCATCATCATGGGCATCAAACTGAGGAGAATACTCTCCACGCTTGATCTCGCCGGAAGCCAAAACTCTGAACAAGGCTACTTTAATCTGACCGGCCGTTTCTGGGATAGGGTCGTCATCAAAGTCCGAATCTGTGGATAGCAATTCCGCATCGTCAGATAGCTGCTCCACGGGCGACTGATCATTTGCTCCATAACGAAGAACACCCTTCTCCCGCAGAAGCTTTGGCTTCTTGTCATCCAGATCCATGCTTTCGTCTGCAGCCGCATTAGCAGCGTCTTCATTGCGTTGTTGGAGCTCTCGTTTTCGCCTCCTTTTCTCCATTTTTTGACGTCTTCGTTCAATTTTCTCTGCAGCATCCTTGCCCTCGAGATCTAATCCATTAAGCCATCGTTCTAGGCCGACTTCACGAAACAAGAATTCTCGTTCGGCAAGCCCACCGCCTTCGGATTGCGGAACACCTACCCACCTCGAATTGACCCAAGTCTCTTCACCCCTTCTTAATAAGGTGGCCACTTCTTCTTTCTGCCTGCCATCAAAATAGATATATGCTGCAACTGTTTCTCGCGGGGAGGCTGTCATGGGTTGATATGGGCCTATGGAAGAACCAGAAGTAGGCTGGTCCGGGAGGCCTCCCACAATCTTGGGCCTCGGATAGGGGTTATCTGGCGTAGCTTTTGGCGTGGAATAAGGGACTGTCAGACCTGGTGTGAGGAGGGTGATTGATATGGCGAATGTCGACTGTTCTGGCTTCCCAGTGGCTGAGTTGGGAAGCTTAGGAGGCGGTACCGGGATGTAGCAGGCAATTCGAGAGGCACGGGAATGGCGCTGAACCGAGTATTCGGCAAGTGGCCCATTAGGCGTATGAATGCTGACTGCAAGGCCCTTAAAACAAGGCATGATTGATAGAATATAAAAAACTCCCTCCCACCCTAGATGATAACAGCCAGGGATTGATTATGCAGATGCCGACAGAAGATACCGCAGGAACCTGAAGGCAACGAAAAAGGGAAGAGAGAGGGAGAGAAAGAGGGAGAAGCCGAGAGAGAAGCCGTATAGGTTGGTTGGATGTGTGTATGTTATTAGAAAAAGGAGAGGAATGAGCCGTGGCTAAAGGCAGTCAGTGTTAGTGACAGAGACCATTAACAAAAATAGCGGCCACTTCTCTCCTTACTAAACAAGCCAACTCACTGGATATTAAATAGAATAAAGCCAGTTATTGCAGTATTATGGTAAACCCAGACATCCAAATCATTTAAATGTGCGGCCGTGGTCGTTAAGGCAAGGAGGGAGACAGGAAGATAGGTAGAGAAGGGCAACAGAGAAGAAGGTAAATAAAGAAAAACAAAAGGACGAGCAGCAGAAGAAAGGGTACAGGATCCAACAATGGCCGAAGCTCTGAGCGGTCAAGGAGACCTTGGTCCGGCAAAGAAGAAGATCGATGACCGCCACCGGTTCTTTCGCAGAGGATTAAAAGGGACACGATGGCTCGGGGGTATGCGCGCGCAAGTACGGAAGACCGAATCACAGGTCACCTCCCCCCCGGTCTGCGAGTTGTCCGCGTTCGCTTTTGTTCTGGGCTGCTGGTTTGCTGATGCCGCCTATCTGGTGGAAAAGACAGCTCCACCGCCGATGGAAGTTATACGGGACAAAAAGCGGGAACCCACAGTGCCTCTAGAGCTGCGTCCTGATCGAGGGGCGAGAGCTGCAGATGGCGTTGGGCGGAGAATGGGAGTAAGACCTCGTACGGTAGAATGTCGGGCTTAGCGCAGACGGAGAGACGAGGGTCGATGGACGGGGCGTCGGCCTGGTATCGAGACGGAGAGGCAGAATGAGCGAGGGCGCGGTGGGAGGAAGACGAAGAGGAGGGAGAGACAGAAGTTGGAGATGGAGTTGGCGACGATGGTCGTTAATTCTGACCACAACAAAAGAAAAGCCAAAACGGGACAAAGTTGGATTGGCAGGAAGGGGAGGCCACGTGATGTACACTTGGGCGTGCTGACTTTGGACGATTTGATGCTGCTGATGATTATGGATTGATATCTATCTTGTGATGGATGGCTATGATGGCAGTATAAAGTCAAACGTAGCTGTGTTAATGGCACGAGTCATAGCAGGAGCGATACTAGTAATAATTCCTAGTGCGGAGTATAGCATAGATAGAAATAACGAGACACAGGTGTATCATTAGAGCTGCTTCTACCTGCTGCTACTGGCTATTACCGTAGCTTATTCCAATCAGATACTGACGGTAGTCTACCTACTGAGCAGAGAGATAGCATGAAAGCAAAGGAGACCAAGCTGTTTCAGTGGCCAGCAACAGTAGCAGAATTAAACCAGACAAAAAAGAGAGGCATTATCCTTAACTAGTAAAACATGACACCCTTTATCTGTATTATCTAAACAAGACAAGGTGACGAAAATGGGGCTAAGATGAGATAAGATGCAGTAAGGAACTCTTCTCACATCTTCTCTGCTGTCGCCCCGTGGTCAGCCTGGACACTGGGGCGGGCGTCATCACTATCATCGTCTCGGTGAAGTTCATCGAACTTGTACAAGGGTTCGAGCTCAGCGTGCTTCTGGCGGAGGATGTGTCGACGGAAGAAGTGAGGCAGGACCTTGAAGACTTGGTAGTGCATGTGAGTGGTTGTGGGGACAGCAAAGATGTAGTCGAGTTCCTCAAGGGTGCGTTGCTTTGTTTCAGGAACCCAGAGATAAATCATTATCAGGGCAAGGACGTTCAGGCCACTGTTTTTGTTTCAAATGAGTTAGGCTTTTTCTTTCTTTTTCCTTCATTTGGACATGGGGAAGAGGAAAAGACTTACGCGTAGAAGCCAAAGGCACCGGTTGGGGTCATGGCTTGAAGAATACGGGGGAACGAGACGGAGAGCACTGCTGCCCAGAAAAGACAGGTTGCGACAGCCCATGACATACCGACCTCTGATTAATTGATCTGGTTAGTAATTATTGCCTTATTTTTAATGGGAAAAGACATGTATAACTTACCACGATGGGACAAGGGGAACACTTCAGCAGAGTATGTGAACGGCACTGGCCCCTCGCCAGGAGAGTAGAAGGCAGCGAAGAGGAAGACAAAGAAGGCAACGAGGCCAAGGTGGGCTCTGTTTTCCTCGGGAATGTAGAAGCAGAAACCGGCTGCCAGGAGAGTCCATGTCATCTGTGGGAAGGTGAAGATCAACAAAGCTCGTCGACCCCAGGTATCGATGGTCCAAATGGCGGGGAACGCAAAGACGAAGTTGACGAGACCGAAACCGAATGAGGCAATGAGAGCCTCAGACTCACTGGCGCCGGCTTGTTTGAAGATAGTTGACGAGTAGAAGGCCATGATGTTGACTGGTTAACGTCTACGTGTCAGCATATCAAGATACCAAATATTCAGATGGAAAGGAGGTGTGTGTGTGTATGCATGCATGATACGTACTTCCGCACATCTGCTGAGCAATCATAACGACAAAGGAAGCCAGAGTTGCACGTCGAACTCGGGGAATGGTGAATAGTTGGAAGAAACGGGTGATGTAGTTGCTGTCTCCGGCGAGCTCGGCCTCGATCTGGATCTGAGAGTAGATCAGGTAGAGGTCTCTGGCAGCCTGAATCTGGTGGTTTCTTAACCGCTTGAGAGAGTGAAAAGCCTTGGAGATCTTGCCCTTCTTAATATACCAACGCGGCGACTCGGGACAGAGGTACACCATTGCCACGAGAGGGACAGCTGGGATGAAAGCAGAGCCAACTTGCAAGCGCCATGCGATTGTTCCAACATCCTTCACAACCAGGTTAGCAGTGAATCCGAGGAAGATACCGAACGCGGTCCATCTAGTAAAGAAGTTAGTCGGATGCAAACATAGGGAAGGGACCAAAAGGGGAACATACAGCTGCCAGCTCATGACGAGGCCACCACGGACTATGGCAGGTGTATTTTCAGCGCAGAAGATGGGAACAGTGGAGGCCTTTGTACCCATTCCAACACCGAGGAGTAGACGAGTTGCGAGCAATTGTTGCCATGTTTGAGCTACAGCAGAGCCGATGGGGGTCAGGACACAGAATACCGCGGAGACAAAGATGGTACCTCGACGACCGAGATACTGGTTCAGGGGGTCGGAAAGCCAGCAGCCACTATTTTAATCAGTTAGACAGCGCACTTGAGGAACAAGCAGCCAAAAAATAACCGGGGTATTTCGTCTGAGTTCGGTCTTCTGCTTACAATAGAGCGGAGCCAATGTATGGGCCACTGAGAAATCATGTTAGCATGCAGGCACAACAGCTACACAAGCGATTTAAGGTAGCTAAGGTTTTCGGTTAACATACGAGTTAACGAGACCAACAAGCCACGAGTTCACCTCAGCATTGGGAGCTCCCGGAGAATCATCGATACCTAGAGCTTTAGGGAATGAGAGATTGGCGCCGTTGGAACCAGTCTGATCCCATCCTCTTTATCGTGGAATGTTAGGACTTTATGCACACGGAACAAGGCCGGGGCGGTCAGTACTCACTGGACAGCAGCTCCGATAGAGCAGAGGATGATGGTAAAGTACATCGACCATGGCTGGCGCCACTTGTGAGTGATCTCCCGGCGGATAGAGTCTCGCTCGTCGTCGGTCAGGCCCTCGACAGTCTCGAAGTTGGCCGGATCCTTTGCTATGAGAGCGCCCTTTCGCAGCAGCGGCAGAGCATCTTCGATCCCGTACTTGGTCGCAAACTCGTCCACGTCACGGAGAAGCTGTCTCTTGGGGATGCTGGCCAGCGGGTTAAGACAACATGGTCCCACAGCTTCGTCAGTATGGACCTTCTCTTAACTCGGCGTTTTTCCAGCTTGGAGGTGTAAGAATATTATATGCATGGTATCTACGCACTTTGCGGATATGTTGTGCTGGAGGTCGATGCGATCTCTCTCTGCACGCTCCTCGTCCTCAATATCGGAGCTTCCATTGCTCAGCTTCGGTTCAACATGAGCTGTCTGAGTTTGAGGCGAGACCTGCTGTGTCTCTGGCTGTGGTGCAGCTGTCTCCTGCGTCGAGGTTGGCTGCTGTGTGTCGGTGGCAGGCTCGTTGCCACGCTCGGGTTCGGCCATTGTAAAGGCAGGCTTTGCCAGGGCACGTAACTATAGCTTCAACAGCCTTGCCTGGAGAAAAGGAGGAGATGGAGGAAAAGGCAGTGCAATGAAGAACTACAAGCTGTTCGACTATCTGGCGTACCTGGTGTGCTTAAATAGTTACACTCGCTTGGGTCATCAACAACATCAACAACACCAACAAAGACAAGCTAGAAATAGCGCAAAGCCGGGCGACCAAGAGGCTTTATAAAGCAAAAAGAAAAGCCTCTCCCGCCTCCCATGAATTTAAACATATATACTCTTGCACCGCGAGACAGACTCTCTCTCGCTCCCCACTTCCCCGGGCTCCAGGTTTTTTTTCTTTTGGCTCTGCTTGCTCTGCTCTGCCTGCTGGAGTGCCGCGAGCTTGGGTTTGCCTGGATACGATGACGTCCGTTACATCGCAATCCATCGCTGTTACATGGTGGTAAGTGGCTGGCGGCGCTGGTTGGCTCGCAGTGTCCAAGGTCCAAGGTCCACGGAAAACGAGCTGCTACCACTCTGTCCCCCGGCTGTTACTGCTCCGTCACGGCCTGTAAAGAAGGGAAAATTACAAGCAAAGGACAGCCTGAGTGGAGATCGCAGATGCAACATCCATACTGCAAGCATCAGGCAGGTCTGTTGGCTCCTGCTTGGCATCTCCAGCGCGAAACGGACGGGAACAGAGAGAGATACAGCGGTACAGGGACAGGAAGCGCAGGGCCAGAGAGCAAGAGGGAGGGCGGGAAAAAAGAGACAGACACGACCTGGCAGGATACGAAGGGCAAAGACCTCCTGTCAGGTAACA